TGTGAGTCAGTGTTGGTATGACTGCAGGAGAGATGGCTTGCAAGAGATGAGAGGGAATGGGATCGAGTGGACAGGTGGTTGCATGGCTAGATAGCACAAGTTTGGACACCTCAGACTCAGAGAGCTGAGAAAAAGAGGTGAGTGTGTGTGGTGTTGGTGTTGTATCTTGCGTGTTTGTTGTAGGTGCAGCAAATTGAGCACTGATTTTTGCAGTTTTGGTGCAGAAGAATGTAGCAAAGTCATCAGTAGTAAGTGTGGAGGATGCGGGTGGAGGAGGAGAATAGAGGAGGGAGGAAAATGTTTTAAAAAGTAGGCGAGGATTAGTGGCATTGTTGATTTTCAGACGGTAATACGTCTGCTTTGCAGAAGTAACCTCAGCTGAGAAAGAGGACAGAAGAGTTTGGTATGTTAAGAGGTGTGCAGGATTTTTAGTTTTCCGCCAAATTCTCTCTGCAGCCCGAAGTTTTGAGCGATGCTCACGGAGAGCATCCGAGAGCCAGGGTGCAGGAGGACTGGCACGGGCTGGCCTGGATGCAAGAGGACATAATCGGTCTAGACATGATGCTAGTGTGGAGCAGAGTGTATTAGTGGCACTGTTCGAATCAAGTGCAGTGAGTTTGCGAGATGGAGGAAGAGAGTCTGAAACAATGGTGGATAGTCTATTTCAACGAAAGAATTATTATAATTTATTTTCATTCATTCATTTTCCGTCAGCTTAGTCCCTTTATACATCAGGAGTCGCCACAGTGGAATGAACCACCAACTTTTTTCATCATATGTTTTACACAGCGGATGCCCTCCTAGCTGCAACCCAGTACTGGGAAACATCTATAGACACTCATTTACACTCATACACTACGGCCAATTTAGTTTATTCAATTAACCTATAGAGCATGTCTTTGGACTGTGGGGGAAACTGGAGCACCTAGAGGAAACCCACATGAATACGGGGAGAACATAAAAACTCCACACAGAAATGCCAGCTGACCCAGCCGGGACTCGAACCAGCGAGTCTTATTGCTGTGACGCAACAGTGCTAACCAATGAGCCACTGTGTTGCCTATTATTTTTTTATATTATTAGGAAATATTAAAATAGGAATATGAAATAGTTGACTAGATCATAGCAATTAATTGAGAAATTACCAGCAATTTTAATGGTGGTTCCATTCATAACTGGTATCTTTCCATAATCCATATCTTTGGACTCAGTTCCTTAATCATAACAAAGAACATTTCTTTAGATTATAAACGACTTTGTTAAAATTATACTCCAACACAAAATCTGTGAAATAAAAGGTAGATATAAAGGATTACTTAATTTTTTTACCTTGTAGCATCAGATGTGCTCCAGAGATAAACTGTAGTAAATTCAAGAACACCGTCCCGCAGTAGTATATTCCAGTGTCCTGCTTGGTGGCAGCTGTGATGTTGAGGTGAAAAGAGTCTTCACTTGGTAAAATACTGAATCTCCCATCCTTAAATTCATCTTTAAATATGACTTTATTCAGTTGATTGTATGATATTGTGATAGCTCTTGGGATCTGTCCAGTGCTCTGTACCAAACCAATGTGTCGCCCAAACTAATTTTTGTAGAGAAGCATTTGATGATAACATCATCTCCCAGCTGAAATGTTTGTAATGAGATGATTTCAGCACTGTGGTTAGACTGGACTCCAGCTACAACAAATCAGTGAGATTTCAACAATTAAAATGATGTATGGAGTTCCAATAATTGAATAAGCATATATTTAAACAGTCAAAAGAGAAATAAAAATGCTACTTACGAGCCCAACACATCAAAATGACCCAAAAGATCATATCTGAAGCAATAGATGTGTGAAAATCCTCTATAGAAGTCTTGCATGTGATCTGATTGGTCACTTTCAAACCAAGACAGAATGAAATCAAACTGTGATTGGTTCAAACTGATATCTCTCAACTCGCTCGCAAATCGAAGCAAAAAAAATGTTATGACCAATGTTGCCATATTTTCTACAATAAAAATAGTTAATTTATTTGTTTGTGTGTATGTGTGTGTGTGTGTGATGCAATGCATGTTATTTTTAAGATTTATTTTTAATAATAAACTATTGTTAGTCTATGTAAATTATTTGTGCACTGGACACAAATTTAAGTTTCTTTTTGGTGTTGTTGTTGTAGTTTTGACTAAGGTCTGCACTATACAGAAACTAGGTTTGTGGTTCTTTGTTTTTTAAAGATGGCTATCAGAAACGACCACTGACATCTTTCGCTCCATATATAGCAATTGTCAAAAAGACATCAAGAACCTATATCCTGTGTACATGTGAGTGAAAGTCAAAGTCACAGATACAACTCTGCCTCAAAAGTGTTTCACGACCACAGCATTATCTCATTAGAAACAGCAAGAATACAAATGACTATTGCATAGACCTCGTCTGCATTTCTAAAACATAAAATACCATAAAAATACCAGATATTTGCAGATATTTAACCCTCTCAATGTATGCAGACTCAGTCGACTCTCTAAGACTATCTGGATGCAGACTTGGATTTGCAAGCTGAGACTGCATATCTCAAACTTGCAATGTCAGACACAATGCATTCAATGGAGCTAGTAACTGTCAAGATTAGGGGCAGGGTTAGGTGTGGTTGTTAAAAGCAATGCATGCAGCTCAGCTTGCAACTCCAAAAATATCAATATGAATATCAGCCTCTGAAATAAGGAGAGGGGTCTGGCTGTTGACTCGGTGCAGTGCAATCTGAGCTGCATGCAATGCTTTTTAATGCGCTCACCTAACTCCACCCCTAACCCTACCCGTCACAGTGACATCACTCACTCCATTGAGTGCATTGTGTCTGACATTGCATTGCTAAAGCCGAGTTTAGACTGCATGATTTTGAAAGTAGTCGTGTCACAGATGTTTTCACACTGCATGACTATCAGGGCTAGCGTTTTGTCGTTCCTGTGTTTACACTGCAAGACAGATCGGCGACAGGGGGTTTCACATTGCATAACTTTACAATTGGAAGAATCACTGACAACTTCCTCCAAAACCAAAAACACATGGTATATATTTTGTTATTAACTACATAACGAGAAAGAAGCCTTTAGAAAATGTACATATTTGCTCACCTGGGTTTGAAGGGAATTAGTATCTCCTCAACTTTCTTTTTTGACCCGGTTGTGATATTGCTCACATGACACGTCAAACAGACTCAGGTGATCCTGCCAAATTTACAATAGTTTTTCCTCCATTTTTGGAGTCCAAATAAACTGAAAAGGAGCGCTTTTAACTTCTCCCCCATCCTCCCGCTGGCCTGCAGGTACACATACACACTAGTCTATTGGATGCTGCTCTCTCATTAGCTGTTGGAGATTGCAAATGTTATTTTTAGTCACAACTCGATTTCACAAGGCATGATTTCAAACGCCGACAGCTCCAGATATTTAGCCTGTTAAATATCTCACAGGCATCAGCGACTCTTCGGCGATTCTCTTAGATCGGAGATCGCATCTTTGATAGTTCACTCGTGTGAACCAGCACTGATTTGCCTGTGATTTAAGGCATTTGTCAGCGATTTCTCAAAACCTGTCGGCGAGTCAAAATCAAGGCTAAGATCATGCAGTCTAAACTCGGAATAAGGATGTATTCTCAGCTTGCATCATAAACGCTGCATCCAGATCCTATTGGTAATAAGCTGCAGATTTAGAGTTATCAAAATCCACATGAGGTGTGTTTTTAATTAGCAAATAACTTGAACATTACAAATGTAAACATTAGCTGAGCAGCTTGAACGCTTGCTTCTTTAGGTGTCATAAATCTGGCAATCTGCATCAAGTCATTTGCTGTGTCCCATTTCGCATACTTATACTACGCCCTAAAAGTATGTACTTTGTTTGTGAAGCAAAAGTTTAAACTTTCAAGTGTGCAACAGAATGCAAGCTTTGGGACATACTACTTCCTCTTTAACAGATTTTTGTGTTGCTTAGTTAAGCCTACTGTCAATCATCCACATAAATTGTCTTATTTAATTTCCTAGTTTGCAATACTAACAAACAAGTATTGTTTGTTGCAGATGAAATATAACACAGTGCATTTTAAATATTTTCCAGTGGGCTAAATATTGACTAACAGTCATTCAAAGATCTTTACTGAAGCCTCTCTACTTGACGGTTGGTCTCGCGGGTCCATCATGTTTGTCGTTTATTTACACTTTTCACACCCGTTTGTAGTTCTAATCAAATTCACGTCCAATGTTCAGTGCATTGTGGGCAATATCAGCAGTTAGAGTATGTACAGTTCTACACTTAATTTTTTTACCGGAAATAGAAACAATCCAGGAACCTCTGGCATACTCTTTTCAACATACTATGGTTTGGGACATACTAATTCTATTTTCAAATACTACTTAGGATGGATAGTATGCAAATTGAAATGCCGCTATTGAATTTTTTTTCAATTTGGACTGCAACACTAAGTTCAACCCCTGGATGTCAATCCTACACCTTCATTTATTCATTTATTTATTCGCTGTGGGTTGCCACAATGGAATGAACCGCCCTCTTATCTAGCAAATGTCTTATGCAGATGCCCTTCCAGCTGCAACCCATCTCTGGGAAACATCCATACACTCTCATTCAAACACATACATTATGGACAATTCTAGTTTACCCAATTCACATATACCACGTCTTTAAACTGTAGGGGAAACTGGAGCACCCAGAGGAAACCCACACGAACATGGGGAGAACAGGCAAACTCCACACAGAAAAATACCAACTGATCCAGCCAAGGCTCGAACCAGCAACCTTCTTGCTGTGAGGTGATTGTGCAACCCACTGCACCACTGTGACGCCCAATTCCTAGACCTTTAAGATAAAAACTATTTTCCACACAAACACTTTTTGTCCAGTTAAAATGTTAAAAGTATTCAATGATTGAAAAACTTGAGTTGTAATTGCAAAATTAAAAGCAAACAGATTAAAATTAAACAAATTAAAACATTCTCATATAGTTTGGTTTCACTGTAGTTTATTAGTAGTTATCACAATCCTTCCATCACAAAATTATATATTTTTATTTAAATACAGTCGTTTAATTTAGATTACTTAGATGTAATAAACAACAATGACAAATGCACACTTTCAGAGAGACAAATGAAGAGCCAGGGCATTTTCTTCCTGTACCCTCATAATGTGTACCAGTGACATCAACTGATGGTCCGTGTCTGAACACTCATAAGGCAGATTTACTGTTGTCAACATCTTCTTTTTATCCATTCTCATGCATTCTGTCTCTGAAATGTCCATGCTGTGTTGTGTGTTATTTATAGGTCTGCTGGCCTAATTCAGTAGCTGCTCTCATGGCCGGTCAAAATGTATAAATTGCTAGTGGCTGAAGGGTTTTCAGTCGGGGTGCTTTGCAAAATAATGTCTCTGTAAAACAAAAAAGAAATAATTATATATTAGTCACAATAACCAGCGATCTAGCCCTTGGAGATTGCTGGAGAACACTCACTATCATTCACGCTACTACACATCTGCCACTAAACTGGACTACATATCCCATTGTGCACCTCACACACACCAGTTCCAAATCACTGCTGATTAAAAAAAACACAGCCTTTCACCCCTTCTAGTCGCAACCCATTACTGGGAAACACCCATACACCCTCACATTACCACACACTCATACACTACAACCAATTTACTTCACTTATAGCGCTATATACTTCACTTAGAATTACTTATAGCGCATGTCTTTGGACTTGTGGTGGAAACTAGAGCACCCAGAGGAAACCCACACGGGAAGAACATGCAAACTCCATACTGAAATGCCAACTGACCCAGCAGGGACTCAAAGCAGTGACCTTCTTGCTGAGAGGCGACAGTGCTAACCACCGAGCCACTGAAATAAAATAAAATACAATAATTAAAAACAAAGTAGGATTACCTGTGCGTTCCTAAAACTTTAAACACTCGGCTCTTGTCTGTGATTTCCTGTGTTGTCTATGTGGACAGATGAGAGAAACATGATTAATATATCAACTATTAAAATTCACGATTGATGATTCATAAATAACAAACCCCAATCACTCTTTACCTCACAGTTGTGCAGACTGCATCCCTTCAGTCCGTGTTTCCAGAAAGCTAAAACACTTTCTTCTAAGCAAACTGAAAAAAAAAACATTTTTACAAAACAAAACAAAACAAAATTTTAGCTTTTTCCCAGATAGCAAAGAATAATTCTGGCCCAGATTTGGCATAAAGCTGGCACAGGAGGCATTAATCTGGCACTGGCTTACAGCATTTGGGCCAAACATGGCCCGGGTTTGGCAGAGGTGGCACATAAGATTTGGGCCAGATGTAAAATGTAGTATTTGGCCCAGATGTTAAATTAATATGTGGGCCATGTAATATTGGTCTGTCTTGACCCACATTCAAAATACATTAAAGTTATTTTTGAGTGAAGAAACAAATTCTACCAATCAGATTGCTTTGAAAAAAGCAAGCCCATAGTTTGCTTAAAGTGCAAATCTTCATGGGTTTATCAATTTTATTGCAATTGTTACACACCAACCTATCTGACTCAGTTTAAGCCCTGTTATGAGTTATTAACTTGGCTGAGACCCTGATATGGTCCATGTTTGGCCCTGTCTGGAAGCCAGGCTTGGTCCATTCATGTACTGTAATTCGCTGCAGCCGGAGCTGGACCAGAGAAATTTTGCAGAGTGGGTTGTGAACAAATACTATATTCATATCATATCAGGTTCATACCTAAAGTCTCAATTGGAAAGTCAAACTCCAGTTGGGATGCTAACTCTTTGCTGGGAATGCCCTGCATATTCACAATCTTCACTGTTTCTAGAAAGCACAACAAAATAAAGTTTATTTACAGTACGAGAATCAGTGCATGCTTTTATTGGTTCATATATAAATTATAAGAATGAATACACACTTTCCAGTGCAATTAAAACCGTGTCTCTGTCCAGCTGCGTCACCTGTACAGCTCTTATTGACTCGCTGTCTGAGGAAAGACAAAGAAAAAAAAAATCACCTTTCATGCACTTGATGTCAATAAATAAAACACTTAAAACTATACTGTATTATTTATTTGCTGGAAAGCACATCGGTCAATGGAATTTTTTTGTAAATTAAATTAAATTAAATTTGTATAATATAATAATATAATATAAATATTATATAAACCAGTAATTGTTCTTTGATCAGGAGGTTTAGGGGAAGAGTTTTTTTATTTATTATTATTATTTTTTATCGGCCAATACTGATTGAGATCATTGATCATAGGGTCAATTTGAAGCCTTAATTTAATTATGTAGTATAATTTTGAGGGATAATATCTTCACACATTAATACTTTTATTCAGCAAGGAAGCATTAAATTAAATAAAAGTGACAATACAGATTGATAATTATAAAATATATAGTGCAATCTCATAGCAAATAGTAACTTATTGAATTAGTGGTTGCACAATCTCATTCATACATTCTAGTACAATTTACTCATACGCAAATAGGGTTTAGTTTAAGGGTGAGGTTTGGGGACAGGCATCTTTTTAATTTTGTACAAATTTTTGTATGACTTAGCCACTTTCTGACAGTATGTAAAGTAGTTAAACTCCTTTGTGAGATCAGACTGACTATATAATTATATACAAAACATCCATATTTCAGATCCTTGATGTAAACATTTGCTATTACTGGAATAAATAATCAGGAACGGATGCGACAATGAACCACAAAAACAGTCATAAGTGTCTTTTTTTTTTTTTACATGTTTGGATACATTATCTAAAAGCTGAATAATTAAAAAAAAACATTTAAGATATACTGTAGGATGATATTTGGCTGAGAAACAACTATTGAAAATCTGGAATCGGAGGGTAAAAGAAATGCCTTTAAAGTTGTGCAAATTAAGTTTTTAGAAATGCATATTAAATACATACTCAAAAATGTTATTTTTATAAGGATAAGGTAGAAAATTTACAAAATATCTTAATGGAACATAATCTTTCCTTAATATTTCATCTAATCTAATTTTTACATAAAAGCAAATTGCTGGCTATTGCTACAAATATACATAAGGATTTTAATGTATTTTCATCAAATAAATGCAACCTTGATGAGCATAAGTGAATTTTTTCAAAAATATTACAAACTTTTACATTTTATATATTTATATTTTATATATTTTAATATGATAGGCCTTTTAAAAACACAATTATTATCTGTAAAATATGTTATTATCCATTTTAAAGGCTTATGAAGAAAGAGCCTCATCAATCAGTTGGAGCACTCCTAGTGCAGATCAGCATGTTTTAGATTTTCTTTGCCGAGTGTGAGATGAGAAGCATTTGCAGAATTCTCATGAATCAGCAGTCAGTCAGTCAGCAATTTACCTGGCGTAGGGTTTGGCAAGCCGTTCAGATTGATGATGTCAAACTTCAGCTGTGGCTCATTTTGCTGTTCTGGACTTTCCTGAACCCCCACACAGAGCTGAGGAAGCTCATCGCTCATCAAGACCAGCAGCTCAAAGATGACCAGCGGCTCCGGCAGTGGCACAGCAATGTGCTGCAGGGACAGAACAAGAGTAGAAACAGCATGAGGGAAGGACCATTAGAAATATTAGAATTGCACCTGCTACAGCCATGGTTCGGCAACAAAGTTCCTTATTTATTATGCTAGTAAATGATAGTATAGTTCCTAGCCATATCGAACTGGAAAATAGCAACATTTCATAGTAAATGATTAACAGAAGAATTAAGCTTATTATTACAATTATGAAAACTCTTTTTCTTTTGAGCGAGATGCTAATAGTCTAATCCGATTCAATGATTTATGCAAAGCTAAGCTAAAAGTGCTCCCGCATTTTAAAAAATGCTAAAACTCAACTGTTTAACTCTAGGGGAGCTAATGAGCCATTTTTTTTTTTTTTTTTTTTTTTTTTGAGTGAAGCGTTCCTTTACAGGGGATCTATTATGCTCTTTTTTACAAGATAATAAGTCTTTGATGTCCCAAGAGTGTGTATGTGAAGTTTTAGAGAAAAATACCCAAAAAAAATGTTTTATAACTCTTTAAAACTATGCCTTTTAAGCTTTGATCCAGATTGGATACGAATTGGATGTGGTTATTTATGAATTGTGCTTTGAATGTACAGATTGTGTTTTGTTTATTTACTAATTGTGTTTTGAATTTACGAATAAAATAAGTTTATTTACGAATTGTGTTTTGAATGTACAGATTGTGTTTTGCATATTTACAAACTGTGTTTTGAATTTACAAATTGTATGTGGTTATTTACGATTTGTGTTTCGAATATACAGATTGTGTTTTGCATTTTTATATATTATGTTTTGAATTTCCGTATTGTGTTTTGAAATTACAAATTGGGCTTTGTGTATTTACGAATTGTTTTGAATTTACGAACAAAATGTTTATGTACGTATTGTGTTTTAAATATACAAATTGGATTTGTGTATTTACGAATTGTGTTTTGAATTTTTACGAATTGTGTTTTGCGTAATTATGTTTTGAATTTATGAATTGAATTAGCATATTTACGAATTGTTTTTTAAAATTATGAATTGTGTTTTGTATGATGAAATTTTCTAAATGTGTATTGTGTAGGAACTTTATTTTGTAAAAGTAATATTTTGATGACGCAGTGGCGCAGAAGGTAGTGCTGCTGCCTCACAGCACGAATGTCGCTGGTTCGAGCCTCGGCTGGGTCAGTTGGTGTTTCTGTTTGGAGTTTGCATGTTCTCCCTGCGTTCGCATGGGTTTTCTTTCCAGGTGCTCCAGTTTCCCCCACAGTCCAGAGACATGCAGTACAGGTAAATTGGGTAAGCTAAATTGTCCGTAGTGTAGGTATGTTTGCAAATGAGTGTGAATGGGTTTCCCAGTGATGGGTTGTGGCTGGAAGGTCATCCGCAGCGTAAAACATATGCTGGATAAGTTGGCGGTTAATTCCGCTGTGGCGACCCTAGGTTAATTAAGGGACCAAGCCGAAAAGAAAAGGAATGAATGAATGAATGAAATGTTATATTTTCGAGACTGATCTGGCTCTATTTTTTGGTGACTGTCACTTTAAACTCAAATAAGATTGTGCTTCCAGCACTTTTTTAAAAGGGCCGAGAGCTTCAAATGCCTATGCTATGCTAATGAAGAAGAGATCGTCTCTAATGGGCATGGCTTCCCCCTCTGATGAGTCTACCATGTCAAAAGAGTGAATATCAAAGTGTTTCTGCAGACTGTTTTTATGAAGTGTGATTATAAAAATTTTTATTAATACATTTTTATCATTAGAAGGTGGTTATATTTACAGATTGTTGCCACACAGCCGTGTTTAAACCCCTTATAAATGTGATTTTTGCATAACAGGTCCCCTTTAAGATATTACCTTGAGGTGCATGAACTTCTGCAGTGGTTCATACCACAACAGCAGAACCAGTCCAGAGGGAACAGCGGCACACAGGAATGTACTGTCAGTGTACGGATTACGAGCTAATGATGAAGAATCACAGAAAAAACATTAATTCATTTCAGTCAGCTAAACTCAGATTTCCCTTTTCCCCATCTTAGACAGTTACAGATCAACAACGACAGAATGAAATGAGGTAAGAAATGAAATGTTTCTCACCCACACTGCACTTTCGACAGCCCTTCGTGTCGGGGATCTTCACTGAAACAGCGAACTTCCTGTAAGAAGATCATTAAAGTTTTTAAAAGGAGCAGAAATGAGCTGAATGGTTGGATTAGGGATGTCAGTCTTGTGTTTGTGTGACCTGTGGATGATCCGCTCAGTGAAGCGGTTGGAGCCGAGAGACAAGTGTCCCTGTTTCCTCTGTAAGTGCCCTCGCTGCTCAAACAGAGCTGTCAGTCGGTGAGAACACAGCTGAGATGACTTGCCTATTATAGGATAGAATAGAATAGAATAGAATAGAATAGAATAGAATAGAATAGAATAGAATAGAATAGAATAGAATAGAATAGAATAGTTAATATGCAAGGCAAGAAAAGTTTATTTATAGCACATTTCATACACAATTGTAATTCAAAGTGCTTTACATAAACAAAAAACAAAAAATAGCATTATTAAAACTTAAAATTAAAGTTAAAATTATTAAAATTACTTAAAATTATTAAAATTAAATTAGAATGTATTTAAACAGGTTTTAAGTTAATAAAATAGAAAGACATAATAGTGCGATCTGTCAGACATAGCACAGTGCTTTTTCAGTAAAGGTATAGCTAAACAAATGAGTGTAATGTTGGAGCACATCTGATCATTTCTGGAAGCTGATCCCAGCAGCAGGGGGCGCAGTAGCTGACTCAAATTTGTAATTTAGAAATTCTAAATAAAACACTGAGATGTAACTAAACATTTAAATAAACTCTCATTCTAACTAGTTTTCACTCATAAACTCCTGGCTTTCTTGGTGATATTTAATTTTTTTGTGTTTTTTAATTTTAATTTTATTTTATTGCTTATTTTGGATTTGTAAAACCACAATAAATAAATTTATATATGGGAACTTAGATTTGACAGAACATGCCACAGTTATTTTTTTTTTATTATTTAATAATTATTTTTCTTAATATTACTTTCTCAATATAAAAATTTTTTTGGCTTTTAACAAAAATTGTATTTTATGTCATTATCTTCTTTTTAATTTTTTCCTTTTTTTATAAAACACAGGTTATTGAAATCAAAGGTTTGTTTGTCCTTTTTGTCACTTTTTCAGCCAATTTTTTTTTTTTTCAACTTATCACTCAATTGAGTGGGTGTTATCAGTGATTAATCTGCTGATACCTGCAGATATGGGTCAGTAGGGGGGCCTTCTGAATCTGCGCCTATCGGTAAGCTCAGAAGGCTGTTATCATCCATACACATGGTTAATCAGCTATAGATCACATTCGAGTGTAACAAGAATTATTTTTATTATTTATTAGATTTCCCATTACTTGTATTTTATTAACGTCTACCCCTACCCCAACAGTAAAGCCTGTAACAGTAATGTAAAAACAGACCAGGAGCTGATAAACCATGTTGATGGATGATAACAGCCTTCTGAGCCTACTAGTAGGCACAGAAGGCCCCAAAGCCCATATCTATCAGCTGATATCCACAGATAAAACCCATTCAATCCAGTAACATTCGAAGCAGGTGATTTTTTTATGTTAAGGATTAAAAAAAACTTCACATGATGCAAAATGCTATTTCTGACAGACCTACAACTCTAAATATTCCTAAAATAAATAATATTCTTCATTGAATAAATCTTTAGTAACATTAGTCAATGAAAATACAATTATTCATTGTTATTTCTTAATTCGTAACAATTTCTTAACTATTTATTAACTCACACAACTCGCAACAAGCACAACTTTAGATTTAAGTTAAAATGAAACTATGATAAATAAATGCTGTACAACTATTGTTCATTCTTATTTTAAGTTAATAAATACATTAACTAATGCAGCTTCATTGTAAATTCTGAGCAAATTATTATTTATTTATAGTTTAAATTTTTAGTTTATTATTATTCAGTAAACATGGATTTTAGTGTCTATAAGCAAGTGAGATCCACTGTTATGATTTAGTTTATGTTATATTAGAACTCCAATACTAAACAGTTTGTAATTCCTAAGCTTCTCATTTCTAAAACTAGTTGGCTAATCTAACATCACATCAATCTCACATCACAACATCTCAGATATATACATGCGTCAATAGCGCCGCCATATTTGTACAGTGCTCCCAGGACAAGTGACATTCAACCACACTAGTCAAGACAGTGTTACTACGTGAAGATGCTGGACTTTAGCGGTGTCTACGGGTGTATTAACGAGCAAACAAAGAAAACAAAGCACAAAGGCAGAACATTTCATATAGGTGAGATTTAGTTTTTTACATTTTTGGATGTTATGAACTTTTGTGCTAAACAGGTACCGTTATTGATGATTATACAGTCACTGCATTCACCATAAGTCAAAGCAGCACCAACTCACACTAAACACTTGGCTTATGCTAGTTTTGTTGAATAAAATCAGCAAACAATGCAAAAGAAATATGACAACGAGATGCTGCGTGCTAGAAACTTGTATTATTGTCGGCTAAGTGAACGAGTCGTTCATAACGGAGATTCATTCACAAACGAATCGCTCCCTCCGTCAGTATGAGAAGTGAAAGCAGCAGAGGAGGTGTGTTTCAGGACATGATTAGATCAAATTTAACAGGGAGGGTGAATAGTACATTTCCATACACACAAACACAACCTTTTTGTCAGAAATGCCTGTGCGATCACTCATCCATCAATGTAGAAAAGTGATGTAAAATGATAAGTTTCGTTATATAAAAAAAATGTGCATACTGACCTCTGAGAAAACTCATAGATATCATAGATATATGTGATATATATGTAATTCTCTGGCTCTGGATGGTCACAGTCTTTCACTGCAGCTTGGTCCCCCATTCATTTCAAAGGAGCGCTACCCTGTACTAAAATGGCGGCTCTATTGACGCATTCCTTCTAATAAACAACAACAGGGTAGGCAACATCTAATGTGTCTATATATGCTTATATATATATATATATATATATATATATATATATATATATATACACACACACACACACACACACACACACACACACACACACACATATATCTAACCCATGAAACAGTAAAAATTAAAAAAGGATACGTACCAGAGATGGACATTAAGACATTGTTCATGACATAAAGCCACGTACATCTCTGTGGAAGCAACTGCAATAGAGACCACATTTTAACAATTAAAAAAAGATTTCTTATGACCTCTTATTAGCACTGCATTTCATGAAAGAAAAATACAAACAAACTGATGCACTACCTTTTCTAAGGTGTCTTCATGCAGCTCATTTAAATTTAGGATATAAACGCCCTCCTCTGCCCCCAAAATTAAATACTGATCTGTGGAAAATCAATAGTCAGATTCTGCATTTTATGGTATATTTAATTAATATTTTCTATTTTCAATAAACTTCTCTGTCTGTAGTATTGACGTAAATCTGTACCTCTTGTTTTGGGCAAAACCCAAGTGTCTGCACAGTGGATTTTCAGCGGACATCCATTAAAGACTTTGGTAAAACAGGCCCCCATCTGCGCAACATGAAGTATTACAGTTTTGTATAAATACAGCTATAAAATCAGATGTAAAATAAGCAACAACTTTAACTTATTCAAGTTATTCAGGTTCAAGTTTTCAGATCACATTATTAATCACGTTAATCTCAACCTATTGATTAATTATACATGATTACATGTTTTGTCAGACTCTAAAATAGCAAGGTTTAAAGGCACAATATGTAAGGTTTTCCATTAAAATATCCAAAAACCACTAGAACATAGTTGTGAACTTTGCTGACTTATGGACTTCCATTATGTCAAATGTTTTCAAAAATGTTCAAATCCAGAGAAATAAGCTAGTTTAACTAGCGAGACAGACCGTGTACTGTGTCGTTATGCTAACTGTTACAATCACCAGCAATCTAGCCTGTGCAGATCGCTGAAAAACACTCATTCATTCACTCTACTACACATCTCCCACCGGTATGAACCACAGTACCCATGACGCACCTCACACACACACTAGTCCCAGTTCTCTCCCTGATTACACCAAGTGTGCCGCAAGCCTGCATTTGAGTGAAGGTCTCGGCCGTTAGATCGCCCCCTAGGGGCTGGCTGCAGTACAAGTCATAAAGCCCGCCTCCTCCGTGTTAATGAAGGAGACTTAAGCCCAAATAAAAAAAATTATGGTTCTGATGGTTCTGGTCGATTAAGGCACTGGTTATTGTGCTGAAATAGGTGCAGGTCTTCATTTTTGTAAACAGTTTGTTTTTAGCAGTAATTTAATGCTGGGCGTGTAATCGTGATTGACAGCTGTGATTGACAGTTTCTCAAAGCAGCGCGTCTGAGCTTCGGCAGGAGACTGAAATGTTATTATTCGATTTCTGTGTTATTTTACCATGACAAAATGAGTTCAGCAGTAAACTATAGTTTCTGACATACATGATCCTGGTGGAACACTGTTTATTCGCTAAGTTCAGGGCTTTTTTCGGGCTTTATTAGTTTGCTGATACACGCCTAACCACCCAGATAGCAAAACACAGTTCCGGCTAGATTCTCGCCTGCCGGAAACTTATCCCTTAGAGCTCAGACTGACTACCTCTGCTGGACCTACTCCGGATGCCTGGACTCACTACCCGATTCCAGCCGGCGCTGCCGCATGCGAGCCGGAATCAGCCTGCGACGCCGCGAGTAGGTTATGCGCTGCGGCCTGGAGCTGGCGCGATTTAATATAAAAAACCCTCATATTTGTTAACGTTATTACATCCATTTGTGTTTATATGACAGCAAACGCATGCTGAGAAGTTCGGGGGGCGTGGTTGATTTTACATACAGCGTTTGGTTGGAAGCTCGACTCCGCTCATTTTCGCGGCTCCTCCTCTGGCTCCGTCAGACAATCTTTCTGCGCATGTCAAGGCTCCAATTTCAGCAGTCTTTTGCGACAGTTTGTGCCCGTCAAGCAGGCGTTTTGCCCTCAAGGCATTCAATGGGAAAAAGGGCTGTCGCGTCGTCCATATTTTTTACAGTCATTGGATTACACACAAAGCTGATGCTCATAAGAACTACTGACCAGGACTATTTATACACCTCACTTTGACATACACTTTGCAGAGTCTTTCAAAGTGCTATTTCTTGTCTAGCCTTTCTGTGTTTTTGACCGGTGTTTTGTTTATCGTTCATGTTGTTTTGCCTCCTGTCCTGATTACTTGCCTGCTTTTGACCACACTTTTTACACGTTTTATTTATCATTCATGTTGTTTTACCACCTGACCTGAATATTCGCCTGCTTTTGACCACACTCTTTTGACCCGTGTTTTGTTTATCGTTCATGTTGTTTTGCCGCCTGTCCTCATTATTCAACTGCTTTTGACCTCGCTCTTTTGAGCCGTGTTTGTTTATCTTTTTTGTTATTTTGCCGCCTGTCCTGATTATTCGCCCGCTTTTGACCACGCTCTTTTGACCCATGTTTTGTTTATCGTTAATGTTGTTTTGCTGCCTATCCTGACCATTCGCCTGCTTTTGACCATGCCCTTTTGACCTATGTTTTGTTTATCATTCAGGTTGTTTTGCAACCTGTCCAGACCATTTGCCTGCTTTTGACCACACTCTTTTGACACATTTATTGTTTATCTCTCATGTTGTTTTGCCACCTGTCCTCATTATTCACTTGGTTTGTATTACTAAACTCTCTAAGACACTAGCCCTCCACGACTGAGTTTGGACACCCTTGATTTAAACAGTACAGGGATCCTCATTTCCTTTGTCCACGACCCATATGTTACACCGTAGGTCTTAAAATAGATTCCTCCTCAAGCTAAACTATGCAGAGCTGCGAACCTCCAGTAATTGAGTTTGAGATCACTGTGTTACACTAACAATGTCAAAAAACCTCGATTTCCAGTTTGCTTTTAAAGAAAACAGGGAAACACCAAAAATGATATAATATGTTATGGGTTTTTCCAGATTGCACAGAGCAGCATTATAACAGAACATTAAAAAGTATTTAGCATAAAAAAACAGCAACAGTAATTTCTTTAGCACTCTCTTTTTGCTTTGACAGCTTGCAGTTTACCTCTGCTTCATACTACCACAATAATAAGTCTAGAACACTTCATCTCATCCATCAACATTGTTTCTGTAGGAGTCCCATAGGATGTAGTGAAGACCACAACTCCCATGATTCTACACCAAAGTCACGGCATGATGAAACTACACCTTTGTTTGTTGTGAATACATGCCCCTTAGTGGTGAAAATTACATACTGTGCCTTTAACACAATTAAAAGGTATATTTAGCTGGTTAAACAAATTAGCTTGTTAAACTTACATAGACTTGGGGAGTGGGAGGAAGTCCATGAGAATCAGCTCTCTATGAATTAAAGGTTAAAAATACAAGCATGAGTTTTTTATAGGTTTCTTTTTAGTCAGTCTGTCAGTAATTAGTAATATCAAGAAAACAAACAAACAAACAAACATATCCAATGTGTTATGGAGCTCTGTCCATGGTGCTGAAATGTATAGCATTTCAATAACACAAAATTGACGGGTAATGCAATTACAATGAAATTCAATTCAATACAATAATTCAATCTATTGCGTTTCAGCTAATCACAAAATCTAATTAAAGTTTAAATATTTTTGTAATGTTATTCTTTGTACCTTTATATGTCCTAAGGATGTTTTTTGTTCTCTACATGTATTTACAACCATTATCGTGCTAGAAATTGATGGACTAACATACAAAATAAAAATTGTACACTGTATTGTACTTTATGCAATGTTGTATTCTTCAATAAAAATAAGTTAAAAAAAAATCTATTTAAGAGCATTTGCCCAACACTTTTCTTTAGTATACTTGCTTTAGTGTTGTACAGGATGTATATATATTCACATGCATGTATACACCTACACACACCTTAAAATATAAGTGGGAAGTGCAAGTGCAAAGTCAATGCAGTTTTTTATATGGCAATATTTTAGATTTCACATAGTAGATGTTTATATATCAGCCACGTACTGCATACTCTACAAGATAAAATGAGAAATGAAGAGAAGGGCTACACATTATATAACAAAATGTAGAATAAACAATAACAATATAAGCAATAAACTTTTTGTAGATTGTGTGATATTTTACATTTAGTTTTTATGCAAAGCATTTGTGCTTCATGCATTGGTCCTTTCTCTAAATTTGACCAATCAGATGGGGTTTACTGTTTTTTTTTTCCCTACCAGTTACTGTTCTGCTATTGAATGGAGCAGCCAAAGGGTAAAGTCTAAATGGGATACAGCTGCAGATACTCACATCAATTTAGCGAACTTTTTTTTTATACTCTACAACAATTAATATTTTTACATTAATGTGAGGGTATATGTTAATAAAATACAATTTAACAAATAATAATGAAAATAATCCTGTTATAATTACTGCTTTTACATTACTGTGAGGGTTGAAGTAGGGGTAGATGTTAATAAAATACAATTAATTGGTAATTTAATTCATTCATTATTTTTCCAGCTTAGTCCCTTTATTCATCAGGGGTCGCCACAGCGGAATGAACTGCCAACTATTCCAGCATGTGTTTTACACAGTGGATGCCCTTCCAGCCGCAACCCAGTCATGGAAACATCCATATACACTCATTCACACACATATAAACTAAAACAATTTTAGTTTATCCGATTCACCTATACCGCATGTCTTTGGACTTGTGGGGAAAATCAGAACACCCAGAGGAAATTCACGGCAACACGGTGAGAACTTGCAAACTCCACACAGAGATACAAACTGACCAAGCCGAGGCTTGAACCAGCGACCTTCTTGCTGTAAGGCAACAGTGCTAACCACTAAGCCACAGTGTCGCCTTTGAAATTTAATAAATAATTTAAATAATTATAATTATATTTACTGTTTTCAAATTACTGTGAGGGTTGGGGTAGATATTAAAAATACAACTAAATGCTATTTTAATAAATTATTTATATAATTTTCCTTAACTTCTGGCCATAGCTGTATCCCTTCTAGCAACAACTCAACCAAAGATGAACCCAGACCTGAAAATAAATACTAATGGCAGGAGTCAAACGTTTGAAATTAAATGTTTGAAAGCATGACATTTATTTTTTTGTCTGAATTAGAATTAATAAGATCTGAAAAATTTCTTTGACCAATTTATTTAAATATCCTTACGTAAATGCATATTTGTCCAGTATCATGCAGCTTAAAAAGTCCTTATTTGTATTATTTCATGAGATTTTTTTGCGGATTCTGGAAGGTGTGTGATATCTACAAGTACCACAGAAGACATAAACAGTGAACGCTCCATCAATAACGCCATTAATAAAATAAATATAATAATAAGTGTTTTAGATAGGAGCAATACCAAAATACGTATGTTATTTGCAACATCCAACGTTTTGTAACTCACAGAGTCCTCAGTTTTCTTCCTCATAGTGCTCCACTCTGGAGAAAGAGCTGCGTCTCTGCTGAAAGTCCTTGTTAAAGTCCTCTGCTGTTCCTCTGTGTTTTTCCCATCAGGAACACAAGGATCACTGCACCACTGCCGCACATCCTGACTACCAGAACACCTCAACAGCACTGCCAAAACACAAAGAGAGAGATGCTCATATTAAGGAATTCAATTACAATGCATCTTGTATGTTCTGGTAGTTATTAATACCTGATTTTGGATTGGATACAGTTTCTGGGCACAGAGTAGCACTGGGTCGAAGCGTCAGGTCCTTGTCCTCCAGATCACATTCTAAAGAGCTCATGGGAGGAAGTGATGTTGTCGCAGAGGCAGGTGGAGGGCTGAACAGTCCACTCTTCCTCTTACTCCACTACATTAGAAATCATTTATTAAGATTTTTTTTCTTGCTTACGTTACTTGTATACATATAACAATAAAAACTATTCATTGCAACACGTTTAAGTGCAAACCTCAAAAAATGAGAATCGTTTGACTGTCATACTCCTAAAAGAGAAAAAGTTCAAAGCACAATGTCAAAATGATTTCTGAATGTCTGTGCAATAGTGTTATAATAAGAAATAAAGTTAAACTGCATTATAAGTAAAGGTTATATGTATACACAAATACAGTATTTTGTATGTGTGATACATACTCCACAAGATGGCGCACAAAATTTAGCAAAAAAAAAAAAAAAAAATGTACCTCTGCTGTAACTCCTCCTCCACACACTCCAGAAGACCCCTGCAGAAATGAATAGTTAGGGTAAAAACATAAAAAATAAGCTTTAAACATAATACAACAGCAAGTCCATTTCAATTAATCAGCACTTACGGTGACTCGGGTTCATCTCCAGATATGCTCCAATCATCACATGATCCCTAATGACGGACATATACAGTTATTAGCCCTCCTGTGAAATTTGTATTCTTTTTAAAATTTTTCCCATGTGATGTTTAACAGAGATTAGTTTTAACATGTTTTAAACATTATAGTTTTAATAAAAAATTTGAATAACTATATTTTTTTTATTTTTGCCATAACAGTGCATAATATTTCACTAGTTTGTTTTGCAAGACACTAGTATTCAGCTTAAAGTGCGATTTAAAGGCCTAAGCAAGCAGCTTAATCTGCTTTACCAGGCAAGTTCTGTAGAAAATCGATTTCTTCATAATAATGACCTTAAAATTATATATTCTTTTATTAAAATACACTTTTATTTCAGTCAAAAAATAACTTACGATTAAAATATATTATTATATATATGTCCTTGCTTTGTTAAACATCATTTGGTAAATATTTAAAAAAGAGAAAAAAATTCAAAGGGGAGCTAAAATTCTGACTTCAACTGTATGTATGTATATATATATATATATATGCACACACACACACACACACACACACACACACACACACATATATATAGATACATTTTTACAGTATGTCTGATAATGTTTTTTCTACTGCAGAAAGTCTTATTTTATTTCGGCTAGAATAAAAGCAGTTTTTAATTTTTAAACAATTTTAAAGACAAAATTATTAGCCCCTTTAAGCTATAATTTTTTCGATTGTCTACAGAACAAACCATCATTATACAATAACTTACCCTAACAAGCCTAGTAAAACTAATTAACCTGGTTAAGCCTTTAAATGTCACTTTAAGCTGTATAGAAGTGTCTTGAAAAATATCTAGTCAAATAATATTTACTGTCATCATGGCAAAAATAAAATAAATCAGTTATTAAAAATGAGTTATTAAAACTATTATTTTTAGAAATTTGTTCTCTGTTACAAAAATCTCTCCGTTAAACAGAAATTGGGTAAAAAAATAAACAGGGGGCTAATAATTCTGACTTTAACTGCGTTTAGACTTTTTCCCAAAGAAAAAATATAAGCGAATACTGTGAAAAAAAATCCTTGCTCTGTAAAACAGCACTTGGCAAATCATTAAAAAGTAAAAGTTTTAGAGAAGAGCTTATAATTTATCCAATATTTGTGTTTGATGACACACAAAATGCACAAAAAAGGTAGTTTGAAGTTTGTCTGACAAAATGGGTCACAGAGAGCATTAATGAGAGAAATAAAACTGACCAAGTCAGGATAGGGTTCCGTCTCTTTCCGTCTGGGAGGGGTAAACTTGACTTGGTCAACTGAAACAAATAACAAACACACTTATAACACAACTGCATATTTTTCAAATATATATTTACTACAATTCAAAAGATTTTTTTATCTAAAATTTTGACCCTCTGGTTTCCCCCACAAGTCTAAAGACAGGTGCTATAGGTGAATTGGGTAGACTAAATTGGCCGTAGTGTATGTGTTTGAATGAGTGTGATTTCCCAGAGATGGGTTGTGGCTGGAAGGGCATCCGCTGCGTAAAACATATGCTGGATAAGTTGGCGGTTCATTCTGTTGTGGCGACCCCTGATTAATAAAGGGGCAAGAAAATGAACGAACGAAAATTTTGTCCAAGGCTGAATTCTAATGATAATATTGCTAAAATACTAATTAGAATAGCATATTTAATAATAATATTAATAATAATACATTTTATTTGTAATGCGCTTTTCTTATACTCAAAGCGCTTCAGGCAAATCACTAAAACACAATGCAAGCAAAACAGCACAACAATAAAAGAAGCAATAAAACAATAAAAATATGAACCATAAGAAAGAAATAAAAAGTTAAACAAAATGATCATCTTAAATTAAAAGCAACGCTAAAAAGGTGAGTCTTAAGAAGTTTCTTAAAACAGTCCAGAGAGGCAGCATTCCTAATGCTGATGCATATTTCTGGCTTTGGCAGATTATATAATGTCAATCATAGCCATAGTCAATGCCATAGTCAATAGGGCATTCAATCTGTCTTTCAATGTGATATTACTTTGACTGGGTCACAGTGAGGACTAAACCAAAGCTATTAAACTCTGCACTGCTAAAACTCCTTCTAAAACACGAACTAAAGAGAGTACAAAAACTCCCAACATGACAAATGACAAATATACATATATATTAGGGCTGACCAAATTCCCTCCATCAGCGCCATTACCCATCGTGGCCTCCCAATCATTCTCATTCACTAAATTGGCTCTATCACTGTCTCTCCTCTCTTTTGTAACATTCAAAACATCTATCCTGACACTTTTAATAGATTGAGTGCAGTCTTGCTGAGTACACTGTGATAATAACTTAAGGTTAAAAAGTGAAATCTCTGTCATCGTTTACTCACCTTTCACTTGTTCAAAACCAATTTGAGTTTCTTTCATTTGTTGAACACTAAAGAAAAATGTTTTGAAGAATGCAATTGGAATTAGCAATTAGTCTTTAAAATTTCTTCTTTCGTGTTCAAAAAACCCCATGAGAGACAAGAAATAATTAATGAAATTAAAATTTTGGGGTGAACTATACCTTTAATTAACTTATTTTATGTAAAAGTGAGCTTGTTGTCTTAAATGCATTTGTATGTGTGTGTGAGAGAGACCTTTAGAACTTGAACATCACTTCCTCAGACACCCTAAAGAAGCTTCATTGTCCATCAGCCTGCTTTTCTGCCTGTGAATGCTGTAATCTTACAGTCAAGAAGTGTGACAAAGGATTCTCAGTAAAAGTGGCATCAACTTGCCACACGATCACACACACGCACAGAGCTCTCTGCTTGGCCTTAAATGTAAGCAGTGGATCAGTGTGTGTGTGTGAGGGGGAGGGAGATGGACATGCCATAGACGTGTGCTAAACAGTACCAGCTCTATGAGTTTGACATCACTAGCGTTATGCTCAATAGCCGCCTTGTTGCCTGAGTACTGAACATACATACATTAAACTCTAATCATGCACACGCTAAAAATCTAAACACACACACGGACTTCGCAGTGACACTGGACTTACAGCAGAAAACAAACCAAAAGATGAAAATGTGATGTGATCATAAACAAGCTAAACATTTTAAGTAAAGTTTATTTATAAACTAATTTCGAGAGAATCACTTGATTATGATTGCCTGCGGCTGGTCCCACATTATTCAATTTATGATTCACCAATCAGACGATTCCTAAACCACTATAAATACCCATAGTTCCATATAACAGCCATCTTCGTTTTGAAGAATCCCCTCTTCCACCCCTATTCCTTCTCCTTTTCTAAATGAGTGGCATGGTGGCCTAGGGGTTAGCACTGTTGCCTCACAGCAAGAATGTCAAGGTTCTAGTCCTTACCAAGTCAGCCAACATTTCTGTGTGGAGTTTACATGTTCTCCCCGTGCCCACATGGGTTTACCCCGGGTTCCCCGGTTTCCTCCCAACGTCCAAAAACATGCAACTTAAGTTAATTGATGAACACAAATCAGCACCACAGGCATGCTCTTAATAAGTAGCTATTTCTTAACAGCAATCACTATCTGTTCATTAGCTACTACAGCAGGGGAGTTTGCGAGATCTACCTAAGCTCAAACTCCCCTCTCGCCTTGCACACAGGAGGGAGCCCCAGGCTCGAGGATCTTATGAGCTCAGGGCTCTCTCCCCGGACAGCATGCTAAACAAGCTTTATAATCAATCATCAGCTAAGTGTGAACTCTTGGAAGAGAGGGAGATTTTGGGTTTATTGCCATATCAGCGTCCTTGTCTATTTCATAGCAAAAACAAATAAAATTTGTAAATATCACTTTTATAAAAAAGATTTATAATACAGATAAATCACAATTAATTGCATCCAAAAGAAAAGTTTGCTTTGAATTAAGATATTTGTATGTATTACATATATTTATTATGTATATGTGATACACACGCATACACAAAAACAAAACTTTTAAAAAATATTTAAATTTGTATTTAATTTGTATTACTTACACACACACACACACACACACACACACACACACACACGCGCGCGCACACACACACACACACACACATACATATATATATAATCTACTTATATATTTTTTAAATATGTGCATGCAAGTGTATATTTACAGTTATAGTGAGAATTATTAGCCCCCCTTTGATTTTCTTTATTTTTATTTTATTTTTTTATGTTTCCCAAATTATGTTTAACAGAGCAAGGACATTTTCACAGTTTGTCAGATAATATTTTTTCCTCTGGAGAATCTCTTATTTGTTTTATTTTGGCTAGAATAAAATCAGTTTTTATTTTTTAAAACTATTTTAAGATCAAAATTATTACCCCCTTTAGGCTATATTTTGTTTTGATAGTCTACAGAACAAACCATCATTTTACAATATCTTGCCTAATTACCATAACCTGCCTAGTTAACTTATTTAACCTAGTTAAGCCTTTAAATGTCACTTTAAGCTGTATAGAAGTGTCTTAAAAAATATCTAGTCAAATATTATTTACTGTCATCATGGCAAAGATAAAATAAATCAGTTATTAGAAATGAGTTACTAAAACAATTATGTTTAGAAATGTGTTGTAAAAATCTGCTCTCCATTAAACAGAAATTGGGAAAACAATAACGAGGGGGGATGGAGGGGGGGGGGGGGGCTAATCTGTTCTGTTGTTCTGACTCCAACTGTATATATTTATACAATACATGCACATATTATTATGTCAAAACAAACTTTTATTTTGGAGGTGAATTAATCACCCAATGCTAATTTATAACAACAATGAATAATACATAAAATAACATAAGAATCTTAAACAGTTTTTTAAGACTTACTTTTATTAAAAGAATTACTTTTTTAAAAGGATTAAAAAATTTGTTTAAAAATGAGTCATTTAAAGACTCCCCATAATAACACTGTTGTCTGATAACATTAAAAATAGGGCATCAAAAAAATGTTTGTGTTTGACAGTTAGGTTGCTATTGCAATATTCACAAACATTTTATATGGTAGAAATACATTTATGACTTCATTTGTATTTCTAATGTATCATTGCTTAACAATATACTGTATGGTAATTCTAAATGGGTTAAAAAAGGCTGATGCTGGTACAGTACAATGTAACGTATAGCAAAGTATATAGTATATGGTAGAACTATATTATATAAAGTAAATCATTTAATAATAACAAGTATAATCCAAATAACATTTCTAAATACAAATAACAATAACCTTACCACATGTTTTCTTAGTTATGTCCTTCCCAAAATATATGGGATGAATTTACATACTTAAAAATTCTGTATAGTCTATGCCTCCCTCAACATTCAAGACTGACTTTCTCTTATTTATATATTGCCACTTTGTTATGTTTATCGTATATTGATTGCTGTATAATCTGTTGGTTGGGGTTAGATCTATAATGTATTTGTATTTTTGTATTCTGTAATATGTTTTATTTTTCTTTTATTCTGTTCTTTTTTTTCTATTTTTTTTGTTCTTGTTTACTTAACTGTGTAAAAAATGAGCTCAATAGCTTATAAATTAGCAAATAAGCTTATATATTGAGCCTACGCAGATATTTTTACAAAGTGGCAATTTATGTATAATGGGTGATATTAGGGGTTTTGCACATTATTATTATTATTATTATTATTATTATTATTATTATTATTATTATTACTATCATTATTACTATTATTATTATTATTATTATTATTATTATTATTATTGTTGTTGTTGTTGTTGTTGTTATTATTATTATTATTATTATTATTATCAATATTAATACTACTATTATTATTGTTGTTGTTGTTGTTGTTGTTGTTGTTATTATTATTATTATTATTATTATTATTATTATTATTATTATCAATATTAATATTACTATTATTATTATTGTTGTTGTTGTTGTTGTTGTTGTTGTTGTTATTTTTTATTGTGATTATTATTGTGGGAAATATTATGATTTTTTCATTTACGCAAAAACATATATGCTTTGTTTAGTTAGCATGATCCATTTATATTTAACCATATGACATATGACAATTGTAAAATAAATAAATTGTCAAATTAAGTATATTCATATGAGCACAGATTTAATAGCTGCTACTTAATATTTTCTTCCCATAAAATCTGTATCTGATATGGAAACATATGAAACAAGATAGGCTACTCAATCCCTGTGCCCATGCCTTTTATTTGGTAATGTTTCATGCATGTCTTTTAGTTGATCCTGTCACATGATACTGTACTGATTTGTGTACACGCTTGTGTGTAAACAGTGTTAACCAGAACTTACATTGTTCTTCAGACAAGCTCCTCTCCACTGCCATATGTTTCCCTTTGGACTGGATTTTATCTGGGGCTGTGTCGTTTGCCTTTAACACACACACACACACACACAAACACACAAATATTTGTACACTTTGATACACTGAACTCTGACTGGATATTTGCAAAGAGCTTTAAATAACTTAAAAAGCCTAATCAAACAGGGCAAAGTTTCACAAAATGTCCTGCTTCATCTGCCCCATTTCATTGTGTTCTTTACTGTTTTTTTATTAAGAAAAATACTGTGATATGCAGATTTATATGTAAGTTTTCAAAAGAATGCTTTTCGGAAATTTTGCCTTGCTCAGTGATTAAAGAGACACTTTAATTCTTCTGTTGAACACAAATAATGAAAGATAAACAGGCATTGACTTCCATAGTATTTTTTGTTCCTACTATGGAAGTCAATGGCTGTTTTTGTTCCAGCAATCTACAGAATATCTTGTTCTGTGTTCAACACGAAATAAATTCTTTTTTTTTCAATTAGAACCACTTAAGTAGGAGTAAACTAACAGGAAATTAAAATTTTTGTGTAAACTATCCTTTAAGCAAGCAAAAATGACCATAAATATGTATAAGAAGGCTATATCCTGTATTTAATATATGAGAGAAGAAGACATGAAAGTGTAAAACAGCACAAGAAACAGTATATTTCTATACAAGTGTCTTTCTGTCACCTCTTCATTCTCCTCAGGACTGGTTGGTCGGTGGAGATCTGGGTTATTTGCCATGTCCAGCAGCTCAATCATCAGTTTTCTGGTCAGTAACTGTGTTACAAACGGATGCTGAGGAGAGAAACGGTGAACTTATTAACTATCAGTTCTAATTATAACTTTACAAGGAATCTAAACTGTTGTATTGCGACATTGTATAAGGATCTTATTTAGTTATGAAGATGATCATATCAGGATGTTGTCAGTAAAAGAAATAACAAAGAATGTAATAAAAATCATATACTTAGATCTGCAATATTTTAAACTCCTTATAAATGCTGTTAACTGAATTAATATAAAGTAATGCTGACACATTAAATATATTAAAGAGCTAATTCACCCAAACAATGAAAATTCTGCCATCATTTACTCTTCCTTCGTTTCAAACCTGTCTGAGTTTCTATCTTCTGTTGAACACAAAGGAAAATATACTGAAAAATTCTGGCAAAAAAACAGCCACTGGCTTCCAAAGTATTTTATGTTCTTACTATGGATGTTTTCTTCCCAGCATTCTTCCAAATATCCTCTTTTGTGCTCAACAGAAGAATGATGTTTATAAAAGTTTAGAACCCCTTGATTGTGAATAAATGGTGAATAACTTTTGGGTGAACTGTGCTTTTAAATTGGTTTAACCTGTAATAATGTGTTAATCAAAATAATATTTTGATCAAATAAATGGACTTTGGTTTGGATTATTTTACCAATCCATTCTTTTTATCGATAATGTATATCTCTAGGATAAATACTGGCCTGTACAGTATATAGTAGGAATTATATGACATCTTTTATAACTAATACAAAAACTAAAGGTCCCTTGCATCCACCCAAAAACATGAGAAAGGTTATTAAAGTGGATCCATATTGAGCAGCAATAACAAAAACAATGTTAACTTTGTTTCTACAGATAGAAGCTTTGATGATTGTTACCTGAAGAAGAGTTTCTGCTGTCGGCCTTTTACGAGGACTTTTGATCAAACACATCTTCACAAAGCTATGAAAACCAGCACACCTGCCAAGACAAAGACACAAACCTCGTTTCACATTTACAAGAACTTTTTAAAATGATTTAAAGTAAAGTCAGGTCAATTTATTTATAAAGCACATACAGTGCTGTAAAAGTGCAATGCTAAGATTAAATAGAAGAAACTTAACAACAGAGCAACACATAATTACTAGACAAGACTTTACACATTAAAATAATCAACATACAAAGCAATGCCACTGAATACAAATACAGTTGAAGTCAAAATTATTCGATGTATAACAGAGCAAGGCATTTTTCAAAGTTTTTTTTTGTTTGTTTTTTTGGTAGAATTAAAGCAATTTTACATTAAAAAAACATTTTAATCATTATTATGAATAATATCAATATTTAATAATTATACTCTGATAATTTTTTTTCTCAGATAGTCTACAGAACAAACCATGGTTATACAATGACTTGGTTAATTACCCTAACTTGCCTAGTTAACCTAATTAGCCTAGTTAAGCCTTTAACATGCACTTTAAGCTGAATACTAGCTTCTAGAAAAATATCTTGTCAAATATTACAGTATGTACTGTCATCATGGCATAGATAAAATAAATCAGTTATTAGAAATGAGTTATTAAAACTATTATGTTTAGAAATGTGTTGAACAAATCTTTTCTCCGTTAAACAGAAATTGGAGAAAAAAATCTAAAATAATTAAAATTTAACAAAAGGGCTTCAACTGTAAGTCTTCAACTGAGATTTACAAATTGAGTCGTTCTAAAGTCCTGAGGTAGTCTACTGAAAAAGCACTCTCCCCTTTTCAGCTTCTCACCATTTGCTCTTGTCTTTTAGTTTAGGAGACTGGAAGCTGCTTTTAGACATCAGCATCAGAGCTCTAGAGTGGACAAGAAAACTCAGCTCAGTACTGTTTTTATACTGTATTTTCACTTCTCTCAAATGAATGAGATTTTTTCTGACCGCATGGGATGAAGGTCAAACATTGGAGGCTGGAGCTCTGCCAGCTCGATGGCGGTGATGCCCACTGCCCAGATATCACACAAGTGGTTATATCCACCCTTCTTCTCCACCGCAGCCACCTCAGGGGCCATCCTGGCAAAACACACACAGACTTTCATTAGATATCTCACACCTGCTGTTGGATCATGTAAAGCAGTGTTTCTCAACCATGTTCCTGAAGAATCACCAACACTGCATGTTTTGGATGCCTCTTTTGTATGTCACACCCATTACATGTCTTTCAATCTCTGGTCATGAACTGATGACCTGAATCTGGTGTGTTTTATTTAGAAGACATAAAAAATTATCACAAGATCCAGCATAATGTAACAAGATCCAGCATTAATCATTATAATATCCTTATATGTTACTCAAGAAAAAAATTATTAATTTATGATTGACATGATTAGTTCATTTTTGATATCGTTGATGGCAAAATTATTAGCCCTTCTGTCAAATTGTAATTATTTTTCAAATATTACCGAATCGATATTTAATCCCGGATCAAGGCATTTTCTGTCATGTAAGGGTCTGGGGCAACAGAACTGTGGATCCACATGCAGTTTATTAAGAAGAGTAGTCAGACAGGCAACGGTCAAACAGGTAGCAAACAGAAGCATAAAGATAATCCATAATCATAGTCAAAAACAGGCAAAAGGTCAGTGCAGGCGGCAAAACAATGTAAACAATAAAACAAGGCAAGGGTCAAAAACCTAGCTAGACAAGACAAGGAAAACGCTTACATGATGCTCTAAAACAGAAACAACACATTAGCAATGATGTGTGTGTTGTGTTTATAGCCCATCTGGTTAATCCTAAACTCCTTTAGCTGTGTGTTAGCAATCAAGGTAGATCTGGGCCAGGTGTGTGAGTGAAGTGCATGATGGCATTTGTAGTTCATTAAAGTGGCGTGTTTGTAGATCTTCTCCAGCCTGTGCAGATTGCTGATGATTCTGACATTTTCACTGTAGATCTTATTATACGCTCTTATTATGTTTTCTTCTAGAGCAGGGGTCACCAACCTTTTGGAAACTGAAAGCTACTTCTTGGGTATCGTTTAATGTGAATGGCTACCAGTTTGATACACACTTCCTAATAACAAATTTGCTCAATTATTATTAATAATTAATGATATTCATCTATGTGAAGACACTGATCATGTTAATGATTTCTCACAATAGTTGTCAACATTGATTGGAAACAGATAAATATCAATATGCAACACTTCATTTGTCTGAAGTTGTTTTTAAAGTTTTTTTTTTATATATAACTTAATGTCATTTTAAATTTTACACCAATGCAAGTGCTACAAAAAATATTAGATGCAGCTTACTAGTATGTGGTGCTATGGTAAGCTAATATTTTTATAACAGGGCCACGGGCAACTCATGTGATCCTCGCAGGCTACCTGGTGCCCGTGGGCACCGTGTTGTTGACCCCCGTTCTAGAGAAAGTCTTATATCATTTAGTTTGACTGGAATAAAATCAGTGAATTTATTAGTTAGTTATTAGAAATTAGTTATTTAAAACTATTATGTTTAAATATGTGTTGAAAAAAATAATATCTCCAGTAAAAAGCACTTGGGAAGTATTTGAAAAAGAACAAAAATTTCACATTTATTTAAGAAAACTATAAAAACCATAAAAACCTGTTCATGACATACTGATTATATAATTTTAAGCATGACGTTTACAGTAAAAATTAAAACTTAAATCTGCTAAAAAATATATTTTAATTTCGTAAATGCCTATACAAACCATAGGTTTTGCTAGTTTTTATAATCTACTTAAACAGGCGATACAAAAATGCCGCAGTGATCTATTTTTTTACACTTCAGTTGCATTCATAGATGACAGCGTGCTAATTGCTTTAGAAAAAAAAAAGTCCAGACAGTGCAATTCTGCAAGGCTCGAGGGCAAATCTCTTCACAGATGCTCACCAGTAGGGTGTTCCTATGAAGGACTTCCTTTTGGCAACAGAGGCACTGATCTCTGCAGCAACCCCGAAATCAGCTACAGAGAGGAGAGAGAGAGAAAGAGAGAGAGAGACAGAGAAAGAGAGATTAATCTAAAATGAGCAACCTCAGTTGTCTGTGTCTGTTTAGGATTCAATAACACAAGATCACTTACCCAGTTTGACATCTCCTCGATCAGTAAGAAGAATATTAGCTCCCTATACAAGGAAAATATATAAATATATTTGTATTAATATATATTTTTTAAATCACCTCATCCATTACACTGTTAACAACATAAACCACTGTTCAAAAGTCGGAGGTCAGTAAGACTTTTTTGTGACTTTTGGTTTGTTTGTTTTTAATTATTACTTTTATTCAGCAATGCTGCATTAAATTAGTCAAAAGAAGCATTTAAGCTGTTTAATTTAAGTTGTTCTGAAGTTTTATAATCAAAGAACCAAAGAAAAAATGCATCATGGTTCTCATCAAAATATCAAGCAATGCAACTGTTAATAACCGGTAATAACATTGATAAGATTTCTTTCCTTTTTCTGCATATAATTACTTCTGAAGTATCATATGCTGATGAATATGTTTTCCATCAGATTAATGTGTTACAATCTTTAAACTTTCATAATAGTTAACAATATTACTGCTTTGTTGTATTTTTATTAGTGCTGGGCAAAGATTAATCATGATAAATCACATCCAAAATAATGTTTTTCGCATCCAAAAACGCATCCAAAAGCATGTATGTGCTGTCATCATAGCAAAGATAAAATAAAACAATTATTACAAATGAGTTATTAAAACTATTATGTTTAGAAATGTGTTGGAAAAATCTTCTCTCCGTTAAACAGAAATTGAGGAAACAATAAACAAGGGGGCTAATAATTCTGACTTCAACTGTATATACATAATAAATATACACAGGATGTCAAAACAAACTTATATTTTGGATGTGATTAATCATGATTAATTTTTGCCCAGCACTAATTTTAATTATATAAATCTCTCCTTGGTGTGCATAAGAGACTTCTTTAAAAACATTAAAATCAAAAACATTTCCAACCCCAAAACTTTTGAACAACCTCATTCACCTTTATATCTCTGTGTATTTTGCCTGTCTCATGGAGATGATTCAAACCCTGGACAAAACAAGAGCAGTCTGGTTAAATGAAAGTCCATGTCATTGCGGAAGATTTATGCATCTAAAGATCTTTTTCAATAATTAATCAGCCTCACCTGGAGCGTTTCCCTGCAGATGTAAGCAATCTGCTTTTCCTTTAAAGGTCCAGTTACTGCAGAGGGCATATTATATTAAACATTAGCCATTACACTCAGCTTGCGGGAACAGTTTACCTCAAAAACAAAGGTGGAAGAGATTGAAACATGTTTTGTTTAACAGAATATCTTCCTATGGAATTTTTTTTTTTACTTTTTTTGTATAATTTTTTTTAAAAGTGAGTGTTTTTTTTTCTTTTTAATTGGTTTAAAATGCTTAATTATTGTTTCATTTATAAGGCCATATGGTGCTTTCTATTAAAATATTTTCTTTTAGTGTGTAATATATCTGTTTGTCCATGTATTGAGTGGTTTCAAGATGTGTTCTGCCATATTGGAGGCATAGAATGTAAACAATGCCAATAAACTGAACAAAACTTGCATATTTCGCCAATTATTGTTGCTGAAAATGTTGCTATTATGTGTTGGGGTGTACCAATCAGTTGGAAAAGGAAAAAAACATTTTTAGTAGGCTTTAGCCTGCCAAACAATTTAACAAACGGAATAGTGAAAAAACTGTCTGAGGAACAAAAGGGGTTTGTGGTTGGCCAAACTGAGCCAGGATATGCAGTGAAAGAATCATATTCATATTTGTTCTTATCATATCCAGTCAAGTAAAATATGAATGTAATATTTTTATGAATATTGCTCATATAATGCTTTTACCACCCATTAAATGAAAAGTCCTTTACAGTGACGCCACTGGGGGGGTTGTTAGGACGATTCTAGGCCCGCACCGTTTTGAGGCCCCCAGAGTTACATTTAGCCCCCCATCCCCCAAAAGTGGTCTTTACTTTCGCCTGTGACATCATCAGAAAATTGTCATTGGGCCTGTACTGACCAGCGGCGCCCCTGGTCCTCTATAGAATGATGCAGCTTCAACATATTTTCCATGGTTTAAAGACAGCATAAATAGGCATGAACAGCATATTCAGTATGTTAACTGTCCAATCCATGTTGTTGTTGTACATCTCAGTATTTCCAATATAGCCACTGCTCATATGGATAACTGACCAAATTTTGACATACACTGTGAGTGAAAACGCTCTATAGATCTTTTTTTTCCTCGCCACTGTCGCCACTGACTTGCTCGGATCGGGACTCGTGAAGCTGTGCATCGATGGATTTGCTCTTCAGAGTTTTAACTTTTAGCAGTGAAACTTAAACCACAATGAACTGAACTAAACTGAACTTCAACTCTGAAATCTGGACTTTACTAGAACTATGTTAAGCTGCTTTGACACAATCAACATTGTAAAAGCGCTATAGAAATAAAAATGAATTGAATTGAATCTTATAGTCTCCCACAAAAAGGGTTTTTCTCTCTAACAGAGATAATCAGTCTCTGTAATACACAAAAAAGAACTTTAAACAGCGTCTTGTGAGCTGTTTACATTGTAATGTTATACCTTGGTAGATATCCTGCAATGATCCTCCTCCACAGTACTCCATGCAGATCCACAATTTAGTGTTCCTGAAAAGCCAAAACAGTTCAGTACACCCAAAACATTTTAATAAATACAAAGAAAAGGTCTTATTCAAAGAGAAAGTCTTATTTCTTAGTTTGTCTGTAATAAAAGATGTAAACAGTTGAGGGCAAAATTATTAGTCATTCTGTACAATACTTATTTTTAAAAAAAAGATTTCTCAAGTGATATTTAACTGATTAAAGATGCAGTAGGTGATCTGCCAAAATGCTTTCTGTTAGCTTAATATCTTTGAAATACAGTCCCACCCCTGCCGAACAAAGCTTCGCCTCCTGAAATCATGAACGCACACCTTAAAGACAATCCACTAGATCATGTCATTCACCAGTTAGAAAACTTTTTTAGTACTTTATAATACTAAAATTCTGAACAAAAAAATAGTTTTCTGTTGTGTAGCAAGCAAAACTTGCCATAATGTGCTAAATTTCATGCATGTAAGGATCATTGGTCTCACTCTCTCACATGCTTTGTCCTAAAGCCACTACTGTAGCTTAGTGGTTGGCTGGCAGTTTGCAGGAATTACACTATTACTAAGCCATACTTACATGCTATTTCAGAACAAATATTCAGAGTAGCATGGTAAACAATATCGGGAGCGCATAACAGGCTATCATTGTTAAAAAATGAACCAATGTGAATATAAAACCAAATTCACCTCAGTAAAGCAGGCTAGGCATATTTACTTATGTTTTGCTGTTAAACTAAATAAAAATCTACAATATTGATGCAGTAAAAGGTCCCTTATGAAACTGAAAATAGTCGCATCAATCTTTCTCCAGAGGATTTCTGTGCATATTGTAACGTGGAAATGGATGCTGACAACAGGGGTGTGGATCCAAATGCAAAGTCTTTATTCAGACAGAAAGTAGTCAGCCAAGCAACAATCAACTTAGGAGCAAAAAGGGCAATCCAGAGTCATTGTCAATTAAACAGGCAAAAGTTCAACAGGCAAGCAGCAGGCAACGTACACAAGCAAACAAGGCGAAGGTCAAAGCACACGGCAAAACAAAACAAGGAAAACGCGTCATAATGTTCCACAAACAGATCAACAAGACTCAGCAATAACTGTGTTAATGTGCTGTATATATAGTCCATGAATCAGTCCGTGAGTAGTTTCAGCTGTGAGCGTCTAATCAATGGTGACTTGGAGCAGGTGAGTGTGTGTGTGTGTTGATCTGTAGTCCATAAACCGGCAGATTTGTAGTTTATGTAAACATCAATGTTTTCAACTCTGGTGGTCAGATCGCTGGTGATCGTGACACATGTAACCCATTCGTAATTCAACAAAATCTATATCAGCTTTGTGTGACTAAAATACTTTTAATACAGAACATTACCTCTCTAAAAGAAATACTTCAGCCATGGTGTCATCCTTCCTCCAGCGTGCAAAGTTAACTCCAATATGGATTCAGGATTTTAAAAAGTTTTGATTATGCATTTGTTTTTATCATGGCCACTCTCTCTCTCTCTCTCTCGTGTGCATGTGAAAGTGGTACATATGCATGCGCAAACGGCGGATTTGTCTGCGAGATCGGGGTGCGCAGACGTACAAATCTACATTTGTTGACAAACAGTTTGGGCTACTTATCAGAATTATGGAAATTGTCCACCCGGCAAATTTTAATTGGACGAACATTGGTCACACTTTACAATAAGGTTCATTAGTTAATGTTAATTAATGCATTTACAAACATGAACAAACAATGAACAATACATTTACTACTGTATTTGTTCATGTTAGTTAACGTTAGTTAATGAAAATACAGTAGTTCATTGTTAGTTCATGTTAACTTATGGTGCATTAACTAATGTTAACAAGCATGGACTTTAATAATGCATTAGTAAATGTTCAATCATGATTAATAAATGCTGTACATGTGTTGTTCATGATTAGTTCATGTTAGTAAATGCATTAACTAATGAACCTTATTGTAAAGTGTTACCCGAACATTTTTTAGCTTTACGGCTTACCCAGAATATAAAAATACACATCAATACATTTAGATCATTTACTTGAATCATTACTATTGGTATAAGAAGAGACTTTTAACCAGCACAACAAAAATGTTTCTGAAGACAATCACCTACTGCAAATTTAAGGAAATGTACTATAATATGTTTTCTTCTAAAGAAAGTCTTATTTGTTTTATTTCAGCCACAATAAAAGCAGTTTTTAATAAAAAAAAACTTTTAAAAGATTTAATTACCCTAATTTACCTAATTAACCTAATCAACCTAGTTAAGCCTTTAGATTGAAATTTAAGCTGAATTCTAGTATCTTGAAAAATATTTAGTAAAATAAGATGTAATTCAAACTGTTTTAAAATGTATTTTAAAAAAGTCTTCTCACAATTAAACAGCATTGGGGAAGTATCTAAATTAAGAAAAAACTTAACAAGACAGTTAATAATTCCGTCTTCACACCCCCTAACTCACAAACATGAAAAGAATCTCATAAACATTTTGAAAGCATGTGAGTGGGAATACATGGCGCTGAAATATTATTTAGGAATGCACAAAAGTCATCTAGAGCGTGTGCTAACACATGTCTGCAAGCATTTACAAAACCTATTAAACATGCCCAGGTGATCTGTAGTTCTTGTCTGTTTGTTTAACTCTGCCTGTAGGGGTGTAAAACAGGCTGTGGAATGCACCTTTCTATGCCCTGACAACTTCTGCAGAAATAGCATTCTGGAGGAACCACAAACATTACTGTACCTGTGGTAAGTTCCATAATAGGCCACAATGTTCTTATGCTTACACTCCTTCATCATCGTTATCTCTTGCTGGATGGAAGTGATGTCATCTCCTGAATGAGGATGATAGAAGGGCACACTGTAAAAATGCAGGGTTCAACACAATTCATTCAGGTTGTCCTAACACAAATTGATTAAGTAACAAGTTTAAGTGGATTGAACATAAAACAATTAAGTTGTCCCAGTAACACTTTATTTTGATGGGCCATTTGGTTATAAGTAGACTGTCTGCTTAATATCTGTTGATACTGCTCCTTCAACAGACATTTAACTGACTATAAGAGACTTTGCAAGTACATGTTAACTAACAATAACCCTAATACCCACAGTCTACTCATAATCTATTGAGAATTAGTTGACATGTAGATGCAATGTAACTTAAATCAACAAACAGACAATCAAAATAAATTGTAATCAAGAATTGTGTTGTTTAAGCTTGAGTTGCATAAGTAGTTTGAACAGGCAACAAAATATATATAGTTAAAAAAAAAAAAAAAAAAAAAATATATATATATATATATATATATATATATATTTAAATATATAATATATATATATATATATATATATATATATATATATATATATATATATATATATATATATATATATATATATATATATATATATATATATACATATATTTATTTATTCATTTATTTATTTATTTTATTTTATTTACTGAACAAGTAATTGCCAAATTTTCTAAATAGTTGATACCAAAAAATTAAGAGTTAGTTCTAATTAGTTCTGAATTCAGCAAATAATGACTAAAAAAAATATGAGACACTGAAAAACTGAAAAAGTTTATGTTGCAAGGGTGTATGTTTTGGTAAAATACAAAACTATACTGTACTGTATGGGTCAAAATTATTATAATTTTTTTTCTTTTATACTAAAAATCATTGTGATGGTAAGTAAAGACTATGTGCTGTGAGGATATTTTGTAAATTTCCTTTGTAAATGTATCAAAACTTAATTTTTGATTAGTAATATACATTGCTAAAAATTTACTTTGGACAAATTTAAAGGCGATTTTCTCAATATTGTTATCAGTTTTTGAAACCTCAGATTACAGATATTCAAACTGTTGCATCTCTGCCAAATATTAAATTACTATGAAGTTTATCAATAACCATTTGTAACCTTTAATATTTCATTTTATTTTTTAATGCATGTTGTTGGATTCCTTACAATCAATCTAAATCTGTTAAAATAGTACTACCGAATACTATTATATTTAATCAGAAAATCAATTATATGAATTTGGTATACATAAATCTAGCTGTAGAAAAAGCCAGATCCAATTAGTACAATTCTATGAGATTGGTTTAATTTTCATTCAGGGGCAAAATTGACGTAACTCCATACTCCATACAATAAATGAATTAGTCACGGTCACCAGCGATCCAGTCTGTGCAGATCACTGGTATACAGATCGCTACCAGACTACAAATCCGTCACTCTAACGAATCAGTCTTTGAGCAGCTTAAGCTGTGTGAATGTGATCAATCGGGATCAGGAACCGGTGTGTATGCATATGGTGCATGACTGGAACTTGTAGTTCTTGAAACGGCAGATTAGTAGTCTGTTAGCGATCTGTGTGTATACCAGCGATCTGCGTAGGCTGGATCACTGGTGACCATGACAGAATTAATAAGATATTATTACATAAATCTTGTTCTTATTTGTTTAGTTTATGTTTAACTAACAAATATCAAATCACACAAAGTTTATTTGTTCAATTATGTTAAAATTCTGTAATCCAAATGGATGGAAAATTTAATATACAATCAGACTACAGAAATCTTATTTGTTAGGCCTAAATTTATGTTTTGAGTGTAACAGACCATACATTAATGTAAAGCTTATTTATTCAGTAGTCAGATAACACTTAAAACTTAATTTCTAAAAACATAAAGTCTTCTATCTAGTTTTGTGATCCAGGTTTTTGTGGTCACATCTAGTTTTTGTGGTTGCATATATAACCTATAAATATAATAAGTACTAGTAGTTAATGTGCAATGCTGCAGACTTAGTTTTAGTAATTTTACTAGTATGGTTCATGATGGATTATGCATAACTACTGCACTGGTCAACACATTAAAACAACTCACACACCTGGATCCAGCTTAACAATTTTGATAGCAGCCATTTCTGAGCTCCTAATGTTTCTAGCCTGAAAGAAAAGACAATACATGATAAACATGAAAATCAGACTGTATTTTCTCTTTTACAGCTATATTGCTGTAAAATTAGTTAGGAAAATGATCATTTTATTATGATGTTTTAATCCTACAATGACGGTTGGGTTTAGGGATAGGGTTTCAGGGCATGACTCTTTTTTAAAACCAGATGTTTTCATATAAACAAAATTGTAAATAACACTTCATATGAATAAGCAGTTTTCTGACAATAAATATAATAGTTATGTTTCCTTGTGAGATCGGGCTGGTTGAGCCATGTTTTAACTGCGATAAAACACTGCATATTCGTGCACATTTTGTAATATCAATTTTTATACCCAACCTTTTAATTGTGTTACTAAGATTTTTGAAAATGTATAAAAGGGAACATATTATGCCCCTTTTTACAATATGTAAAATAAGTCTCTAATGTCCCAGGAGTGTGCATGTAAAGTTCATTCATTCATTTTCTTTTTGGCATAGTCCCTTTATTAATCTGTGGTCGCCACAGCGGAATTAACCGCCAACTTATCCAGCATATGTTTTACGCAGCGGATGCCCTTCCAACTGCAACCCATCATTGGGAAACACACATAAGCACACACATACATTACGGCCAACTTAGCCTATCCAACTCACTTATATTACATGTCTTTGGACTTGGAAACCGGAGCAACTGGAGAAAACCCAAGCCAACAAGGGGAGAACATGCAAACTCCACACCGAAATGCCAAAGGACCCAGCTGAGGCTCAAACCAGCAACCTTCTTGCTGAGGCGATCCTGCAATCCACCATGACGCCGCATGCAAAGTTAAAACTCAACACACCTCTCTGTTGAGACCCTTTTATGCTTTGATCCAAATTGTGCCGCTTTGGTGACTGTCGCTTTAAATTTTAGTGAGTTTGTGCTCCCAGCTCTAACTTTAACAGAGGGTGGAGCTATAAATGCCTATGTGTAAGCATAGCAACAGAGTCAAAACTCTAATGGCAGACAGCTGCTTCTCACTCAGAGCTGTCTATTCTAATGAGGGAGGGATCCTCACTAATGGGCGGGGCTTTCCCCTCTGATGACATGTATAAAAGGGAGAATGTCAATCAAAGTGTTTCTATGGACAGTTTTTATCAAGTGTGATTATAAAAAACAGAAGTATTTAACTTTTACAATTAGAGGCTGGTTATATTCAAACACTGTTGCCTCACAACTGTGTTTAAACCCCTTATAAATTAGATTTTTGCATAATATGTTCCCCTTAAAGTCTTTTATACAGGCCCAGATTGGCTAATCGGGGGGACCGGGAGAATTCCCTTTGGGCCGATGCATTATTTGGCACCGAGGGCTGGTGTCCTCTGCGGCTTGCACTCTCAGCAGTCGCACTTTTTTCATTTATTTATTCATTTGACCATAGCCTCACTCTTTTTATTCATTATTTTGCCGCAGCTCCGCTCTTTTTATTTATTTTCTCTCAGCACCATGAGCAAAATGCAGCCTGCAGGTTAATGATGATGTAACTATCATTCGACCCCAAACAGCGGCACCTTAGTGAATATAAAAATTTGAATAAATAATATTAATGAATAGTACACCAGCTCAATGAAAATCAGATGATTCACTACATTAATAAATCTGACATAACTTGATCAGAAATCTAAAAAGGGGAGAAAAAGATTAAGCCATCAATAGAAAGTAAAAGAGTTTTGCAGAGAACAGTGCAATACTTATTTTTCATTCTGATCCAATGGTCAGCACGTTGCGTTACGCCGAACCGAGTTCGAACCTCTCCTTAGTAGTTACTATTATTATTTCTTTTTTCATTTTTATTGTTAGACATACAATACTGTTAGGGCTGTTGGACATTTGAAGTTCTAAAGCAGTTGTTTTCTTGAAAAAGACTCAATAGTGTCATTAGAAACTGATTTGCAAATGACCTTATATTAATTTAGTCAGTCGTGAACTGAGGTGGGCCAGTCTAATACTTGAAACTCCAGGGCTGAGAAGGAGTCCCACTCCGGCCCTGCTTTTATGCTTAAATTAAAGCTTCATTTGATAAAAAATCCAGTAAAAAAACTGTAACAAAATTAATAATACATTTATAAAACAGCATTAATAACAAAAAATATTACAATTTTAAATAAGTGTTTTCTATTCTAATTTAGAAATGTCATATATTCATTTGTTCATTTTCCTTTAGCTTAGTCTCTAACTCTTTCAGAGTTTGCCACAGAGGAATGAACCACCAGCTATTGCGGCATATGTTTTATGCGCAGCAGATGCCCTTCCAGCCGCAACCCAGTACTGTGAAATACTCATATACACTCATTCACACACATGCTCATAAACTACGGCTGATTTAGTTTATCAAATTCACCTATAGCACATGTGTTTGGGCTGTGGGGGGAACCAGAGGACCCGGAGGAAACCCATGGGGAATATGGGGAGAACATGCAAACTCCACACAGAAATGCCAACTGACCTAGCTGGTTATCGAACCAGCGACCTTCTTGCTGTGAGGCGACAGCGCTAACCACTAAGCCACCAGGCCACCAAATGTAATATATTTCTGTTATGAACTAAACAATTCTTGTATAAATAAGTAAAATTTTAATAATCATTCTATAATGCTGATTTGCTTCTTGCTTTCCCAAAACCTGTTTAACATTAAATGTATACATGATACATTTTTTCAGGATTGCATGATGCATATTTTTAATAAATGCAGTATATATTTATATATACTGCATTATATACTTACATTGTTAATGTAAGCAACATATATATATATATATATATATATATATATATATATTGCTTACATTAACAATAACTGTCATTTATATTGCAGCTGGAAGGGCATCTGAAGTGAAACATGTGCTGGATAAATTGGCAGTTCATTCCGCTGTGGTGACCCTGGATAAATAAAGTGACTAAGCCAAAAAGAAAATGAATGAATGAATTATAAAGTGCTTTAATGAGCAGATGTAACAAAGATGTGACTTTAAGACCATGTTTACTTTAGTGAAATGCTCGGGATGCTGTAGAAAAGCCAGGAACAGATCCAGCTCTCCTGGCAGGCGCCTTAATGACAAATATCCCAGTGTCAGTAGCAGCCTGCTGCGTCCTTCATTGTAACCTTGTCCTATAACTGCAGCCAGAAGCTGATGTTCAGATTCATCTTTCTAGATTAACTGCACTATGAGTTCATCAGTCGTATGGAAGGAATCTATCAAAATAGATGCCATAAAATGTTACTTGCCAATGATTCATCAAATTCATAAAGTGTTGGAATGAAAAAGGCCGACATTAAATGTGTGGCTATATCTGTGTGATAAATATCTGAGTGAAATCTAAAACAAAAAATACATAAACAGAAATGTAGGGAAGGACTCAATTTTTGTCTATTGAGAATACACTCAGTTGTTGTTTGTTATTGGTCGATCATGCGAGTGACGGATTGTCTTGCTCACAATAAACACGTCATTATAAAAGAGAACAGATGACATTGAAGAAAAAGGGAAAGTTATTTTGTTTAAAGGTTATGAGGGTGATTCAAAAAACTTTGCAATAACAGTCTATTGACGGTCATCTTGGTATTAGCAAATAAATGCTTATTTTTAAAGGTATTATTATTGGGTCAATAACAAACTAATTCTGATATTAATTCATTCCTTCATTTTCTTTTCGGCTTAGTCCCTTTATTAAACAGGGGTCACCACAGCGAAATGAACCGCCAACTTATCCAGCACATGTTTTATGCAGTGGATGCCCTTCCAGCTACAACCCATGACTGGGAAACACCCATACACTCTCATTTACACACATTCACTACGGACAATTTAGCTTACCCAATTCACCTATAGCACGTCTTTGGACTTGTGGGGGAAGGCTGAGCACCTGAAGGAACCCACACCAACACGGGGAGAACATGCAAACTCCACACATAAAGGCAAAATGACCTAGCTGTGAGGCCAACTTCTTGCTGTGAGGCGACAGTGCTACCCACTGCACGACTGCGCCGCCTCATTCCAAGATATTTTAGACAATAAATTATTGATTAAAACAGATCTGACATCTTCTCTATTAATATAGCTGATTAACCACAATTGTTATTTATACTATTTTGTCACGGGTGGGTCTTGAACCCGGGTCTCGGGAGTGGAGACGGGTGAGTGAACCACAGAGCCACAGGAGCTGTAGTCTTGGACCCAAACGAAAAACTCCAAGTAGGGATCCTGAAAACAAGGATTTATTTAAAAGTCAACTTAGATTCTTCTCAAAAATGAGCCAGCAAAACAGACAATTTAGGTTGTCCTCAAAATGAGATATACAAAATGGTTTAACAGTATGATAAATATACAAAGAAAACACCACGAGGGGGAAAAAATAGACAATAAGGCAGCAAGCAACAGGGAAATCAAAAGAGTCTTACTAGACGTAGATCAGTAGATCAAGCGAACTCAATCAGGGCTGATTCAAAAACTGAGTGAGGACCAGAGGAAAAAGTGACAACTTAAAAACAGGCTAGAACATAACTAGTAACTAAGTAAACAAGAACACACAAGGACGAACTTTGGCAGAGGGGAAAGACGGGGACCTCTAGGGGAATGGAGACAATGTGCAGGATGGTAACACTGTAGCTGTTTCTCAATTTCAAGAATGCAGACAACGGATTTGCTTTCTTGTGAAGAGCGGTCTAACTTGGGAGACCACAAGAACAGAGAACGCGTCCTGTGAGAAATGAGATGCTTCGTCCTTCCTGTAGGTCACGTGACCTTCACACGTTTTTAATTAACGATTTATTGGTTTAACCCTTTTCAAAATATTTACTATGCATAAAGACTTCACAAATATACGTTGCACAATATAAATAAAACAGATTTTAAAACGAATTTCAGCAAATAAACAACCTTAATGTGTTTATGCTTTAATTAGGATTTTCATGGTGATGTTTATATTCACCGTTTCATTTAGGGAAACTCCTGAGGTAAGTAAGTTATATCTCTCAACTTTAATAATAAATGTATATAAAATGCTGCACTTCCCACCTCCAGTCTCAATGACTTCTGGGTCTTCTAAAGCGAGTTCGGTGCTTAAGTCTGCATCCATGCGTCCTCGATATCAAGAATACATCCGGGAAGTTTCACGCGTCCTCAGTACTTGCGGTCTTGAGTATTGGAATTGAACTAGGCAGCTGATGATAACGTTACACGGGGACGCAAGATTGCTGAAGAACGCATATTGAGAAACAGCCTATTTATTACATTTCCTATTAATTGTACTTAATTAAACTGGCCCATATCTATCAGCTGACAACCACTGATAATGCCCATTCAATCCAGTGATAACATTTGAAGCAGGTGGTATATTAAAGCACAAAAACCTTGTAATAAACTGCCAGTACTTTTCAGTTATTTTACAGCCTTATTTCTCTATTCACTACTTCTCATACATTATATTATATCAAACTACTAAAATGTCAACAAAAGCCACTTTGTTAAACTGTAAAGTTAAACTTCCAACATCAAAATTGAACAGAGCAGAGATGAACGATGTAAATCACAACTGTAAATAAACAAAAACAATCACAAAACACAGAAACTGTTAACTAACATATGTTTTACAGTATATTTATATAATCAGCTATTGACGGCCCAAATATAAAAGACTACAAGAAAGTAGGCCTCCATTTTGGCTTTGAGTTAGCTTACTCATAAACATAACAAATCCAGCATTTCTGGACAAAACCTGGAACTTTACTGAGCTGCCTTCCTGTTGTTTTTCCTGGCATGCCAGAGGGCTTCCTGTCATGACTAAAGCAACAGTGCAACATTCGAATTAATGGTTTGACTGCGCAACCTGAAATAACGCTCCCACAACCCAAAAAACAATGACTCGGGCTGAATATCTGTCCACACTCTGACCAGAAAATCTCCACCAGAGCTTGTTTTTCTGTCTGCTGGCATGGTCAGAGCTGACAAAGTCCATCAAACACAAAACAGCCTGTTTTGCTGGAACACAGCTGGGAATCCTCACCCTGAAATATTTTTAGATCTTGAAAACTTTCTACCCCAAGTTGAGAGAGCTGGAGGACACTAGAAAGGATTCTTTGTGCATTGTGAGATGGGCATTGTGGGGTGGTTGGCTCGCCCAATGCATTATGATAGAGTGGACTGTGTGCTACAGTGCGACACAATCGTCACATTACTTTAGCAAAACACATATAAAAGAGATACACACGAATAGCAACAACATTTTTGCACTTTAAACTTCTCGAGAAATGAAACTGCCACACCTGCCAGTGTCTTATGAGGTTTTAAGGTCTACATTTGTAACATTCCATTAATGCTGTGGTTGAGTAATTTTTTTTCCTGAGCCAACCCAATGCTATTCCACTTTACTTTTGAGAGCTACTTGATGTTGCATCTGTTTTTTCACGGTTTTCTGTATTTACAGGGCTATTGTAAGGGATAGGAGAGTATTAGATATTTTGTTGAAAGGTGACACTTTTCACTTTTCAGCTTGTGTTCAATTTGTTGGATGGAGTGTGTGGTTTTGCGCACATGCTGTGAATACTATCACTTTACAAAACAAAACCATCCAGTCTGTCAAGAAAGATCATGTGCCTAATGTATTCTAATACTTAGCATAGAGTCAAAGGGGAGACGTCAGCATCACATTTCCAAATAGCCAACTTAGCCTATCACAAAAAAGCATATTAAATGCAAGTAAATTGTCTAATATTTCAGATAATTGTCTAATATTTCAGAAATAAAAAGTTAAACTATGGGTGGATTAATGTTCTGTCGCCGTACAGCATGCTTTCTAATATGTACTTATTAAAATGCATAAAGGAATAAGTGGTCATACTAAATGTTATTATTTTTTAAGGTTATTAAACACATTTTGCTGGGTAAAAATTGGTATAGTGGCAATTGTAAAGAATTTTTAAAAATGTGAATCAAGTATTTAACGGTCGTTGACTGTGTTAATGTGTGCTCTGTGTTTGTTATGACTTGCTTTAATATATTTTCACTTTCATTGGAATGTACAGTTGAAGTCAGAAAAAATTGCTCCCCTGTTTATTTTTCCCCCAATTTCTGTTTAACAGAGCGCGGATTTTTTAAACACATTTCTGAACATAATAGTTTTAATAACTCATTTCTAATGATTGATTTATTTCATCTTTGCCATGATGACAGTAAATAATATTTGACAAGAGATTTTTCAAGACACTTCTATACAGCTTAAAGTTACATTTAAAGGCTTAACTAGGTTAATTAGGTTAACTAGGCAGGTTAGGTTAATTAGGCAAGTTATTGTATAACCATGGTTTGTGCTGTAGACTATCGAAAAAAATATAGAGCTTAAAGGGGCTAATAAGTTTGACCTTAAAATGCTTTTTTTTTTTTATTAAAACTGCTTTTATTCTAGCCGAAATAAACCAAATAAGACTTTCTCCAGAAGAAAAAATATTATCAGACATACTGTGAAAATTTGCTTGCTCTGTTAAACATCATTTAGGAAATATTTGAAAAAAGAAAATAAAAATCAAAGGGAGGCTAATAAATTTAAACTGTATATGTGTTAAACTGTCATTGTCTTAATGTTTTTTTGCCCTTTATATATATATATATATATATATATATATATATATATTCCATGTGTATATTTATTTTTATGGCCCTGTCGGGATGGGGTTGTTTTTCTTTGGTTGGTAATTGGTTACTAATACAGTATGCATCACATTTTTCTGAAACAATAAAAGATCAGCAATTAATGTTTAAATTAAAATCTGTTTTGAGGTATTTTTAAAATATAATTTAAATATAATAGGTCTAGATGCATAATTTATTGTAAGTGAAAGACATTTTGGTGAGTAAGGTTTCTAATAGTGAGAAAGAAAGAAAGAAAGAAAGAAAGAAAGAAAGAAAGAAAGAAAGAAAGAAAGAAAGAAAGAAAGAAAGAAAGAAAGAAAGATCAACAGTGCTGAGGTGGTATGGTACAGTGATAGTATCACACGGCTCTTTGGCATTTAACATGCCGAATAATAATAACCATATACGGTAATTTCAAGACAACAATGCAACCCTATAGCCCTTTATTTTATCCTCACCTTGAAGACATCTCCATAAGTGCCGCTCCCGATACGTTGAATAATTTCATAGTCATCCAAGGGATCCAAAAATGAAACTCCAATAGTATTCATGCCCGCAGATCTTGGTGTTTCACTTACTCATGACAGCTGTCACACAGTCTGATGTAGCTCATCCTGGTGCGCTGTCCTTAAAAGTGGTGAATATAGGAGTAAATGACGAAAAGGTGTTGATTTAGCAGTGATTTTAAAAACGTATTTTATATCCAGTCTATCAGGGTAACCAGCGTCTGATAATCTCGCCGCCTGTCCTTACTCGCGCGCCCGTGTGTGGACTCAAACATAGCATTGTCCTATTCGAGAATGATTCATTCTCTAGAGTCGGATCTTTTTAGTGAATTGGTTTGCGCTGGCTTGAATAATTCATGAACTAAATGAACTGATTAGCGGTTTTTACTGTCTGTTCTCGAGTCAACGCTTTATTGAAGTGGTTTATTTAGGTTTTAATAAACAGCACTTCATCTAAATGTGCAAATAAATACATGAACGTATTTAGATAGGTTATGTAAAATGCACTTGTGAGTGTGAATGGAATTACAACAAACACTTCTTCTTTTACAAAACGTAAACAAAGCTAAAAATTAAACCCAATCAAAAGTAAAGAAGTCAAGAATTGTATTAAAAATGTAAAAGAAACACTGGCTTTTACATACAATTTTAAAAGAACCGTTCAAATGAACCGAGTCACTGAACACGAGCGGGCTCTACTCATCACCACACGATGCTCTTCGCTGTTTTGCGCATGTGCACAGCATCAATAGGTGATCACATTATTGTCATTTAGCCTCGACAACATGTGTGACAGGGCTCAGTGGGTAGCACGATCGCCTCACAGCAAAAAGGTTGCTACTTCGAGCCTCGGCTAGGCCAGTTGGTGTTTCTGTGTGGAGCTTGCATGTTCTCCCTGTGTTTGTGTGGGTTTCCGTAGTGCATGTGTGTGAATGCAAGTGTGTATAGGTGTTTCCCAGTGTTGGGTTGTTGCTGGAAAGGAATCAGCTGCATAAAACATATGCTGGATAAGTTGGTGGTTCATTCCACTGTGGCTCCCTGATTAATAAACAAACTAAGCCGAAAAGAAAATGAACGAATGAATGAATGAACATGTGTGACAGAATAAAAGACAACAAACATATGCTAGTTTTCTTCCAATCGTTTATTTTACAGAAAATACTTTAACAATGACAAAATAGTTTTGAAAAATAAAACTAAACTAATAAACTCGAGGTCAGCTATGGATTTCAGCAGTTTGTGTGAAGAGCAATAAAACAAGTGCAAGACCTTCATATGTAGACTGAGAGCCCCAACATTTCTGAATACAACATTTAGACTTGAAAGCAAACACAAGTTTCACTGTATTGCAGACAACCAGCTAGCTGAAAAACATAATTGCATCTTAAAATAAAATCTTGACACAACAAAAGACAATCACTTTGGCTCTTTGTCATTTGGATTTATCAAATCAAATGGTCAATATACAAAATTAAGGCAAATTAATAAAATTCCTTTATTATATAATGAAACAAAATTGGTGGTTTATGATAGACAAGTTCGCCAACTTGAAATGATTTTGAGGAACTGAATTAGATAATTAACTCAGCATCAGCTTATAACATTGGCAAATCAGTCATTTGCACGTGATCAAAAAAAAAATCCGTCCAGGTGAAAATGTAAAAGGTAGAAAATATATATATTTATATTTATGTATATAAATGAGCCACTTTAAAGGGTTTTGCGAGGGCGTTTCATGAAGGACAAGGTGTAATCTCCAGAAGCTGTGGGTTTCTGTCTCTTCATCTGCACTTGAGACTGAGCTGTCAGCTGCAGTTTGATGGCACTAGAGTTGACCTTGGCCGCCGAGAGCAGCTCCTTCATACCCTTCATCTTCTCGCTGTGGAAAACCACCACCGGTCCTCCCTGAACAGCGGGAGGTTGGGAGGGTGATGGTATGGGACTTGGGGATGATGGTTCGTTTTTGCCATCTGCCTCTTTACCTCGAGTACTAGCAGAGGAGCGCCGCCGGCCTCCTTCTCCACCCACTTTTTTGGGAACTGGGTTTTGATTTTGAGCAGGCAGTGCTGGATTTGGGGAAGCCGATCCTGCTGGTTCATCTAGTTTGGATTCCCGTCTTGGGCCTCGCCTACGCCCTTCCCGCAGGTCCTCACTGGACTGGTCATCATCATCCACTGGCTCTGTGTCTTTGGTGATGATTGACACCTTTTGCCTGATCTGAGAAAGAGTAAATACATGGCATCAGATGATGAATGTTCATTTAAAGGTGCCCCATAATGAAACTATGACTATACCAAAGCATAGTAGAATATTAAGAGATCAGTATATAGAAATAGACATACGGTGAGCCTCAGAGACCATTGTTTACTCGTTATTATGTAAATTCCATGAGTGTAAAACCCCATTGGACAAGACTCATGGGCCATGCCCTCTGCATTTGCATGCACGACTACTTTAGGTCGCTCATACACACTTGACATCATCAAGAGAACCCAGACTCCTGTAGCTCTGAGATCATTAATATAGCAAGAAAACAATGATAGCTTCTCTCCATTAGTTATTTTAAAGCAGGGTTTTACAAAGTCTAAGACAGTGGGCCTCCCTTTTGACACAACTTATCCATTGGCGCCCACCTCCTCCAAAACACGCACACACACACACGCACACGCACACGCACACACACACACATATATATATATATATATATATATATATATATATATATATAGTATATATAAAGACACAGACATATGTAAGACTGTTAACTCACTTTTATCATCATTTGCATGAAAGTGCAATTATTTACAGAGTAATAATAAGTATTTTAATATAACGTTTTAAACTAGGATGATGGTTAATATGAATAGAACAGATGCAAGAACTGTTAATCCCAGTCAAAACAGTCAAAGTTTAGCGGGTCTCATGCTGTCATTAGCCAAAATATCTTGACAAACCACACTTAAAGGTCGTGGTTCATCAGCTGGTCCTGTCCACGTAAATCCTAAACTCAGAAACCGATCCATTGCAGGCAAGTGCACACATAGGGCTCAACCTGTGCAGTGCACATGCCCTTTTTAGTCCTGGATAGAAAGTGCCCTTCCAAAATGATCAAAAGTGCCCCCGCGACGCGGCACACCCCGGTCCCGCCCTTCAGTAGGCGCGCGACAACACCGCTCTTGAGCACGCGCGCGACAACACAGCTGATCAGAACGCGCGCAACAGACCCCCCCCTGTATTGGCAGGCTTTCCAAACAGAAGCGAATTCACAGCTATGGCCTTCTGGGTAAAAAAGGTTTTCTTATTTTTGACGTATTATTTTTTTTAGCTTTGTTTAATTAAAACGTTTAAATATAATAAAAAATACATATAATAATTAAACTTAATAATTATATTTTCATTATATATTTTTCACGCGCCTCCCCTGACATGCTCTGGCGCCCCCCAGGGGAGGCGCGCCTCACACTTTGAAAAGCCCTGTTTTAAAGCATATATTTAATTTACTAAGTATGTGGGACTTTGAAAACATAATCGTAGATTGTTTTGTTGCGAGCTACTGGGCAACAATTGCGTGAGACATGTGCTTCAGAATGCAAAATGCAGGAATTACAAACTATACATTTACTCCGCTCCACTCCAAAGAGGTATGAGGTATGTTTTATTGTATCTTTGTGAAGTTTATTTATGAACTAATTTCGAGAGGATCATGTGTTTATGATTGCTTGCTTTTGGTCACACATTATTTAATTTTTGAATCACCAATCAGATGATTCCTAAGCCACTTTAAATACCCTAAGTGACACATAACAGCCATCTTCATTTTAAAGAATCCCTCCTTCCACCCCTACTCCTCCTCCTTTCCTAGATGGGTGGCAAGGTGGCCTAGTGGTTAGCACTGTTGCTTTGCAGCAAGAATGTCACTGGTTCTAGTCCTTACCAAGCCAGCCAACGTTTCTGTGCAGAGTTTACACGTTCTCCCCGTGCTCACGTGGGTTTCCTCTGGGTTCCCCAGTTTCCTCCCACAGTCCAAAAACATGCAACTCAAGTTAATTGACTAATTCAAATCGCTACCATAGACAAGCTTCTCGTAAGTAGTTATCCCTTAAACGCAATCACTGCCTATTCATTAGCTACTACAGCATGGGAGTTCTTGAGATCTACCTGAAGATTGGAGGAAATAATTTTCATAAAAATGTAACTAAACTGTTTACCTCTAGAGGAGTTGTCAAATTATTACCAAAAATGTGGGGTGCTCTTTTAATAACACTTGAATTTGTGAAAATTGAGGAGTTTTTACCTGTGCATCAAAGCGACTTAGAGACTGAACCAGGTAAGTGGCCCAGCCTACATGAAGCACTGGTGTGGGACTTCCTTCTTCCCATTTACAAATCCCATCATAAAACCGGAGTAAGTGAGCAAAGCATTCTGGGTCCTGAAGGGCGGTCAAAGCAGCTGCTTCTCTGGGCTGGTCCTTTTGAGGAAATAGCATGAATAGAGGACAAGAGAAAGACTTGTTCACAACTTTATTCTAAATATAATCATTTTCTAAATGTTTTTTAATCTTTAATTACACAAGACCTCTTTTTCCGCTTCATCTGTGCCTTCACTTTCAGCAGCAGCTGCGGTCTCTTTAAGGAGTGTCGGAATGACATCATTAGCAATGTCAAAAAACTCCTTGTAGATCTCCTCATCTTCCCTACAATAGTTATAACTGTAAAGAAAATAAAAATCTTGTTTTAGACTACACGCAGACAAGTTGAAGAAAATAATAGTGGTATAATACAACTTCCAATTTTACATTTTTAAATACATTTTGTATACACCACTAAAAAAATATAGGTAAAGGTGTTGTATGCAAGTTTTTGACTCTTCTAAAGCATAAAAATACCATACTATGTTTGTATTCTGAATAAAGCACATGAAGGGTACCTGGAGTGATCATTGTCAGTTTTCTGTTGATCAGCTGCAAGAAATGGAAACCGTTTCTAAAATATAAACGTCTAGTGTTGGTTAGGATAAAAACTCTTTTTTTAATATGGAAAATAGAGGTGTGAACCTACACTGGTCTCACGGTTCGGTTCGGTTACGATAATCATGCCTTTGATTCGGTTCAATACGATATCGTACAGCAGGGTGCATTGACGATGCTTTTCATATACAGTGTTATATTTTAGGGGGGAGGCTATAACAAGCTGTCTGTATAAACACACAGACATACAGTACCACACAGTCTCTCATTCAAACACATTCGCAACAGGGAGAGCTTACGCTGAGCGGAGCAGAAAAAGGAAAAAAAAAAAAAAACGAAAAAAAGAAGCACTTTTCCGACAGTCCCTTACTGAGAGCTCCTCTCAGCGCGAGCTCTCCTGGCTAAACACATATTGCGAGGGCTCAAACGGAGAAGCGCTCGTAATGTCGAGCGAAAAAAAGAAAGACAGCTGTGAAACATAACCAGCTTTGTCTTTTTGTAGGAAACACACTTTAGAAAGTCCTGGACTTTCTTACTCAAAACAATCTCATGGACAACAAGCAATCCGGCTTTAAGAAAGGCCACTCAACTGAGACTGCCCTGCTCTCGGTCGTGGAGGATCTCAGACTGGCTAAAGCAGACTCTAAATCATCAGTCCTCATTTTGCTGGACTTGTCAGCTGCTTTTGACACTGTCAACCACCAGATCCTGCTATCTACGCTTGAGTCATTGGGCGTTGCGGGCACTGTTATACAATGGTTCAGATCTTACCTCTCTGACAGGTCATTCAGGGTGTCTTGGAGGGGAGAAGTGTCCAACCTACAGCATCTAAACACTGGGGTACCTCAAGGCTCTGTTCTTGGGCCACTTCTCTTCTCCATCTACACATCATCTCTAGGACCAGTCATCCAGAGACATGGATTCTCCTACCACTGCTATGCTGATGATACCCAGCTATACCTCTCTTTTCATCCTGATGATCCCTCGGTTCCAGCTCGTATCTCAGCCTGCCTGTTGGATATTTCACACTGGATGAAAGATCATCATCTTCAGCTGAACCTCGCAAAAACGGAAATGCTTGTAGTTTCTGCCAACCCGACTCTACACCATAACTTTTCAATCCAGATGGACGGGGCAACCATTACTGCATCCAAAATGGTGAAAAGCCTTGGAGTAACGATTGATGACCAACTAAACTTCTCTGACCACATTTCTAGAACTGCTCGATCGTGCAGATTTGCACTCTATAACATCAGAAAGATCCGACCCTTCTTATCTGAACATGCAGCTCAACTCCTTGTTCAAGCTCTTGTTCTCTCCAAACTGGATTACTGCAACTCTCTACTAGCTGGGCTTCCAGCGAACTCTATCAAGCCTCTTCAACTGCTCCAGAATGCAGCAGCACGGGTTGTCTTCAATGAACCTAAACGAGCACATGTTACTCCGCTCTATTCCGTTTGCACTGGCTGCCAGTTGCTGCTCGCATCAAATTCAAAACTCTGATGTTTGCCTACAAAGTGACTTCTGGCCTAGCACCTTCTTATCTGCACTCACTTCTGCAGATCTATGTGCCCTCCAGAAACTTGCGTTCTGTGAGTGAATGTCGCCTCGTGGTTCCATCCCAAAGAGGGAAAAAATCACTTTCGCGAACGCTCACGCTCAATCTGCCCAGTTGGTGGAATGAACTCCCTAACTGCATCAGAACAGCAGAGTCACTCGCTATTTTCAAGAAACGACTAAAAACTCAACTATTTAGTCTCCACTTCACTTCCTAATCTGCAATTGCCTCTTTGAATATCACACTAACTGTACAAAAAAAAAAAAAAAAAAAAAAAAAACTACTAATACTTCCCTTCTTAGACTTTACAGACCTGAAACTTGCCTTTAGTACTTATTCATTGTTGCTCTTAGTTGTGTAAATTGCTTCCTTGTCCTCATTTGTAAGTCGCTTTGGATAAAAGCGTCTGCTAAATGACTAAATGTAAATGTAAATGTAGATCTTTTTAGGGTAAGAGGTTTTTGAGTTATTGCCGTCTATAACTGAATGTGTGTCAGGAATATCGAAAACAAAACCAACTGAACCGCGCTCCTTTCTGGCGCCCCCCTGGATATACAGCACCCGTAGCATTTGCCTATGGTGCCTAGGCCACGGACCGGCCCTGAGTTGGCTGAGTGTTATAAATACTCGCGCTCACCTCCCTCGCGACAGAGCGCATAGGAGATAAATGACGTCACTACATAATAACCGGTTATGATTATTACTGAACCGATAACTTATTGTCCGCATCTGCATCGTGGTGCACCGAAGAAACAATTAATTTTGACATTCCTAATTCAAAACATTCTGTCTATCGCAAGCCTTTGCTTTTATTTCAAACACAACATATCAGTCTGTTGCGGGAGCGTTGCTAGGGTCGAAAGGGATAAGGGGCTTAGCCCCAAAGAAGTCCTTAAAATAATGAATGAATGAATACAGTGCAGTGGCGGGATTTTTTTCACACCATGTAACAACAGTGTCACTCCCACCTGCCAGTAGAAACAGGTACTGCTAAACAACTGACTATTTAATTACCCGACACAAACACTGCATTAAGTGGAATGCGGGTGATGTATGTGCTAATTTTAAGCACTTGGATAACAAAATAAATGTTATACTTCCTATTTTTATTTAAGTGCAACATATTCTAAAAGATCAGGGGCTTTTGATAAAACATCAGGGGCTTAAGCCCCCAAAGCCCCCACCTTGCAACACCACTGCTTTGTTGGTGTTGTCAATCTGGCAACCTGCTCTTGCATGTCTTTTGAACCAGAGTTGCAATACCTAGTACAACCACTGAGTGTCAAACTTGCATACAGCACCTTTAAAATGTTATTAAATTGTATATGGTTTTAAGAGTTAAATGGCAGCCTCCTATGATCAACACATCCATGTTTATGTTTGTATATGTGTGTATAGACATATATTATCATCAATAAAACCTATATAATCATAACTGTGTTATGATGCAGAAAACCTGTCAACCTGCCAGAAAGCCCCGGATTAAACAGGCACAAACAAAAAAGCACGTCAGAGAAACAGAAGGTAGAGATAGCTGATGTTGTCATGAAGGAAAAGGATACAGGAAGAGCAGGAAAAGGAAGTGGATGGGAGTGAGCTGTAGTTCTAGGCATGCTTTGTGCAGACATCCTTCTGGACATTAGACTATAGTATTTTTAGCCCTCTGTCCACTGCACTGTGTGTTTAAAGGGAGGAAAGTACAGATTGTCTCTCTCTCAACAGGGACTGATGCCAAGGCTGAGACAGGAATGAGCTTTCTAAAGACAAGCAGCATGAGGCAACACAGACAATGCTGGCAAACCATGTGTTTTCCATTCAGTATGAGCATCAAGGGGCTTCACAAGTTATTATGTTGTGTCATTTATTCATTATTATGGAGCCGTAACAGAATCTTAGTGCAGAGATTGATTTGGCCATTTTTTACCTAGAAAGAAATTACAAGCAATAAGAGGTTTCAAACGGATCAAATTTGTCAACAGAATTTAAATGGATGCATCACAACACTGCCCCCTGCTGTTTTAACAGATAATAAACATAAAAGAAATGATGAATTCCCAAAACAAATGAAAACTTACTTATTATTTACTTTCCAAAAGCTCATAAAAGTTCCAAACTTTCATAAATCTCTTTGTTCTGTTGAACATAAAATATTTTTTCAAGAATGTCCGTAACCACTGACTTCCATATTAATAACAAAATACTATGAACAATGACTATCAATTGGTAACATGCTTCAAAATATATTTTCTTTGTGTTTTTTAATATTTCTAATATTCTTATATTCTTTTAAAAAAAATTCCTAATTATTTTATAATTTTATTGAACGTTTTAGTGCAAAAACATGACATAAAATTTACATTGATCAAAAAAGATAATATAACTCGTTCATGTAATTTGAAATTTTGACCCCCACATAAAAAAATATTAATAAAATAATAATAATAAATATAATTAAATTGTAATTGAATAAATAAACAAACAAATAAAACAAATAAATAAATAAGGACATAAAAAGTAAATTATCTTACAAATCTTCTTTGGGTTTAACAGAAACACAAATAGGTTTGGAACATGACGAAAGACTTTTCATTTTTGGGTGAACTATGCCTTTAAGGAAATGTATTGACGTTAGAAATTAGAATTGCCTCAGGGTAGATATTTCAGATTTCCTATTTACTTAAATAATGAAATTAAGAAATAAAAACTGCACTCACTCCTATTTGTAAGTATACACTCTTTGCATACCCAATTCTTCAACACTCAAAAGATTTTAAAGAGCCCCTATTATGGATTTTTTTTTTAAATGGCCCTGAAACATCCAGCTGAGGTTTAAATCTGAAAGTGCTTAAAACTACTGATTCTTTAATAAAATAGTCAACTCAGACTCGAATAAATAAATTGAATTGGGTTCGGATCTTTTGCTCACGCATCGACATCGATCCGATACATCATCAAATATGAAGTGCTGGATCCAGTAAAATGTGAATGTGCCTTTCCCTTTAGATGCTAGTGAAGCGCGGCAGATAACGGCACTGGATCATGACATGAAGTAAACGATCACTAACAGATTGAGATTCGGCTGTGGGAAATAAGCGGTTAAAGTTCATTTTCACAACAACACCACAGTATAGCCAACCTAGTGCTGTGTCCTAGTTCCCGTCATTTTTCTTATGATCAATACAATAACCTACAATGCGGGATTTGTCGGCCGTTTGCTATTAAAAGAAGGAGCAGACTATCATGTATGGGACTTTGTCAGTAACTGTTATAGTCCATATGGACCAGTTTCTTCCTCCTCCATATCATAAAATATAAGAGTAAAAAAATGTTTTGCCTCATTTTGTGTGGTTAGCAAAATATGTGTCTTCAACTGTTGCTCTGCGTGGCTTGTAATTACCTATGTATAATAGATCAGTGCTTGTACTGTATCTCTCAGGTTAAATCTGTGTGGGTTATTCACATATTGTATCCAAAACCATGTTGAAAACACGACGCATGCTTTTTCCTTTACCGATTTAAATGCGTTTCTGAACTCATGATCCTCTGCTGTTCCCCTTTGCTATGGCCATCATCAGCTGTTCCTCACATGCGAGGCACGTTCAATTTTTAAAATAGTTAAACTTTTGCCACTGTGTGGATTAATACTGAATGTGTGTCGTTGTTATTACTTGGGGATGGGGTTAAGAATAGAATATAGGCTTGTGTTAACTGCATTGCTTTATTGCATTCCTGCATTGGGCTCTCACATGCTCTGCATGCTACTTTATAACCGTGTTGGGCGTTTCTCTGTCTCACTCTGAACCCAGCCAACCAATCACAATAGACTGGGTCATTGGCCCATTCAGCAAAGATTAGGCAGGAGGGGTTTGGGAACAAATGAATCACTGATCAAATCATATTGGAGTCATTGGGATAATTAGGTAAAAATAATTGCATATTATAAGACAATAGAAGTGTTTTTTGACCTTGTATGCATATTAGCCTGTTGTTGGAGACCACCAAAACCAAAACATGACTGTTTATAATGCAAAATAGGCGCTCTTTAAAAACATTTCTGTTTAACTTACTCTTGCATTACTGATGCTGCCTCAGCCCAGGAACCCAAAGCCTCCCGGACATCCCTGTGCCTGTAATGGTACCCAGCCAGATACATGTAAGGGTAGATGTGCTCATTGTTATAATACTTTTTAGCAGATTCAACAGCCTGGAAATACAAAAAAAGGGACCAAGCGGATTAGTGCATTATAATAATGACAGCCTCGCAAATATCTGTGATGCAGGTTTGATCAAATACCTTAAGGTGAATGGACAGAGGGCTTTCTTTCCCAGTCATGGGTTCCTGATCTTCAAGGTCAGCCAAAGTGCCCATGGCCATAGGATACCTGTAACACACCAAGTACAAGAGAATGAATATTAAAGGGTTGGTTCACCCAAAAAACTACATTTACTCCCACTTATCTTCCACAATATTGTTCTGCCTTATGTAAAAGTACTTATACAGTCATGTGCATAGTTAAGTATTTATTGTATATGTATAGTAAGTAGTTAAATTTCCGCTTCAGTATGTTAGTTATGTATAGGTTTAAAATAGCTCTCATGTCCAATGTTGTGGTCATATTTATGATTATGTTAACTTATGTAGCACTGTGGTCCTGTGAGACAGGAAATTTTGTTCCATTTTATGTCCACACATAAAGCGAAATGACAATAAAACAAAACTTGACTATATTTACTCAAAGGGTTCCTTTTTCTGTTAAATTTAAAGGAAGATATTTGGAAGAATGTTAGAAACCATTGATTTCATAGTCAAATACTACGAAAGTCGATGGTTACCAGTTTCCCACATTTTTTAAAATGTCTTGCTTTGTGTTCAACAGAAGAAAGAAACATCAACATGTTTGTGACAAGTGAAGGGCAAGAAAAATGACAGAATTTAAATTTTTGGGTGAACTATCCCTTTAAGAATACATTACATCAGCTCAAATGGTCAACATCCCTGCTCTGAAATATCACAAATGTATTAATATATAATAATATCACACCTTTCCAAATCACCTCGATCATACAGTAGCCACAACAGCCTCTGCAAAAGAGAAATAAAATGTCGGAAACCAATCTGCTTGTCAATAGATGAATAAATACGTGTACACACATTCACAAATATAGGTACAGTACATAATATGTTATATATGTTGGTACAATTTAGAACAATCTCTGCATTTTTAACACTTTCATATTTGTCTCTTTAAAAAAAAAGTTATTGCACATAGTTATTGAACAAATTGACATTTAAAATACAAAAACAGATTTTTAATCTAATCCAAGAAAATTAAAAAAAATATGATGTAATAAATTCTTAAAACAAAAAAGGACAGATTGAAGACATACTTGCTGGAGCTGGATTAACTCGGTACTGTCTGTGTGCAGATCTAGAGATGGATTGATGGCGCAAACCATGAACGCAACCTCCATATTCCTGTTGCACTTCATGTAAGAGCCTTTAAGATATAACCAGCTCTAATGAAATGGAAGAAAAATACAAAATGAGGCACAGATTCACAAAATGCATTTTGAAGATTACAAAACAAATCTAATTTTAGTAATCTCAGTCAAATCTAATTTTTGAGGACTATTCTAAAAGGTCTGTTAAAATTCTTGTTTTTCTAAAGACATTTTTATGCTCTTCAGGCTACATTTATTTGCTCAAATTTACTGTAACAAAAATATTACTGTGAAATACTGGATCATTTTTTCATTTAAAATATCGACATTTCATTAATTATTTAATTTAATTAACTCAGAATTCTTTTATTAATGGCAAGGTATTCATTTAAGATATTTAACATTATGTAACACTATTAATATAATTTTACTTTAGAACAACTGAACACATCCTCGATGAATTACAGCATTAATTTCTTTAAACAAAAAACTAACTTTCAACAGTTCTGCAGGGGCAGTGTTTGTGAATATACAGTAGTGCTTATTATATTGTGGTAAACATCAATATCAGATCAAAGCATTACCCTTTCATTGATTCCAGCACTGACAGTTTGACCTCTTCTGTCTTCGTTTCCCTTCCCATGCCATGTGACCTCTGCAGTTTCTTCCCCACCCTTGCCAAAAATCACCCAGGCATGATCCTCAGAGAGAGCGAGATGAACATCTTTCAGACCCAACACCTGACATGCAGCAACCACTGCAAATGCAACTCCTGAGCTGTCCAGCTTAGTGCCTTACCAACAAAAATGACAATTAATTAGCATCATTTAAATCAAACATGCAATTTAATGAGTGCAAGCAAAAATACAGTTTTTCATGCACTTGTTTATGTTTTTCAGTGTAAATGGAAAAACTTCCATATTACACTTTTAAAGCCGCCTTTCCACTATACACAACAAATGACAGACCGGAAGTCATTAATTTCCCATGGAGAGCAGTCCGGGACCTGTGTTGGAGTTCCGATTATCTCCATATGCGGAAAATTCAGATTTGATTTGTGCTGTGCATCCGTTAAAATATTTCTGCGACTAGACTGTATGCACCTTATATTGATATGCAGTTTATATTTAAGCTTAAATTAAAAAGATTTCTATTCATAAATGATCAAAAAATATGTATTTTTAACTGTCTCCACATTCCCTCCAAAATTTGTAGCTCTCTATGAATTTCTAGTATTCACTCATTCATTCATTCAACCATGTTGAACGCACAGAGAATACAGACTCTTACTTTTGCACTTCTTAATTTAAGACATCACCAGAATCAGCTTCTCTCCCATGGTGCAAGACAAAACTAAAAATTCTGTGCGATTGCCACAAGGCGGCGTATTCTGAGAGTCGTGTCCGCATGCCATGTGCAGTGGAAAGGCGGCCTAAGTGTTTCTCTTAATTATCACGCTTTACAAGTTTATGTCTGTATATTTCAATTGTGTCTGAAATTTTAAGAATTTTCTATATTCTGAAGATTTCTATAGAGGGATACACTTATGAATAATTTACATTATTATATACGCCAGTTATTTAAAAGAAAATTGTGAATATTTTCCCATCTGTTTTCTGTATTATCTAAATTACTGAATAATAACCAAATCCTCTATGTAACAACATTTAACTAACATATAAAAAAACATTTGTGCTTGAAACTAGGGTTGAGCAATATGGCAAAAATGTAATCTCGATACTTATCTTCCATATTGAACAATAACAATGTATACTTTATTTTTAATTGTTAACGCTTCCAGATTTAAAAGAGTATCCTAACAATGACTGAAGCCAGAAAAATTAGAGGGTCCATTAAATAACATATTTGTGGTGGCCCAAAATTCTCAAATATCAACACACTTTTACATTGTCATTGTTGCACATTTCTGCTTTGTGATTGGCTCTTGAATCAATATAGTGTAAAAAAAAAAAAAAAAAGTCCAGAGCTTATTGTTATTGACATAAATTTTATCCTAACTACAAAAACATGAAATAAACCTACTTGGTGTTTTGCACTATTGAGCTGTTTTTCAGCGTCATCTGTCTGTCTCCATCACTGACTGCTGTTTATCTGACATAATGCATGAGAACAGACACTCAGGTGGGAACGGTGGGTGGGGAGAAGCAGCTCATTTGGATTTTAAGCCACAGGCTACAAAAACAGCTACACAGATCTCGATACCAAAATTCTGAGTATCGACCGATACAAATCTGATCCTGATACTGTGCTGTTGTTCTTCATTTTTATTAATTAATTTAATTTTTATACTAAAATAATACAGTTTCCATATTTCTGGTGATGAACTCAAATAATTTATCTTTTTTAGTAAAAATAACAGACCTATAGGTCTACTGTATATGACAAAAGGCTCAATCTAACTAAACATGATGCTTGTTATAAACTATGGGCTACATTAGTTGAGCATTCATTATGACATTCATATGATCAAGCTTATGTTTCCTTTTTAAAGGGGGAAATGAAGCACTCAGTCAAGTTCACCTTATTTTTTACATAGGATTCCACTTTAATGAAAATATATTAAACAAACTCGATTTATGTAACCATTTAACGCAGCTGATTCAGTCCAATGTATTATTGAGCCTTTTAAAGTTTCAGGCAGGCCTACTTTGTGTGTAAAAAGCAGGTAATAACCCTCTCTACTTCAGTGTTGCGAATGCGATCTGCTGATCTAACGGACACTGCGCATGATTTAGAAACAGCAATGAATTCCTTGTTGCAGGTCAAAAGGAACCCATTTAATGCAAAATTAAATGCATTTCCCCACTGAGTATTTAAACTAACAGAAACAAATAGTCTTGGAGAAAGTTTTTCATGTTGTCATGAATGCGACACGCAGCTTGAAGGGTGAATGAATGGAGAATGATTGACAGGCGCAGTGACGAGAAGCGCTGAACTGAACATGAGTTTAAGCACTTGAATATCCATCTGTACTTAACATTAAACTATAGGATGGCTAGAGAACATTTAGGATATAGTAGCCTACATGACAACTTTACAGTGCCTTGTAATAGGCTACCTTTGTGGCTTTTGTTGGCTTATAAATTACACAGAACATAGCGCACGCGCAGAGATGTATAAAGTACTAGAGACCCATACTTAAGTAAAAGTACAAGTGCTTTATCAAAAATTGACTTGAGTAGAAGTAGAAGTGCTCTTTAAGCACCATACTTAAGTGGAAGTACAAAAGTATTCAACATTTTTTATACTTAAGTATTGCAAGTAGTTTATTTCAAAATTTACTACTCAAGTACTGAAAGTAAAAGTACAAGTATTGTGTAATGTAGTTATTAAAGAAAGCAGTCGAATTACACTAATTGTTTTGTTTATTTTAAATATCTTTTTTGGGGTACTTGATTAAGCAGAACGAAAAGAAACATGGCTTATGATACTGTTTTTCTCTGTAAATAGTTTCTATGGTACAAGAGCTCACATCGTCAGGCCCTTTAACCAGAAAATGCCTTCACTGATGAGATAATTCAGCATGTTCACTCACATACATTCTCTCTCTCTCACACACACACACACACACACACACACACACACACACACACACACACACACACACACACACACACACACACACTGCCCTGCACACACCTAAATGTACACTCTCTCCCCACTCTCACACATTCATACACTCTCACACACACAGTTCTCTCTCTATCTCTCTCTCTCTCTCTCACACACACATTTTTGTGAATTGTGGGGACATTACATAGGTTGCAATTGTTTTTACACTCTCTCTTACACACACACACACACACAGATGCACACACAGGTACAATCACACTGTTGTTTTCTCTTACACACACATTATTCACTCTCACTCACACACACACAAAGACACACTCAAACTTTGGGAGTTTTGAAGTTTGATTGGTTAATACCACAATAAACAGGAGTTCTGTCTTCTGGAAGCACTCGTGAAACTAAACTAAGCAAGCAAACTAAATCCTGCTTCACAAATTCGTTTGATTTTATTGTAAAAAAAAAACAGGAAAACGTGTATATTACTGTGTTAAATGAAAATCTGAAATATTTTATGGCTTATGGCTATGATTTAGTAATAATTGTTATTTATTTTTATCACATTTTTAATGAAATTGGTCTTACAGTTCATATTTTCTGTAGTATATTTATTAATTCTGGTACTTTTACCATAAACCAACATCTCAACCATTTGGTAGAGGCTGATATTTTAGAAATAATGTGATGTGTTGAATAAAAATGCACTGACTGTGTTAACTAGCAACATTAGGAGTTAAGAAATGCAATCAAAAAATTTCTATTGCTTTTGTCTTGGTGTGACAGTTAAAGGGTTTTTTGTAATAAAAATTTGTCCTTTAATACAGCAGTCAGATATACGAACTGTGCCCTTAATTTGACCTGCTCAAAGAAAACACTCTTTCTGGATGTATCAAACAAAACTCATGCACAGAAGACAGCACGAGCATTTACAGCTAATAAACTCATGTCAATATTATCCCACCTGCTTTTTGAGCGCTGACAGGCGGGTCTTACACGGCTATGATTGGTTATTGTTTGTCCTCAACAGAAAGGGCTTTAGAAATATAAGCGCTGTTCAGCCATGGCGGGAAGAATACGCGATTATCACAGGTAATAGACACAGTGGAGAAACCTTAATTGCACATGAGGCACGCTTATGTCTGGATCCACAGCTTTAACAGCTAAGAAGAGAGGAAAAGTTACCTTACAAACTGGCCCGCGGGTCAAATGTCCAAAGTGAGAGAGCGAGAGACAGGCAGAGGTGAAATTTTACAACATTTCTCCCTAATAGTAAACTAGCGGCTGATATGCTGTGCCGCCTCGCCCTCGCGCCTCCGTCCTTCGCCATAGTATTGCGACATCGCGCATAGGAGATAAATGACGTCATCACGTAATAACCGGTTATGACCTATTACTGAACTGATATCAATCATTTTGACACCCCTAGTAACGAGTAACGATGCAGCACATAAAAAATCTATCGGAGTAAAAGTATTAAACTCATGGAAAATATGTACTTAAGTAAAAGTGGAAGTAGGAGAAAAAAATAATACTCCAGTAAAGTACAGATACTGCCTTTTAGTACTTAAGTACAGTAGTGAAGTAGTTCTACTTCGTTACTATACATCTCTGCGCACGCGCAAGATCGGATTTGGATCAGTACCAGCTGGCTGATACCCGATCCAGCAAAAATATGCGGTATCGAACCGATATCCGATCCAAGTATCAGAATTAGTGCATCCCTACACTAAGACACCAAATAGGGCAGATTCTGGAGGCTAGACTAAATAATCTGATGGGCATTTAGAGCTGAAACTTTACAGACACATTCTGGAGACACCAAAGGCTTATCTTACATCTTGTAAATGGGGTAAAATAGGTGCCCTTTAAATAAGAATGTTTTACTTGATAAGATTAGTAGAATGCAAAATAAGTTTATTTCAAGTAGCAAAAACTTCATGACCGGGAAACAACCCCCACCTTGTTTTAAGCCAAGAGAAACTTTGACTAATGAATTATTGAAACCCAAACTTGTGCTTGTTAACATTAGTTAATGTGCTGAATGTGCTGTGTGCTAACAGAAACTAACAATAAATGACTTTATTTTAACTAACGTCAATAAAGACAAATAAATACTGTAATAAATGTACTGTTCATTGTTTGTTCATGTTCATAAATACATTAACTAATGGACCATTATTTTAAAGCATTATCACTATTGTTTTTATGCCTTAAAACAGTGATTGCAAAACGTTTGTGAAACTTTACCTGTAATCAGACTGAAGAGGGACTGAATATGCGCTCTGTCCTTGAAGTATGATCGGCTGAGACTGTTCCAAATCACATCGGATACCTTTTTCACCAGCTCTCGGCTGGAAGCGCCAGACGGTTTGCGATATTGTGACATGTCCACCGCACCACGAATCTGGGCCATGAAGCGTTCGTAGAGGGCTGATAAGAGATTCAGCTCTACTGTAGGGAAGCAGGAGTTTAGGGAGTCCGGTTGAAGAGGCTCAAAGCGAACGCCCGGGACATTGACAGGGACCACTCTGTTGACGGCCAGGAAGTGCTCAACAAAACCCAACACTAGAGACAGCAGGGCCAAGTCTGGTTCTGGGCTGTTGAGCTCAGACTCGAAAAGCTGCACCACTCCATCAATGCCTCGAAGAGGGAAGTGCTTCTTCTGAGTTGAACGAATCCCCATGGTTAGTGGTTGAGTTTTCAAGCTCAATCTGATGTAGCCTAAAATAAAAAGAATACAATCAGACAATCATTAGAATAAATCTGGTTTTCTAGCATCAAAACAATTCAAGTGTGCATTAAAAGTAAGTTGCTGAAACTTTTATACCCTTTGCAAAAGATACCTAGCACGTAAAAATGGTAGCAAAAGGCAGAGTTAGACAAGCAGCTGAACACTATTAATTTACAGAGATGCGTCACTCGCAGAAGGAAGAGAATGAAAACAAAGGAACTGCCATTTTTAAAAACACAAACGAGACATTACACCTTAATAATATAATGACAAGCCATGGTCGTCCCGAGCTCAAACAAACCTTGTCGCCGTCTTGATGAACAGCCACAAAGCCAATTGCCAGCAAGAACGAACAAAGAAGCCTTGTCAAATTGACAAGCAGCACCTGAATGTGTTCAAAAGAATTAAAAACGCCAAAAATGGGACGAATTTATACCACATTTCGAAAGTGAAACCACCTCATATTCACTAATTATAAGTTCAGAATTTATTACACGATGGTCTCTTCTTTACATTTACGTTATAACACATTTAGCTCGGCGTTCTGGTCTGTTATAATGACTATTTACATTTCTATGCATTACCAGCATTTCATCACATTACTCTGAAACAATTTCATTACTTCTATAGTCTATTCATTTCCATTTCTTTGTTTAATATTTAGTAAAACAAGTTTAGTCAAAACAACAACAAAAAAAGTGTAGGATTTTTTACATGGAGTGAAAAACTTAGATATCTTTGATGTGTGTACTGTTTAATAATTGTGCACTATACATACATGTAAATGTGCAACTTAAAAACATATACAGCTAATTTAATTGCTGTTTGTAAATCACACAAGTGTGGTATACAGGATTACTAATAACAACACTGTGATTGTGAAATAAAATACTGTGCGTTTCATATTTACATTCAATGTGGTTCTTTTAATAATAATAATACATTTTATTTATATTGCGCTTTTCTCAAACTCAAAGTGCTAACAAGAGCATCAACACACAGAAGAACATGAAATACACAAAAAAGTAAGAATGATAATAATGATAAAAATATACATATTAAAAGAAGGCTTCATAAGTTATAAGCAATAATAAAAAGATGAGTTTTAAGAAGTTTCTTAAAACAGTCCAGGGAACTGGCGTTTCTGATGTTTGTGGGGAGAGCATTCCACAATTTAGGTGCACGATAAGAGAAAGCCCTGCCTCCCATGCTGCTAAGTTTGCAACGGGGCTGATACAAGGTGAGCCCCGAAGCAGAACGTAGATTGCGAGAGGATGAGGAGGTTGATATCAGGTCACATATATTAATCAGGTGCAGAACCATGAACAGCTTTGTAAGTTAAAATCAAGGTTTTAAAATCGATGCGTGACTTTACAGGCAACCAGTAACTGCTGAAGAACAGGAGTAATGTGAGTGCGAGATGATGTGTGGGTTAACACACGTGTTGCTGAGTTTTGAACATATTGTAAGATCTTAAGTGAATTGGCTGGCAGACCCCCAAATAAAGAGTTACAAAGATCTAGACGAGACGTAATAAAAGCATGGACAAGCTTTTCAGCATCTGGTGTTGAGAGAAAAGGACGGATGTGGGCAATGTTGCGCAAGTGATAAAATGCAGTTTTTGTTAACTGTTTAAAGTGAGGTTTGAGGCTAAGCTGAGCATTAAAGAGGACACCAAGATTTCGCACCTGCATAGAAGGAGTTAAAAGAAATTCATCAACTGTTAACTTGAGATTGCCACATCTCTTAACATTAGAGGGTGTGCCAATAAGTAAAATCTCAGTCTTGGAGCTGTTTAATTTTTGATAATTTTGTTGCATCCAGGCTTTAATCTCCATCAAGCATCGGTTAAGTGGAGATTTTTTATCCTACAAGACTTTTTGTTGTGTTACTATTTAAGTGTGTTCCTTTTTTGCTCTGACAATGTAGCTCTGTTTTCTACGGTTCTGTTTATTTTGTTACTTGCACAACAGCACAGTAGTGCTGACTACTGACAAACCCTGTACTGTTTTTTATATTTTAAAATATTGTGCAACATTTTTAAGCAGGAGAAAAACCTGTACTGTATTTTATATATTAAAGATTTTGTGCAGCTGTTATTTTTTTCTGCAGCTGTTTATTTGTAAACAGGGGGAGAAACCCCTGTGTTTGAATTATATTTAGTTTAAAAATGTTTAATAAACTTTAATAAAGGCCTTAACTCTCAAGTAACCATTTATGGGAAAATTCCGGATATATATCGTATACCGTCATTCCTCTTAAAAATTCCAGGAGATATGATATTTTGCCCATATCGCCCAGCCCTGAGGTGTGTATTGACAAGATCCCACGGATACCCTGAATATACACAAAAATTATGTTTAACGTACCAGAACAGCAAAGTATGATTACATGCTTCACTGCAACAGTTTTTAATTTAGGTGACACCCATATATCAGGTTTAATCAAAATACAGCAGACCAATGTACTCCCTCCCTCATTGTGTTCTGTAGATACAAACAATGTGTCTTATCTCATTTTACCAGTGTCTGATAAAGTGGGCAGGAGTTACTCTTTGCATACTAGACTGTAACACTAAGAAAAAAAAATAGTACACACACTTGACATTACCATAGAACAGATCTAGCACAATATAGCACGAAATTCGAAGCCAATATTTTCATTTGTGTATTTAGAAATGTTACTTACACTGCAAGGTTAGAATTTAAAGGAAACTTAAAAATGCCAAAATAAAGGTTCTGGGTCAATGTATGTCCCTGCACAAACTAAATTGATTACAATTTGAAGGCATTACATTTATTTAGTGTTTTATGTGTATTTTACACAGTATTTAAAATGACACATATAAGTATGATATTGTGCAAATATTCCACCTGGAAACACAATAAAACATACTGTGAATGACATGCAAGATTCAGCAAAGATTAAAATGTTTTTTGAAAATGAGTTCTGGTGCATTTATTGGGTCATTTCTGACTCTGATTTAAAGCACAGCAAATAAAATAGACAAATATTTAAAGTGTGTACTTGCTGGCTCAAAGGATGCCAAGTGGTCACTTAGGGAAATCCCCAAAGACACGTGTATAGCCATACTTGATGTCCCAAATGTAAAACTTAACATTAAATTGGATTAATTAGCTGTCAAATCCAAAATAAAGCTTTTGGATTGGCTAGAGTTGACATTAGACAGGTTGAACGTTTTACCTCAAGCATAAGCTCGAGGTAAGTTACAGTATACTCCACTGATACCAAGAGTTACATTTAAACAACCAGTATTCAGACATAATAAAAGAATGCCATGCAAGATGCTATCAATAACGACCCAGTGCATGAATTTTTGAGCAATGAAAACAGCGCAACAGCAACCCATGTGCGCCTGTGTGGACATCTGCATGATGCTGCTGCAGCTAACGTTAACTAGCTTGCACAAAAATATCAGCTTCTGGTGTTTTTCTAGGTTAGAGGGCGTTTTGAATTAAACATATTGTTCTAGCCTTGCTTTCTAAACAATAACGCGATGCGTTGTTTCATCCACAAAACATACCTTTGTTGAAATTACATCCACATGCTTTTGTTTTGCTCCTTGCTTTTGCCGCGCAGTCAAAGGACAGAAGCTTCTACAAAACGCCAGAGACGTAAACAGTCTGCTCCTACGTCAAAACGTTGAACCGGGCAATCCTATTGTTCACAGATCACTTCCGGGTTCTAAAAGCATTTTGGGAAATGTAGTAGTGTCATCGTTGCTATTAATGACGGTTGGCGAGCCAGTTTTTGCTACATCACCGCCAGTGTTTGGAGACGAAAGTAGGGTGTGCACCTTACATTCATTGGTGTGTATTGACTAAATTACGTTAGTCTGTTGCTTGCTGATTTTCAACTTACCATGTCATTTAGTCAATAATGTTTTTGGATTACATTTACGTACGCTTCTTGGATTACCTTTGGATTACTTTTGATTTTGTGCCAGCAGTTGTGTAAAGTAACAAATTACAAATACTCAAATCATTGTAATTGAGTAGTTTTTCTCAGGAATTGTAATTTACTAAGTAACGTTAGTTTTAAATTTGTGTACTTCCCCTTGAGTCCCTCTTTTGTGCTGTATTGGTACTTTTACTCCACTATTTTCCTTCAACCTGGGTAAAGTCTAGATCGGATATGCGGTCGGCTGGAAGTGCGATATGCACATCAATAGCAGCCTTTTTTATGACACTATATAGGCCTAACAATAATTAATATTTTAACAGTACTATGACGGTTTGGTTTAGGGTTGAGGTGGGGATAGCCGGCGTTAAAAACTAAAATTTAATAGGTAATTTAATAGATAGCATAAATAATACTCAGTACTACTACTGTTTTAACATTACTGTGACGGTTGGGTTTAGGGTGGGGGTAGACGTTAATTTAATACAATAAGTAGGAAATTTAATAAATAATATAAATAAATCTCAGGCGACCCAGTGGCGCAGATGGTAGTGCTGTCGCCTCACAGCAAAAAGGTCGCTGGTTCGAGCCTCGGCTGGGTCAGTTGGTGTTTCTGTGTGGAGTTTGCATGTTCACCCTGCGTTCGCGTGGGTTTCCTCCGTGTGCTCCGCTTTTCCCCACATTCCAAAGACATGTGGTACAGGTGAATTGGGTTGGCTAAATTGTCCGTAGTGTATGAGTGTGAAGGAGTGTGTGGATGTTTCCCAGAGATCTGGAATCTGCAGCTGGAAGGACATCCGCTGCGTAAAAACGTACTGGATAAGTTGGTGGTTCATTCCACTGTGGCGACACCGGATTAACAAAGGGACTAAGCTGAAAAGAAAATGAATAAATAATTCTTGTTAACTTCCGGCCGCAAGCATACTGGATCTGATCTAGCAAAAAACTTCAACCTGCAGTCACTACTTTATTTTTTCTTATCTATGGGTACTGGCTGAGTAGAAAATCAGTTCTGTATTTCCCGTCCAATCAAATCCCACATAGAAAGTAAATCACATCCTACTGAACAACATCAAGATATGGCTGCTTTATAAATGCAGCAAACCGTTTGGAAGCATTACAAATGTCCAAGAAGATCTTCATACGCTATGAACCAGAGAGTGTTTATAGACGGCATGTCACTGATGAGAAAATGAAGGATGTCGACTGCATGATGACTGAAATTGCCAAACAGCACTAAACAATCACTAAATGGAACAAATGAAGAATGAAAGGAAGGGTCAAATGAAGGAAGGGCCGAACAAGGAAAGAAAGGAAGGACTGAACTAATGAAGGAAGGAAGGACCAAATGAATGAAGGAAGCAATCAAGAAAGGACTGAACAACTAAGGAAGAAAGGAATGAACGATTGAATGAATGAACAAATAACCAAATAAAGAAAGGAACAAAAGAATGAATGAATCAGTGAACGAATTAAGGAGGGAATGAAGGAAGAAACAAACAAATTAATGAAGGACAGAACAAACAAACAATAGAAGGAAAAAAGGAAGGAAGGAACAAATTAAGGAAGATCACTAAATGGACTACAGAATGTTACGTTTACACATCCCTGCACAAACTGCATGAAAACACATCAACTTTTCAGAGTGTAATACTCGCTACTCTTGGGTACTTTTACTCATTATTTAAGTAATATGTACAACACACACTTTCACTCTACTTGCACTACATTTTTAATGGTACTTTTACTTGAGTATGATGTTTCAGTAATCTTTTCACCACACCTGTTGCTGATTTCAAAATTACTTTGTAATTTATTTTATAACAATTTTGGATTACTTTTTACGTACTTGGATTACTTTTGGATTACTTTTGACCTAGCACCAATGACATAAACTTGAAATATTTACCAAGTAGGTCAAAGTGGTTAACAGTAATCTGATTATGGGTAGTTTAAAACGTAATGTAATCTGGTGTTGTGGAAACAGTCTGCATAATCTAAATGACTTATAATTAGTACCGAAACTGTAAACATAACATACACACCTATTTGTATTTGTGATTTTGCCATTATGTTTTACATTTAATAAAAACACTATCAATTACTTATATGATTTAATTATAGATGATCGAGTCAGGATTACATATACTGTCTTGATTTGTTAAAATTTTAAAAAAGTACATCAGCTTCGTCAACTGTTATTAGTCTTCATTGATAATGTTTTCAAAGTTTTAAAGGGCACTTATTTTACCCCTTTTTTTAAGATTTATGATAAGCCTTTCGTGTCTCCAGAATATGTCTGTAAAGTTTCAGCTCAAACCCAGCAAACACATAACGCTCCCTGAATGTTTCTAGAACGTCCTGGGCACGTCCCTGCAACAAACATGATGTTAATTGCTTAAAAAATGGCCTTGACATTCTTTTTGTACAACCAAAAGGAAAACCAATTGCTAACAATCAGATACAGTGCTCAGCATATATAAGTACACCCCTCTTAAATCTCTCTTTTAAATTCATATTTTTAATAGGAAGCAGTACAATATTATATTTGTGCATATGCGTTACATTAGTCGGTTCTAAAGCCAAATCTGGAGCTTATCTAACAAAATAACTTACGATAACGGCCCTAAAACTAGTACAACCAAATGTATATGTTATAGAAAAATATTAAATACAAATTTAAAAAGAGGAAAAATCAAGAGAAGCAAAAAATTTTTACATTTAATAGAAATACTGTAGGTTGTAATTTTTTTGCAATATTTTGCTTAAATTTAATTGTATTATCTTTCAATTTCTAAATATATTTGGTGACTAAAATATTATTTTAATAATTATATCTGTTTAATAAATCTGTTCTGTTTAAATGCACCAAAATACAATGCCTATACACTGAAAAATGGATAATCATGTTCATATTCATGAGGTGTATTCAATTATGCTGAGCACTGTAGTTCTGAAAATTAAGTAAGAGTATACCTCTACACTACAAAAAATGCAACATGTCGTAATTCTACATTGGGTCGTGGATGAATTTGTAAATGAAACCTTGCTAATTAAAAACTTGACTCCTTTATTTACAGTCTATAAACCCAACACTATGGTTAACCAAAAGGGGGCGCTGTTGCACATGAAATAAAATACAGATCCACCATTTACTGTCATGGTAAGAAATAAAGATCTAGGGCTAAAATGCGAAAAGCATTACATAATCACATCCCATACAGTTGCACAGTGTTTAGTGTATCATTTCTAAGTAGACGAGGATAGATTAGACATCAACCTAATCCAAAACAGTCCGCAGTTTTTAGGATTAACAACTGTCTGGATGGTCAAGATAGAGACTGTAGAATCAGATATTATTTACTTTGATAGAGCAAGCAGAAAATAGTTTTAATTATACATTAATACAAAAAACACAGTTTATAACACGTGATACTGTCGGAATGGGATAAGTCTATAGTTGTAAATGAAATAATTAATTGAACGGACACGTAAAGAAAAAGTCAGCCACAGTATCTTTATAGTTTTTATAGTTTAATGGCGTAGACTTTTATGCAAAACATCGACCTCTCACACTATTATCTCTCTCTCTCTCTCTCTCTCTCTCTCTCTCTCTCTCTCTCTCTCTCTCTCTCTCTCATATGTACCCGCCCTATATGTGTTCCACCGCCCCCATCCACTGCAACATTCAGGCAGGTTCACCTAATGTGCTTGTGCAGGCTCGGTGACGCCGCTGCTGTACTGGGAAATACTCGGTGAATCGGGACCGCTCAGAGTTTCAATCCAAACCTTAATCGACACCTCTATACTACAGACCCTGTAGAGCTGCGCGACAAAAAATGGCAGACCCAATGACCCAATCTTCTCAGATTTCGTCGTCACAAGGCCTAAACGATGGACATTCTGCAGCGTCTAAAGACTCAAAGTTTTCCGGTAAGACAACGCAAACGTCATGCAGCACTGCCGTTAAATTGGTTCTATTTGCTTCTAAATTTAGAACGTGTGTTCGTGGATATTCTAAAACGGAACTGGTGGAAATGCTTTGGGCAGGTCACTCTGACTAGAGCATTTTATGACAATACAAACCGACACACTGATTCAGATCGATTCGAATGAACTTGCATGCTTAAAATGGGTTGAGGCTAATATTGGGATACTCTCGTGTTATGTAATGGTGGTGCTCTGTTTATTTCTCACGTACACTTTCCATAACGCCTCCTCTTGGGCATTGTAGGAAGACTATATTGACATTTTGTAGGGATAAATATCATGGCGGATGTCAGACTCAGAATGAATGTGTTCTCATCCACAGCTTTGACCTAACGTTTATTTTTAGGAAAAGGCCAGGGAGAAATATGAGGACACATAATACCTCTTTGAACCCATGCTGAAATGGGCACATGTTGCGGCTCAGCTGATGATCTGCAGTGCAGATGCATCCGAAACTGGAGGACCGTGTAAATCAAGGGAAAACCTACATACACACACACCCATCTACATTACTACCGACGTGACAAGCTGGAATAATCAACAGAGCTGTCTAAAACCGATTATAAATCGTTCTTTTGAGTTGAATCTTAAGATAAATTAATTAAATCATTTCAAGCAATCGTTTATTTATTGGAAAATGTAACAATTTTATTAGTGCATAATAACATTTTTGTTGTAAATAACTTTTTTGTAACTGTAATGGCTACAATATATTGAACTAAATACAAATTTAATTAAATGCTTCATTGATGAAACCATAATACGCCTGCGTGTGGCTGTAATGGATTTTGTATTGGAAAATTTTTTTTTGCATGCTAGGTGATTGATGCCAAAAGTCTTTAAAAAGACAGAAAAACTTTTAATATGGAACCAGATTGTATGTTTGGATAAGCATCCACAACCATTGGAAATCATGTTGATTTGTGAAGGAAACATTAGCTAGGTTTCCTTCTAAAAATGTGCATTAAACTGGAATATCGCATAAAAATATTCAAATAAGGCATTATTTCCATCCAATGAATCAAAGCGAACAAAATCATCACTTCCGGATTAACTGCTATCAAATATCAACAGTAAAAATGGAATTTGCTGCAGTAGGAGAAGCTGCGTGAATCTTTTCTTCATTTAATAAATGCCTCAGAAGGCAATCCGGACATGCAATGAACGTGTTGTGGCGTTTGAAGGTGTGAGACGCAGAGCACAGATGCTGTTGACAGTTCTGGAGGTCATTAATAATATAATAACACTAGTACTGAAATGGTTAAGAGGTTTTAGAATGAGAAAAACAACATTTCAGATGCTTTACAATGTGCTCAGCCTGCTGGTTTGTCCATTCACACATATTTTTATCATCACATGATCTTTTATAACAAGATCACATGGCCTTTTTAATACGCACTCTGGAATTTGTTCAGAAAAGTGTTTACATCACAATTCATGCACATCTTTTCTTATTGAACAAAAACGTTTATTCTACTCGGTTATGTGCATATGTGTTTTATGCGCATTTTTAAATTTATAAGCTTCTTGGCGATTCCATCAACCGGTTTATATAAAAATAGGTGGATGGAAACTTAGCTAATGTTATCAATTATTAGTTTAAGCTTAAATATCGCAACGTGCGTTTATGCAATAGTTACAAGGCAAGATGGTCAATGTCAAGTCTGGAGTATATTTGACCAGCACAACAGTTTAGAACACGTCATTGAACTATAATAAATATGTGAGTGAAAGTTTATCAGTTTTAAGGCTCGTGACTGTAAGCATTTAAAGTGAGTTTTAAAGTATTCAAGCACAAGAAATCAAAATGTTTTAACAGTGATTTTTCTTTAATATGATAATGACAGAACAGTTGTGTTTTACATTTGATTAATTAATTTCAGTACCTGAATCTGTTAGACTTTTCGAAAAACAAAGCAATATTTAATATGTCTCTATTGTAAAATAATATATAACCATTCATGTATGTAATTATATTGCAGATAAAAGCAAATATTGCAACATTTCCAACATTATTCAGCCCTTTAAGACATTTATAGATTGGCAATCGTTAAAAGACTTTTGTCACTGATTGCCTTTAATGATTTTGGTCATTTAAAACCAGTTTATGAAAGAAACAGTTCACATAAATGAATCAAGTTGCCTCTGTCAAGTCTAAGTACATGCAAAAAATCTCTCTTAATAATTTGTTCCTGCTTGTCACGTTGTTTGCAGTTTAAGCACAGGCTTAAAGACATATGCTTTATTTTATAAACGCTAAACAAACCTTATTGCATTAATGAATGCTTTATTAGCCTGTCCATATTTACACATTTGCCGTCATGACATGCTGACCTTTGTTGGGTTTGTGTATGTTTTCCCTTTTGAAAACAATGAAATGATATACACAGGCCTTTGTTTGGTTCGTGCATATTTTTCCGTTGTGAAAACAATGCGGCGTGGTTTTGGATGACTGGATGTTGGTTCACAGCTTTTTAGGTCGTCAGCATATGTGGAGCGCTTCTGGCCTCCTTGCTTTGGCTTCATTAAAGCGTCTGGGAATCTAATAGAATTAGAACGTGAAGTTAAGACTCGTGACGTCACCCTGCTCTCAATTTTAAAGTCGTTTGATGCCTTCAGTTCAAATGCTGCTTTTAGCTCTTGAACTTGGACGCATTGAATTCAGTTGGGGATCAGAATCTGAATATTGCTGGATGTAAACATGACTGTCACGCTGGCTTACTATCACAGACACCATATGTGAAGGTGACAGTGGACCAGATGGTTAATTGTAGCTGCGTTGGCTCTCAAAGACATGATCAAAAAGTCCTATAAATCATTGGACGGTGCATAACATAACACAAATGACTAAACGAATATAATAAGCTGGTCAATTGTGCCAGACTTGGCCCAGTGTTGTTTTACTGCAGTGTTCTGGGTTTAATTCAGGTTAAGCTCAATTGATAGCTCTGAACTGACAGTTGGTACTTTAATTTGGAAATCTGTTGAGCAAGCATGCAATGATTGGCCCTAGGTTTTCTTTTTAAGTCATAATTAGTCACAATTATTTGTAGTTATTCACAGCACACTACTATTTTCTTTCCATTTAAATAGACTTAAGGTTCATATTTTAATGTGTAAAATATTTTAAGCATTTCTATATGTCAGAATTTGTTCTTCTATTTGTTTTCTAGTTCATTTTGAATGACTCAGAAGCCACATTGACATGGAATTAATGAATTTGGCATGGATTTTAAGTACAGTAGGTTTTATTTTTGTGAGGAATTAATTTATTTATTTAAAGATATTTGTATCACTGTTAAAATAAATATTAATTTTTAGAATTTTTTTTAAACGTTTTAAAATGTATAAATGCAGTACACACTTAAATTAGCCATACAAGCTAATATTGTGTTAAACAGAAACAAACAAACAGCAAACGTACAGTATTTCAAGATTATTTAAATGAAATTTAATTTTAAGTTCATTAAAGGTGCGTACATAGCCTTTACAATAAATGTACCATGTAGTATATTCATGTAAATATAGAAAAATATTAGCATTCAACAACACAGTGCATGTCAACATCCCAAAAGCGTTTTGTCAGCTACGCCTAAAAGATCTTGGCAGACCTTAACTTCTGTTTAATGCAGAACAGTTTTTCAAAATATGTCAGGACCAAGAGAGCGGCTCATAAATAATCTACTCTAGCTGTATCGATACTCTCTTTTGCTTTGTCAGAAAACAGTGTCTCACTGCCTTTCCCTTCTGTCTGGGTGTGAACCCTAAGGTTAGTACAGCTGGCTGAGACAGCAGTCTTAAAGCATTAGGTGTCATGATTCAGTCTCCTCGGGAATAGAGCTGATATTGCTGGCATGACAGAGATGCCATACAGGCTCTTCCAGTGTCAGAGGTCAATCCAGTCCCACTTTAAGCATCGCCCTGTAACACAAGCCGTTTTGGTGCATTTAACCCTTGCCCTTGCAATAGATGGTATCACAGAATCAGTTGTGTTGGATTACTTCACAGCATTTCCTTTTTGAATGTTTGCTGGCTAGCTACATGTGACAACTAATTTTGTAAGTTGAAAGGCATTATGAAATCAATTTAATCAAATTGTCCCATCTTATTTTTGGATATTTGATATTTTTGATCAATGACATTTTAGAAACTGAAGATGCTTGAGTTTTTGTGCAAACATAGTATGATTTCTTTCTTAACTTAATTTCTGTTTACATGATGTTTCTTAACTGAAACTGCTCATGAAGTGACTTCAAGATCAGCTCTGGAGGTGAAGTTCATGTCCTCGTATAGTGAGATGGAAGATGCTGAAAACACCAAGGCTTATTGAGAGGATGGATACAAAAAATACAACCATGCCATACACACAGAACATGCAGACTTGGCCCTGACATACTTCAAACAAAGATATTTTTCATTCTTTGCTTGATAGAAAAAGAATTTTAAAATGGCTGAGTGACGCTTTACTGTTTTCAAACACTCCAACACCCACACGCTGCAGTAGGTGGGTTGTAAATGTGTCACGCTGCTCGCGTTGCTAGCTTGCTGTTGTTCTCCTCTTTGACCTCCATGGATATGAGATTTTAATCAAATATCAAATAAGGCAGACTTCCAGAAAGCACCCGCCGATTACGTAATCATCATGGACCAATTGACGCTCAAAGGGGTTTAGGAACTCCCTCAACAATTTGCTTTGGTGAGCAGTTTTAAACTACCAAAATGAGCTCAAATAAAGCTTGGTTTTGGTTGGATTTTCTTTGAAATGACATTATATCTGTTTCCTTTTTGATTTTGTTTGAAGTATACAGGACCTTTATTGACCTTATTCTGCAATGTGGATGTGTGCTCATTTTTAGATTTGTTTTAGAATTTCCAATTAGATTTGGCGATGTCAACCAACTTGGCATTGTACAATGTCTAATGTAAAACATTGCAATGTACGATGGCATTGTCATCGTAGGCGGCAGTGAATTAAATATTTCAGAATAATTAAGTAATTCTTAATTTTTTGTAGCCTAACACACCATTTCAAATATCTGGTTTTTGGTCTTCGTTTTACCCACAATCAAATGATGAATAAATAAAGATAAGTAACGCACAAATTACAGCCTTTCAATTACTTTTCGCGGGATTCTCACATGAATAGGCAGAGTGATCTGTGTTGTTATAATGGCATCAACAAACTTGGTTGGTAAAAAAGGTGCACAACCAACAGGATTTTGCTAAAATTACTAAGGACAAGCGTAAAAGCGAAAGACTGAAGCAGTGTACTGATGCTGTGACCTGTTACCTGATAGATTCAAAAGACCGAAGAGTCGTTAGATAGAGACAAGATGAATTAAATGTCACGTTTAACACGTATAGGGAGACACAATCCAGCGGTACATCCTTGATAAACTGTGCTGGAGCTCAGATGCGCGCATACACTGCAGAGCATGATAGAGTGTGTGCGCTTTTCATGCTAGATGAAACGCCAGTGTGGACGTGGATTGTTTTCGTTCTAAAATGACATTTTAAAACTATGATGTATCAGTGTAAATGCTAAACGGGGCAGTGTGTATTTTTTGCGAGCGGGTTTCTGCTGCGATGGGGCGGAGGATTGCGATGCCGGCTCAACATCGTAATGTCTATCCGCCATTGGCGATAGACGATGGTATCATCTATCGACCCAACCCTACTTCCAATTCACTTGCCTATCGGGGAAATGACTAGAAATACCAAACGACAATAAACAGTCAAACTACTTGCTCCAAAAATAAGTGTTCATGAGTATACATAAGACGTAGAATAATATAATAAGAAAACATTAGTTTTCAACATCAAGCAGCATGACAATCTGTTTTTAATATCTAAAAATCAATATTAGTAATTAATATATATTAATATATTAGTAATAGTATTAGTAATTAGTAAGTAAATGAAGTCTTGAGCCAAAACGATTCAAATGCTGGCGCCCGCGCATACATAAAGAATAAGGTCAATAGTGATGCACTACAAATTGGCATCCATATTAGTACTTGTATATTATTATTGACCTGATAAGAAAATAAATTATCGAGCAGTAATTAATTTAGTAAAGCAGTAAACTAATTTTGCCTGATTCAACCATATCAGATGCAATCAGATTACTGCTGCCCATGAGGGTTTTGATTGACTTCATATTTAAATGGTGTTAGGGTTTCAGTTGTACAGAAACGCTTTTGATTCATATATTTAAAGTTTGCCTATATATTTTCATGCCATTTTGCACAAAAAATAAAAATAAAAATTATGGAGGGTATTGCATGATCTTTTCTGCCGTTCTACATCATGGAAATCACAGCACCCTCAAGATGTTAGCTTGTGACATTCTGATTAAATCATATGTTTATTGCAAATCACAAAAATGAAAAGTTAAACATTCCATATGACTGTCTCACAAGCAGAACAAAAACTTAAAAGAAGGTGTCATAGGGTGTATGAATTTGTCAGGGTTTTGGTGTTCACAAGTCGTTCAAGGTGTGTCACTTAAAATGTCAAAGGTGTGGTTTGGGCAAGGAATGCCGTGAATCAGGGGTGCAGTCCTTCTCTGGGACCAGTTGAGCATGCCATGTTTAGGACCGCTGTGTTACTAGATCAACCTGTTCTCTGGAACTTTCTCACCACTCTCACTGTTGGCACTCCCTGTTCTTATTGGGATTGTTAGGTAGGTTAATGCAATTTGGGTGACCTTGTGTTGCTTGTACAGCTCAATGATTGACCTAAGTGTTGAATTCTGGATGAATACAAATATTGTTTGCCTCCAAATCACATGGATTTTTGAAGTGTGGTTGAAAATGGACTCCCTTAACAGGTTACATAATGGAGTGGTGCAACATGTGGGTGCTCTGCAGGGTTAGATGTCAGAAAGTATGGGAGGGATCATTAAAAATTCCATGAGAACGTTCTGCCTTTTTGAATATTTTGAGTTATTGTGCACTGTGCAGCTTGAGTCATTGAGGAATGTCATGCATTTGAGTTCTAATAAGTAGTTGATGCATAATATATTTAATGTTTATCAGGATCCTAGGTCAAATGTGTAGTAATGTATAAGTAATTAAGTGCTATGAGCAGCATTTTGAACATTTATCATTTTAAGCTTTTTGTTTCTGGGGGAACAGTTTCCTTCATTAGAGTTACACCAACATTTTTTGTGAAATGAAATCTCTGTAGGTCTTCAAATAATATAAGCTGCATGCAATAAAAGAATGAGGAATGCTTAAAAATAGTAGAGCATGTCTGCAGAAGTCTTAGTAACTATATTAACGATTGATTTAAGAGTTATAAAATTAAAAGTAGGTTAAAAAAAGCCAGTTTTGTCATTATTTATTCACCCTTATGTTGTTGCAAACCTGTGTTTATTTTACATTTCTTTTTGTCAATACATTGAAAGTCAATGTGGTCCAAAATAGCTTGGACTAACAGTGCTTTTCCATATGTATTGTAGAGTTTTGGAAAGACATTAAAGGCATAGTTCCCCCAAAACTGACGATTCAGCTATCAATAATCATCCTTGATTTGATTCCAAACCAGTTTTTTTTGTTCTGTTGAACACAAAAAACGAATGTTAGAAACCTGTTACAATTGACTTCTATAGTATTTGTTTTTCCAGCTCTTGAAGTTAATGGTTGCAAGTTTCTAATGTTCCTTAAATGTTAAACGTTCTATCTCCTTTTGTGTTCAACAAAAACTCTTCAACTCTAAGTGATTTGGGACAAGTCAAGGCTGAGTAAACTACAGAATTTAGATTTTTGGGTGAACTATACCTTTAAGATGGGTAAATGATTCATTTTATTTTGCGGTCAACTCTCCTCAAGTCACATGAATTTAGAGAAAAGTGCTGGTTATTTGCTATCAGCTGTTTTTTTTTTTCCCCATAGATTCTTGAGATGTAAAGCTTCTTCGCCGGGCATTTCACTAACATTTTCCCCTTTCTAATGTAGAGTATAAGAAGGATTCTGAGATCTTTTCTTCTCATTCTTCTGTCCTATTTTATTTTTCCAGATTCCTTTTTTTCTTCGCCTGTATCTCTCATTCAGTCTCCTCAAGGCAAGTGTATAGTTCTCTTATGATGCTCGCCTGCTTCTCTACCTCTTCTCTTTCTCTCCATGCTCCTCTGTCATCTCTGTTCTATTAAGTATGCTATATCCCACTGGGCTGCTGCTATGACGCTCTCCATCCCTCTCGCCAGTGACCCTCTCCTCCTCTATACCAGACTAGATGCTCGCAGTAAGGCCTTCTTTTCTTGCTTTTAGGTGTAGGAAATAAAGCAGAAAGAAACCTATTGAATCACCAAAAGAACTCGACCAATCTCTGGGTGTATATCCTCAAAATGTCCGCTCTTTCAACCTGAATGGATTTGTAACTAAGAATTGACAGTTAAGCTGTTAGTTAGACACCTGCACGCCACTTGACCGTGTACTGTGCAGTCCAACTACCCTCCCTGACCAGCAGTTTTGTAACTTGACCCTTGCTGTTTCTAATGGTGACCCTTTGCTATCATGCATGTTGGAATCCATAATAACAGCCAAGTCCCTCCTGTTTTCTACCATATTTAAGATCCTCAATCTTGGATTCACTTCATGAATGCTGTTCAACTGAGGTCATCCACATAACTGCGGCTGATCTTTCAATGCCATTTTTGAGATAGAAAGTCTTCTTGACTGTGTAATTCCAGGTTTTTATCAAGAGATTCTTGTAATACAAGCCAGCAACTGCTAAATTGAATCCTGATGAATACTAGAATGATTTCTGGCAACAATTTGTGGCTACCCCCTACTTTTACCAGTTGTATCTCCTGTCATTTCGACGGCACCCCACATCTGACATGGTTCACAGATTAAAAATGGAAAAGCTAAGTCCCCACAGATGCTAGAAACTCAATCGGCTCCAGTCTATACCCACTGCAAACATGATTTAGGTCAGCGTTACTGTGGGTCCAGCTTAATCCCAAGATTGCCACCTTATTTTAAGATAGCGGAGAAGTTCAAGTTCACTTTGTGCGAGAGCAGATTCCTAAAAATGGATCAGGTTGGCGTCCCTGAGGATTCTTGTCCTTGATGTCCCACCTCCCCCACTCAGCAAGCCAAGTTTGGAGCTACAACCCCAACCCTGAACTGGTACTGAAGGTAGAGCGACACTGGGGAGGGATCTAGCAACAGGACGCTGCTTGGGGTTACACCCCAATGACTGCTGGCGGCTGACTCTTCACCTGCTTTTTTCATGCATTTTGCATGTTGTCTTTTACCACAGAGTAAGAGGAAATCCTGAAGCTTTTTTGTTTGTTTGTTCGTATCTTTGTTTCTTGTCTATTACTTGAAAGCACTGATAGCAGTTTAGGAAGCATTAGCATAGAGAGTTTGAGTAAATTCCATACACCATATTGAGGTCTTTAGATATCATAGGAATTCCAACAAGGTTGTTACAAGGTTGTGATCTCAATTAAATTAAATTCAGTTAATGTCTCATTGTAAACCAAGAGCTGCAATTTTCTGAATGCATTGCGATTCTCTCATAAATCAATTCTGAGCTTAGTTTTTACCTCCAGATGGCGCTATATGCTTTAAAAACTGCAACGCTCTGCCAATCCTTAGATAACACTTGGATGTAAAACATTTGTTAATATAGTTAGCTATTTTTATGAAAAGGTTTTAGCGAATTACAAGAGTGTTATCGTGATCTGTTTTTATATAAATCTTTTATTATAAAAATAAAGCCATGGTGCAAGTACATATGACCCCTTAGGGGCCGATAACACAGAACACTCTTTTTGCTTCGAAAGGCGCCTTTTTTTAAATGGTTTACTTACGATCGCGAGCATTTTGTGCACAGCTTATGCACCCTGCGCGCATTGCGTTTTAACCGCCTGATGCACCTCGCATTTTTGCCTTTGCACGCTGTGCGCTTGCAGTTGAAAAAAGTCTACTCTCAGTCACATCTTTTCATTCTCCAATCAAATGAAAGCAGAGGCGGAGTTTCTGTTGAGGGTGACAGCAGTGTTTGTTGTCTAGACGACTACAGAGACTTTTGAAGATAGAGGAGTGACTAGTGGTTACTGTTTTGATTTATTCAGAGCTATATGACTTCACAAGTCTTGAATATCACAATATTAAGTATTAAAATTCTACCAATATCAATAGCAACACTCGTGCACAATAGGCAGCTGAGTTAATCGTGCACAAATGCTCCTCTTCATGCTCACTAAGCGTATGATTAAAAACTAGCCTGGAACAGCAACTGCTTAAAAAAAACTAAGCTCAGAATTGATTCCAGAGTGAATCGTGAGGCATACCAAAAATCTTAGAATCAATCCATGAATCACAATATATCGTTTCATCACCCAGCCCTAGTTTACATGCATCTTTTCTGAATTATTATTTATAGTCGTCACAATGAATATTTATCCATAACAAACTCTTCAAGAGGTGTTGGGACAAAAGTATTTGTTTAGATATAAGTGAGCAATAAAATGTAAACACACAACAAGTATAGTCATTTTGTGTGTATTACATAATTATATGTTCAATCTATTTTGAGAAGGCTTTACTTTAACTGGGTAAGGCCTGTAATCATAGCATTTGGAAAATACTAGTTTCAACTGTCAGCTGAAGTGCAAGTTTCTCTGAAGGAATCTCAGAACTGTAGCCTTAAGCATGTAAATTTATTTAAAGATTGTATCTTAAAGTAAAACAACGACATGGGCAGATTTCAAGAAGGAAAAAAAAGAGAAGAATGTCAGAATGTCGTAATAGAGGCACCTGCAGCGATCTGCACCTGTTGTTTTTTCCCCACTTTAGAGAGGCAGGAGAAATTATTGCAGGTAAAGTGTTTGAATTGCTTAGTTTATTTATTAAATCGACAGAATATGTATTACTTGAAAACAATATTAGTTTTTAAATGTTATTATTCTCCGGTAGTTAGCACCATATAGCCAAGGCTAATGATATTCAAACCTGCGAGACCATACAATAAAACGGATAGTGTTCAAAGGGCAACTAGCTTCCGCAGACAGTATTTGCCTTCACAGGATGCATTTGAGTTGCCTCCCAAGATTTCCAGGGTTTTGTAGCAACATTTAACTAAGGTGAATTAAAATAAATTTTAATTTTAGTCTAATTTTAGTGATTTTTGTGGCCTATTTTTTGGTAGAAAGGGTCAAAATTATCTCTCTAATTCTTGTATTTTTTAGTATACTGCTTTTAATGACCCTTTTAACCAGCCTTTATACTTTTTATACCAATCTCTCATGCATGGGAAATTAACCAGATTGTGGCCTCTAAGTAGATAGGACGTAAACCAAACATTTTAATTAGATGTGCCTCTTTCCGCTTAGAGCCGGTGAAGACAGATCTTTTTTTTTTTTTTTTTTTTTTTTTTTTTTTAAGACGGCCATTGTGTTGCATGGTAAAATGGTCAGGATTTCCATTTTCAGCATGTGTCCAGAATTCTCTTGCAGCATTCCCTGTGCTCTTGTAATTCTGGCCTCATTGTGTCATCTACGCCATAATTTGATTTCTTTATCTTTTCTTTCTTATTTGATGGCTTGACAGTTGAGGCAAAGATCAGGCAGGCCATCAGTAGAATCTTCAATAGCAGTTCTTTATTTGTTTTTTATATAAAGAATTCATTATTCAGTCCAATTCAGGAAATTGAGTACATTTTTGTTTGTCTATTTTGTTTTGTCTGTATCTTTGTTTTGGCGGTTGTTGTTTGGTTATGGATGTCATCTGAATTGAACACTTGTACAATCTCCCACTTCAGGAACAATACATTAAAAGCATTAAGAAGCACCGTGTGTGTCATTGAGATTCCTCAATGATTTCAGCACATTATCAAGCTGGCATGCAGACATCAAACTCCATCCATTAAAATGTGGGACCATGCAGTGTGTGCATGACCGCTTTAGCTGCAGTTAAATGGATGCAAGCAATAAAGCATCTTGGGAATGCTAAATAAAATACTAGTGTAGCTGCTGATTGCTAAAGTTTTGGGATCTTTGGTTCTGAAATTTTACAGATCCCCTTTTGTTTAAAAATAAACCTGAGCTGAACCTCAGTCCCCTGCTTTAGCAAATCTGTATTAAGGTAAAGTATGCTTTGATCTTTTTTTTTTCCAACCCTCCTTTTCCTACTCTTTCCTGCTGCATGGTGGATGCAGACAAAAGAGTGGTATTGGGCTCTGACAAGCCTTCAGAAAATGTGGCCACCTCTCTTCGCTTTTCTTCTCAGTCAAGTTCCTTTTCTCCAGTTGTTTATGGAACTGAATCTTCAGGGTCATCTGGTGACAACGTAGATCGTACCTTCAAAGAGAAACGGGAGCTTTTTGATTCACCTTTTAGCACTCAAAATCAAGAGTCCCCTGTAAAGACATCCCCAGTGTCTGAAAGAATCAAAGCATTGGAAGCATTAGCTGCAAAGCAGAACGATTTTGATAGACATGATGGAGGCTTTCCACATTTTAAAGAGCGTCATTATGAGAAGTCCCCTACAGAATCGCATGGAATTTCCTCACGTTTGTCCTTTCAGAAAAGGACTGCATCAAATGAGCAGGAATCTCCAGAATCACCATTTGAAGTGCTTGGTGAAGCAAGGCGTGGAAGTGACTTTGAGGACACAGCTGACTGGATGAGAGCTCACTTACCACCCGCACCAGATTTCAACACTGAAGAACCTGACCTTGATGAGGGAAATGAGTGCCCCATGGTGCAAGAGAGTCCATCTAAAGTAATAAAACCAAACAATACAGAGACCACAGAAATTCCAGAGCCGTTTGCAGGTGTTCCTGATCAGTTTATGGACAGTCCTATAAAAATGGCAGATGACAACAACCAGTCAAAACATGATGAGGACAAGCAAATGAAACAAGAGAGTGTTGAAGAAGATTCTGAATTTGACCTGAATTTCTTACCTACAGCCTATATGTGGGAGAAGCAAGAAAAAGCAGAAACGGGCGATCAAGGCTATCAGGGATTCCCTGACAATAAAGAGCTTCCATCCTCTCCTGCTGCTCCTGCAGATTGTGGATCTCCATCACCCATTATGTCCCAACAAATTGAGCCTAGTCCAACACAACATTCGAATATTTCAAAGGGAAGTTTGGAACCTGCTGAGATCCAAGAGGTAGACAGCTCTGGGGAGTCAGATGATACAGTGATTGAGGAAGCCGTGAGCCTCCCAACATTGGGAAACAATGACCTTGACACCAAAACCCCCAAGGATGAGGAAACCATTCCAAACAATGAAAAACAGTCAATTCAGGTACCAATTATTAATGTAATTGAAACAGAGGAGCAAGTTTTAAGTGATGATGATGAAGATCAGCAACTTGATGTGGAACAAGACATTAAAGATAACGAAAATCGTCAGATAGTGCAAGAGGAAGGCAAAGGAGCACCAGAGCAAGACCACTCAGAGGTGGAGCAGGTGAAAACTGTAGAAACTGAAGAGCGCAAACCTGATCATGAAATTTCCTCACAGAAAAGTAATACTGACACTGAAGTTGATCACTCTCCTAGACACGAAGCTATTGAAGAGGATTATGAGAGTGGAATTTACCTCCAGTCTTCTCCGGACTCTGGAGGCCTGAATTTGGAGGACTCTCAAGAGCAATCATTTATGTCTCAGAATTTAGTGTCTTTTGAACCCCTTAAAGAGTCATTCCTTGATAAAGAGCTTGACAAGACCTCTGAAATACTGTTTGACCTTCCCCCTGATATCAGTTCCCCCTCAAATGAGCCCAGTGATGTAGAGACTTACCTTGATCACTATGCCAGTGAAGAGCTTGCTTTAAAAGACCAGTTGAATTCTTCTTGTTTTAAGGAGAATAAAGTTGAGAAAACTGAGCTTCCGAAGTCAGTCTGCCTTCCAGGTAATAAAAACATCTGTACACTCGCTCAGGAATCCTTTGAAAACGTTACAGATGATATCAATGAGACACTCAATGAATTCAGTCTAGATTATGAATCTGTGCCCGAGCCCTTCCTAACTGACCCTTCATCTGATTATCCTGATGATATTGAGACTATTCTCCCTCAAAACGAAATGCCAAGTTTTGATTCTGAAGATCTGAAATCAGAAATCAAGACTTCTACCCTGCAGAACCAGGAGTTACCAGTCCAGTCCACTGACCAAACGCCCCCAGTTCAAGAAAACCCACCTGCACCATTCCCCTCTTTCCACAATGAGCAGTCTAGCAAAATCAGTGATGTTATTACTGTCTCTGTTGCAAATAAGGATGCTGAGTTACCAGTAATAACCAAGTCTGAACCTCAAGTTATGACGCCCAAAGACCTTTTAGATAGACCGGATTCGCCAGACGCAATGAGTGATACAGAGACACTTGAAGCAGAATGTTCTGTAACGGCATCGACCGACAGCTTTATGGAGTTCATGAGAGAGTGTCTAAAGTCCCGGCAGGATGAGGAACCCGAGACCCTCAGTCCCGGACACAAAACTATAGATCAGAATCCCAAATCAGCTGAAAACCAATCATCCCCAGCAATGATCATGGATTTGGAGCAAGAGCGCCTCACAATTTCTGCTTTGAAAGAGCTCGGAAGCAGCCAAGAAGAGGAAGATGAGAATATTATAACAATGAAGACTGTTCCAAAGCTTGAAAAAGCTCCACTTCCTACACCTAATCCTGCGTCTTCAGTCACCTCATCTTCTCACACTCTTCCAAACGAGTATCAACCTGATTCCTTACTTCCCAAAGAGGTAGAGGCAATCGACATTTGGGTAGCAGAGGCCTACCACCTTGCAGAGCATGTCTTGACAGCAATACTAACCCACCTTACAGGTAACATACATATTTTTTTCTGGGCAAGCAGCCTGCTAACTCTGCACGCATAGTATGCCCAGACACCATACCTTACTTTATCTCTTCTTTTTTTCCTTTATAACTCAACTTTAATTTACTCAGTACTAACCTAAAAGTATCCTTTGGAAAAGTTGGCAACAACTAAACCTGTTCCAGTGATGGCTTTATAAAGTTACTTAATGTGCTTATTGTAATAGAATCTTTAATTGTGGTTTTAAGCTTATTAATAAAAGCTATGCTTCATATTAATATTAAATGTACTAAATTGTGAGTTTTCTTTAGCAAAACTTCTCATTAAAATTATGGTACACTTTTAAAAAGGATGGATATAAATATTCTTGCAGGGTGGCTACATGCACAGCCCTTGAAGTCAGGTGACGAGTCATGTCTAGTCTCAGGTTTCATCTTTCATGTTGCCTTGGAAGGCCATTGGGAATAAAGCCAGGGTGAATGTGTCATGTAAAAGTAGCAGCATTATTTTCCATTTGGCAGTTGGTATGCTATTGTTATGCGTGTACTCATCTGGAGTGACACATTAGAGAAAATTATGCATAATTATCAAGTTAATTTTAAAGCATAAAGGGTAGAAATTGTTGATTGAAAATGGTTTGCTTAGTAGTTTCATTAAATGAAAAATTGTTATGCTTTAAAATGATATAAGGTATTATAGTCAGTGAGCAAAATAGATTCTAACAGACTCTGAAAATAGTATTTTAAGCACTCAGGCATATTTAACTTTCACCTTTTGGTTTTGCTGACATAACTGGACATTTGTCACAGTTGGCCTAGTAAGACTCAACAGTTTCGCAAATATGCAGACAGAAAGTCCAATGGCTGATTCACTATCTGAAGTACGTGACATATTCTGCATGCCTTTGTTTGTTTTTAATGATTGTCCTGATATCTACCAACATTGAATCATATAAAATAAGGCTCCTATCAGGACAACATTATATTGACCATTTTGAACAAATTTAATAACCATTTAAAACTATTTGCTTTTAATAAAGAAATTATAAAATACACTTTTTGGAGGCTACACATCCAACGCAAGCTGAAAACCTTTCTCGAGATACTTTTACACCTATTTGAGCCCTGTAATAAAGAATATTGCTAAGACATAACTAGGGGAAAAGTAATTGATTGTTTTATTATTGGCTAATTGCAGATCATTTGACTTGGCTTGTATATTTTAAGATATGGTATAAGCGTAAATACCCTTATTATCTAGTAAAAAGAAAACAAAAACTAAAATTTTATTCAACTCAATATTTTAAAATTTTGCATTTTAGTTTGTCATTTAAAGTTGCATCAGTTATAATGAACTAGCAATAAATAAACAATAATATTATCTTATAAATAATATTAAGGATGTAACGGTTCGCCTGACTCATGATTTGATACGATTCACGATACTAATCTGTTGTTCTGTTAGTGTAAGTAATAGTCTTTTTGCAGTATTTACACAGTTTGTGTTTGTTTGGCACACCTTATTGCTGTCATTTTAGTCTGCCGCTCCACCTCTTTCTCGCCTGCACAGCGCCCCCTCTGTTCAAAACATGTATCGCGATTCATTCAACATTTGTACCCGTTTGAATCGTGACATTTTAATCGAATTTCAACCGGCTCACGGTGAATCGTTATATCTCTAATAAATATGCTAAATTGTTTTAAATAATTTTGTATTTAATTCATAATACATTTAACTAAAACTTAATTTTTTTTCAAACAAATGAATTGACATTAATAATTGCAATAAATAATGTTAATGAATTTAACCTTACTGTAAAGTGTTAGTTTTTCCATATAGACAGTAACTCATTTCTTGCGCCAGTTGCCAAATATAGTTTTAATAAGGTAAGTGGGTTATTCAACAGATCTGGAGCAAATCATTTGCCTTACTTTTCAGCATCTACATGAGTTATTTGCTAGGTTGAAATTTTGATGTGATTGTAAATGTGATATTTTACCAAAAACACCGCTTTCACACAAAGCGTTGTGTGAAAGTTTATTTTAATGGGTGGGACGGTTTCCACTTGGGTTGGTCAGATCAGAAGATAATGGCATGTGGCTGTGCAAAAACTCTGGCATAGCTTTATCTAATCGCTGTGGTCAATTATTTATATGTCCATTATGCATATCCAACCACAAATAAATATCCACACCGAGCTGCCTTGTAAAAAATGTAGTACTTTAAATTCTCCTGAGACTTTAAACGAATAAGAAGCAAGTGCAAACATTTTAAGTGCGCTGAATCAGACCGTAGTGTATAAATATGGCCAATAGCCTTTAAATAACTGACCTCATTAGGGTTTTCTTTGCGTGAAAATTGGCTCATGCTGTTCATTTCTGAGCGAAGTAAAACAGGATTATTTTTTAAAGCTGAAACCTTTGTACTTGGGTGGGATGGATGACTTCATGCATGACTCGTAAATGATTCAGACTCACATGGACTCTTTCACCGATTTGCACAATTGCATTGGATGATGCATGTGCCTTTAAGAGAAGAGCCGTGTGAACTAAAAGAGGCCACTGCGGCTCAGCAGCCACTGGGACATGCTGTTGTATCTAGGTCCACTAACGCCAGCGAGGGAGGAAGGGAGGGAACGATAACGAATGACTGTTCTCAGCCTAGGCTGCCTCCCTGTGGGCACTAGCAAAGCATGCTGGGAGCGACTCAGACCCCTGCAGTGAGCGTGGAGGAAACCCCTCACATGCGCCGAGAGTGGACAAAAACAATGCTGCTCTCTTAGCCTCTGAATCATTCGCTATACACTATTGTGCTGTAGTTATGTCATGTTGACTGTTGTTGTAAACAGTTTTCTCTCTCTCTGGTTGCTAGATAACCGTTTCTTTTTTAGATGTCTTTACCTATTACTTCTGTTTATATATCAAGCATTGGATCAGACCTCTTCTAGTTAGTTACTTTTTAAAATATGTCTACCAATTTTATACATACATGTGAGAGTTAATTTTAAGTTCGCATTTTAATTACTTTTGAGGATTTTTAAAAAAAAATTATTTTCTTTATTTTTTTGGGGGGGAATATAACAATCTCACAGCAAGTTGTAACTTTTTGATTAGTGGCTAATTTCTGTGAATTTGTGTAATGTTTCTTCTTGAGATCAGGCTGGAAAGTCAGTAGGTACACTACTATTAAAACTTTTTTTCTCCAACAAATTAATACTTTGATTTAGCTAGAATTTATTAAACTGACAGTTAAGATGTTTATGAGCCTTCACGCTTGGTATAGGTTTTGCTTATGATTTATGCAAATTCTAGGGTGTCAGAAGGGTCTTAACTTCTTAAATTTCTAAAATTAAATTTTAGGCCTTAAAGTCTTAAATTCACAGAAATATTGTGTTCTAAAATATTATAAAAATATGTAAAAGTTGTCGAAATAAAGATTCTCTTAATTCTCAAATTCTCTTAGTTAAATTTTTCATGATAATAACAGTGAAATATGCCTTTACATAATCTTCCATTTACACAAAAACTATTTACAGTCAATTTTGAGTGGACATAAAATTTATAAATAGGCATGAAACTTAATGTTTTATAAATTGGAAAAAAAGTGTACACAACTAGAGTTTTGTTGTTTTGACACATTAAAATTTGTAGTTACGAAATAATTACATTTAGTTTTTTTCCCAATTTCATTGGACCAACTGGACCATTAAAAGTCCTTAGTGTTTAGCCAAGTATAAGACTAAAATCTCATTCATAATGGTCTTAAAGGGGCCTTAAAGTCTTAAATTTCACTGAAACCTGCAGAAACACTGAAATTCAGAACTATTCAGTTGTAAAGCAGTTTTTTTGGCATTTGTTCCTCAAATAATGTTTTTATTTATTAATAGCAAATGCTTTATTAATAACCACACTATAGTTCTTAAGTAAAAACAGAAAAAAAGATGAACGGTACAAATACAAAAAAAAAACTTTATTTACCAAACATTTAAGTAAGTAATAATATAATCTAATAATATAGTAATCAAAGGAAATCAAAGTCCTTAGCTTCATTCTTTTTTTTTTTTTTTTGATCAACATTAATGATCCAGGCAGCAGAAACCAAAACTCAAAAACTTCTTTTCAAAGGACATTTCAATTTTATTAATAACTATTATTATAGATTGACTGAAAAAGCTTAGTTGTATTGAATTACAAGTTTTATACAAGTATTGATTACAACAAAACGGTACTCGCAAGATGTATATTAAGCCTATTTAAAATGTAAAGCGGTTATTTTGCTCCATTGATGCAGAATCTTTTAGTATTGATGCATCATGAAAATGTTTATATATCAAATCTCATTAACGATAATTTCAACCTCTAAACGTTTTTAGTTTAGTTTAATGATGTTGCATACTCTGTATTGTATAGTGGTCTTAACTCTTGGCTGTAACCTGTTATAGTAAGAGTAATTCATGCTCAGCAGCACATTTCAGGGTTTTTAACATGCTCTAAAACACTTGAAGTAAAGCAGTACCTGGCCATGTATTGCTTGAAGAGTATGCATGAATACATTTACAGTCTCTTGGAGTGTGAGAGCCATATCTGTGCTTGAGATGATGTATGAAAGCTGACAGACCAAACATAGTAACAGTGGAGGATGTGGTTGTGTTTTCAACCAGCCAGCGCTTGCACGTGTGCGCTCCTTGTGTTACAGGACCAATCCCCACACATGGCCAAGAATGAATTCCTGCGCTTGGAAGAAAGTGTTTTGAAAACACTGAGTCTTTGCCAGGAAAAAATATATATGGGTGTACCATCCTGTTCTGTTCGGGGTGCAAATTGCGCATCCGTATGCATGTTTTTTTCCACCACTGGCCGTCTACGCATCCACAATTTCCTGAGAAAAGGAAACCCGCAGAGCTGAAACCCCTGAAGGCTTTGCTCCGTGTGGAGAATGCCTTTTATGTAAGGCTTCTTTAAAAGGTTCCTTTCACGCCGCATCACCAGCCTCTCGAAAAACTATTACGTAACCGCAGCTGTATGGAAAATATGAGCTCTCCATTATTTATGACACAACTAAAGGTTTTACAGCTCCGGTACAAAAGAAGAACTTATTAAAATACCCTACTACTGCCAGCTGAAAGTTCTGGATTTAAAGCCCTCCTAAATTGTATCAATATGTTATAAATAAGTTGATGTTCTCCAAAACAGGGGTAACATATGTATTTAAAAGATGTATGCAATTCACAATATATTGTTTGACGTACATTACATCCCCAAGAACTTGAGAAAATCGTCTAACCCAGTGGTTCTCAAAGTGGGGGTCGGGACCCCCCGAGGGGTCGCGGGGCAATGAAGGGGGGTCGCCTGGTGATTTCCAAAAATCTATTTATTTTTATTAAACCATAAGATTAACATATTTTATCCATAACTATACTGAAAATAAAAATAGTCGTTTATAGTTACTATATACTATATAGTTACTATAGTAGCTTATAGTTAATAGTTCTATTGGATTGCGACCCCTGGGCTAATTACATTATATTAAAGGCAGCAATAGCGTCAGATGCATTTTGATTTTATAACATCAGGTTATACTTTCTGGCACATTTAAAGCACTGACACAAATTTAATTGGTGTGTCTGCGTCATTGCATGCTAGGTTTCTGTATTTATAACCACCTCAGAGGATATTGGGGGTCGCGAGTCACTGGCATTGTTATTTTGGGGGTCGCGGGCTGAAAAGTTTGGGAACCCTTGGTCTAACCAATCAAATGTTCTTTAATGTCTTTAGGGGTGGGAAACATCAGATAATAAAGTCAGAAACCTGTCATTTATTCATATTTTACCAAGCATTCATACAGAGCGTTCACCTAAACGCATCCGTTTATATAATAAATGGAAGTACACTGAACTGCTCCATGTTTACTAGACATAACGTGGCCTGTCGTGATAGTCAATACAATGACTTGTTGAGTAATGCATAGGCATGACCTCTATTGGTTGGTACTTGCTACTTTTTTAGTTCCACCAAGGCTGAGGTTAAAAGCAAGCTGTACCTTTACCAAAATCCCACATGTAAACACTGCAGAATCAGATACTGGTTGGAATAATCGCTATTAGCATTATTGGATTTGCTAAGACAAACGCCCTGTAAACATTAAAGGGAACCTATTATGCCCCCTTTTACAAGATGTAAAGAAGTCTCTGATGTCCCTAGAGTATGTATATGAAGTTTAAGCTCAAAATACCCCATAAATATTGTTTAATGACTTTTTGAAAATACTCCTGTTAGTCACCAAAATGGCACAATTTGGATGAAAGCCTGTTACTTTAAAATCAAATAAAATTGTGCTCATAGCCCCTTTAAGAATTTGCATAATAGGTCCCCTTTAAAGTCAGCTACAGTCACTGTAGGATTATTTGAATCGCACTCAACATGGCTGTATTGTGATAGATGAGTAGACAAGGTGCAGATATTCCTCTCATTGTGACTTTCTGAGTATTTATAACCTGTCCATGTGGGGTGAAGTTGTTGTGATAGGTGAGAAGAAAAGACTTGAGACGCTTTAAGTAATATTTCAACCAAAAATGAAGTTTACTCCCTATTTACTCGCCCTTGTGTGGTTTCAAACCTTTGAGATTTTTCTTCTGTTAAACTCAATAGAAGATCTTCTGAAGGAAGTTAACAAACTAAAACCATAGACTTCTGTAGTAGAAGAGCAAATACAGCGGATGTCCAGCTTTCTTTAAAATATCTTCTTTTGTGTACAACAGAAGAAAGCTAAATAGGTTTTAAATGAGGAAAGAGTGAGTAAATAATGACTAAAGTCGTTTTTGGGTTAACTATAACTTTAATACCAAATCCAACATATATTTATAGTTGTGTACTACAAGCCCTAACTACACACACATTTCAGAATACCAAACCATACCTAGCCTAAAAGGGCGCACAATCACAAATAATAAAAGCTGTTTTCAACATTACCAGCATCAAAGTTTAAATAAGGACATCGTATAGTCAGTAGCATAAAATGGTCTTAAAATGACAATATTATTGCTTACCGCAGTCATTTCTCTGATAATATATCGCACAACAAAAATGATTTATCATGACAGGCCTAGTCATAACATTGAGTGGAAATAACACATTCAAAAATGATCAGTCATGCACAAATGCAGTTTTCCATATGGTTTATGCCACTAAGTGCAGACAGTGTTAAACCATAGGTCTCAAACTAGATACCTGGTGGGCCGCAGCTCTTCACAGTTTTGTTTCAATCCTAATCAGACATACCTGATTTAATGCGATTAAGACAATACTCTGATTAAGAGTCTACCATGTAAATGGCCATTTTTTATTAATTCAATCCAATTAAGGTCATAATGATGTAGGATTTTCGCCACATTTTGTGACCGGATAGTCTATACACAAACGGCTGTTTGACACTGCACCTACCGAATCCGTGAAGGACCACAGACACCTGCATCGCAAAATGCAAGGTTTTTATCCCATGCGGCATGCGGTATCAAATTCTATTAAAACAGCATTCAACAGTATCATAGTCACATCTAATATCTCGTTTGTCAAGGAGGCATGCATGAAATGTTCCTGAATATAAGTGAATAACTAAAGAAAACTCAAACCAATCGAGTACTGTAAAACCTCAAAAATTAAGGTAACTCAAACTGTTTGAGGATTTGATTGCAACAAACCATTTGAGTTACCTGCCAAACTGCAGTTTAAGTCGACAAATTAAAAATGAAACACCCAGAATTCCATGAAACTCGGGAGAAAATGTGGATATCGTGATGACGCAATGACGGTAATCAAATTGTAAAACGGAATCATAAACAAAGCATTTACAAAGCAACTCATGTAAACACCTTAATCATATTGTCTGATTCAGATACTGATGTCCATGTAAACGTAGTCATTGTGTTCAAGACTACTCTTGAACACCTTGATTAGTTAGAGCAGCTGTGTTTTGAATAGGGTTGGAGCAAAACTGCCGAGCTGCAGCCCTCTATGAATTGAGTTCGAGATCTATGGGTTAAACGATTCGGACCGTGTAAATATGCTTTCTGTTGGTGTAAAGAAAGTATGGCTTTCCGTTTGTGTCACACAAACTGTCGCAGTGCACAAACATGGTCTTCCCTCTCTGGTCCAGAGAGACAGCAGCACAGAGCGGATTACTTGCATGACTCAGCATAGACCACAAAACATATTAGACCTGTTTAAATGACTCTAAATGCTGCATTTTGAAGTGGAGAAATGGTTAGACAGACTCAGCATTGCTGCTATAGACTGTGGCAGTCATGAGATGCTCCTTAACTCAGGGGGTTTCAACCTGTGGGAGAATTTGAGGCATGTACTCGTAAATTATAAGGATTTTTATGCGTTCACTAAAATGAATCTGATTCACGTTAGTTCCACAGCTAACTATCAGGCACCTGTAGAATTAATGTGTTTGAGAAAAACATATATACAAATTAAATGAACCGGGTGCTTTTTAAAATTAAATGACGGTGAATTGAAGTGCAACCTGTGAGCTGTCTGACAAAAAAAGTGCCTTTCTGAATCAAATCAGCAAAATGCCCTTCTGACTCTTTCACTTACTTTGAAGACACTAATGACTATGCTTATATGGACATTTATAATCTAGTTATTTGACTTAATCTGAATAAGACAATAATATAATTAGGGTGTTTACGTGAAGTGCTTTTTGAATTTTGTGTCACCAGGCTATCCACATTTCCTGCAGAGATTTGTGTAATTTTAGTTGTTTCCCCTTTAATTTTTGACTTTTACTCCAGTTTCACTAACACTTATAAATATTTCACTCATGCGCCAGAGACAAACTGGGGTAGTGGATGTAAGTATGGAGTAAGGACTGGTGGAAGTGTTGTTTTAATGAAATTTAATAGCGCACACCGAATGTAAAGAAAAAACTTCCGCATTTTGTGATGTGTGTGTGTGTGTCTGCACTGCAGTCCTTTACTGACAGCCGTGCACGTGGATCTTGTCGCAAAATATGGCAAAGTCCTACATGATGGTTACTTCAATAATGCCACTAATATATGCATACTCCACGTCTTCATTTAATTTTTATTTTGTTCAATTATGACTTTAGTTGGATTAGGGTCATCAAAAATCACTGTTTACATGGTGACTCTTAATCAGAGTATTGTCTTAATTGTATAAAAATGTATTAAAATATTGGTGTCCATCTATACGCACTCAACCAACGCGAGTGAAATTGGACAAATTTGGTGGTGCGTGTGTCCTAAAAGGTTGAAAACCCCTGCTTTAACTCAACTACTTCTGCTGGTCAAGCTCTAAACTTTGCGAATCTACTTTGCGGTGAGCCATGTATGTGGACAAACGCAAGAGCGCACAATGTAAACCAATGGAAATCATAACAGAAAAAATAGTAATAGTTTTATAGTAATATCTTTTAAAAAAAAAAAAGATAAACACTCTGATTAAAATGGACTAACTGTGTGTATACCTTTATAAATGCTCTTTGTGTGTCTGAGAAGCTGAAAATATACATTCCATAACATTCTGGTTCCATTGGTGAAGTGTAACACGAAAAGCAGAACATAAATGCAAAGGGGGCTGGTGGATCGATGGATTGATGGATGGATGGATGGATGGATGGATGAATGAATAGGTGGATGGATGGATGAATGGATAGAAGGAATGTTGGGAAGGTGAATGGATATAAGTGAATGGATGGATGGATGGGTGGATTGATCAAATAAATGTACGAGTTTATCCGTAACTGACAGGGTAGCAATGAGCTGCCATAAGAAAACAGTTCCAGATATGATTTTCAGATTAAAGTTTATTGCTGATGAGTGTATCTGTGATCAATAGAGATCAAAGGGAATCAGGCTTCCGTGTCCTAAATAATCAGAATGCATTATGTGGTTACGACACATTCTCATTCACTATTTTTTTAAAGGGGAGGAGCTACTCAATGTATCGGTGTAAATTCCACATTCCAAGAGATTTCAGGAGACTTTTACAGTATTTGTACTCATTCAGTGGTTTTTTCAGGTGTTATTTGCTGCAATCTCAACACAAACACACACACGTGTTTCACATGCTCTCTCTGTCATGCAGTGAATGACCTGGTGCACTGGCGGGACCCTAAGAAGTCAGGCGTGGTGTTTGGCGTGTCGCTGCTGTTGCTGCTTTCTCTGGCAGCGTTTAGCGTGATCAGCGTGGTCTCCTACCTGCTCTTGTCCCTGCTCTGCGTCACCATTTCTTTCCGTATCTACAAGTCTGTCATCCAGGCGGTCCAGAAGTCCAATGAAGGACACCCCTTCAAGTAAGAGTCTACTCTGTAGATCTGCCTCTGTCTGTTTGTCTGTCTGTGTCTGTCTGTGTGCCCTGGTCAAAGACTCACTGTTTTCTTTAAACCTCCAAGCACTTCTCTAGGCCTGTTTGGAGCCAAATAATCATTATTTTATAAACGGTGCTTAAATCGTTAAATCCTTTTGACAAGCAACTTCTCGATTGAAGAAGTTCTCTAATAAAAAATAGAGATTGCTTCTTTGCAATAGAGTCGCTTCTTCAATTTGAGTTTGTCATTGTGTTTTAATGTTTTTACAACATTATTACTGCATTTATCTAATTTTATTCATAAATAAATAAAATTCTTTGGCATTCAAATTACACAAGAACCACACCAAAAAAAAAGTGTGTGTGTGAAAATTGTTTTCAGTAGATTATACTTTTGCCAGGGGTTGTATGGAATCGCCACCCTTGGAAGATGTTCATACATGCCACAAAGCTATTTGCATTCAACAATCCATCCTTCTATGTCAGTCAGCTTGGTTCAACACCTCACTAAGGTGTGCAAGCACTCCTTTTTCTTTTCTTTTTCTTTTTTTTTTCACTGCAGACTAATTAGCAGTTGTAATCAGATACAGTTGTTTGTTTTAAAACTGCAAAGTACATGGTTTTTCTATATAATTTTCTTCAGTTTTGTGAAAATTTGTGTTATTTCCATATTTTTGTCCTTTGCTTGATCTGTAAAAACTGTTGTTATTGACTACAGTGATCTTTCTTTTTCTTTTTTTTTTCTTTTTTTTTTTTAAGTGTTTCAAAGGTTTGATTATTGAATGAAAATAGTTTTGATGGCATGTACGTGTTTGTTTTTTTTTTGTTTTTTTTACACAAACATTTGAATGAGCATCTTCCAATAGTGGTGATTTCATACTTTTTGCCAGGGGTTGTATAATATACCAGTAAAAATCTAATTGGAATGAATAAAATATAATTAAACGCAATTTATGAATGTCTTAAAGAACTTTTTAAACCCAAATGCCTTATGAAGATTAAACATTTAATAAACTTGAATGATCAATAGATTGAATGAACAATTCTTCCACTGGACTTTTTATGGTTATTTCAACATTTACTAATAATTTTCAGCCTTAGTTAATTTACTGTGAACTAGGGTTGGGCGACGTCAACCAATTTGGCATCGTACAATGTCTGATGTGAAACATCGCGATTGACGTTGACATTGTCGTCAAAGGCGGTGGTGAATTAATTATTTATAAATCATTTATTCATCACAAATTAATTATTTGTAGCCTAATGTACCGTTTAACTACCTGACCCACATGGTCTTTGTTTTATCTTTAACCAAATCATAAATAAATAAAGATAAGTTGCACACAAATTACCACCTGTCAATCGCTTTTTTCGTGGGACTTTTGCATGAATAGGCTGAGTGATCTGTGCCGCTATAATGGCGTTGACATACTTGGTTGGTAAAAAAAGGTGCACAGCCAACAGTATCTGAGGTTTTCACTAAAATTAAAAGTACAAGCGTGAAAGCAAAAGATTGAAGCAGTGTACTAACGCTGACACGTTACCTGATAAATTTAAAAGACTGAAGGTTCGTTTGATGGAGACAAGATGGATTAAAATCACATTTTACAGCTATAGTGAGACGCAATCCAGCTGTACATCTTTGATAAACTGTCCGACATGCACTGCTCTCTGGGGTTTTGTGCTCAAAGCACCCGCTGACTGCTGGAGCTCAGACGCGCGCATACACTGCAGCTCATGCCAGAGTGTGTGTGTGGTCACGTGATGTGCGTTTTCAGAGGTATAGTGTGGACCGAGATCTGTTCAGAAAAGCTAGGTGATCATTTTTGTTGTAAAATGGCATTTTAAAACTAAGACGTATTAGTGTAAACGGCGTCTTAAGTGTGTGTTGTCACTTGTGGTTTGCTGCTGTGACGGGGGTGGGGTGGAGGATTGCGATGCAGGCTTAGCATCGTGATGTCTATTGGCCATCAGCGATGGACAATAGCATCATCTGTCGACCCACCCCTACTGTGAACTGACATAAAAAAAATAGTATTTTAATTAATTAACTAACATTTAAATGCGGTTACAAGTTTTGGTTGTTGTTGGTTCTTGTTAGCTATTGCTAACTAATGTCAGGCTAATAGTAATGAATTGGACCCCATGTAGAGGGTGTTCATGGATCTATAAAATTTCTCAAATTCCATAATATAAAAATAAGATCCGTGTTTCAAAGGTCTTAATGCAGTCGAACCAACCCTGTAGAGAAGATTTTATTTCCGTTTTGAAATCTACTTTAATCTCTACGTCTATCATCACATGGGCAGAACCAAATTCCATGTGGTACCCCAAAAAAAAAAAAAACACGCATATAGGGACTACGCTTGTGTATTTAATGTTTGCTGGGATTTTGCTTGTGTAAACGGAGTTCTTGGGGATTTCACTTTATAATAGCTTTTAACAGGGGTCACCAATCTCGGTCCAGGAAGGCCGGTGTCCCTGCAGGTTTTAGCTCTAACTTGCCTCAATACACCTGCCTGGGTGTTTTAAGTATATCTAGTAAGACCTTGATTAGCTTGTTCAGGTGTGTTTGATTAGGGTTGGAGCTAAAATCTGCAGGACACCGGCCCTCCAGGAACAAGTTTGGTGACCCCTGGCTTATAACATCTGCGTCAACCCCAAACATTAACAAATGAAGAACTGGAGAAGCACCGTTTGACGAAAATGTAATTTAATCCATATTAAACTCTTTTATTATTATTATTATTATTATCATTATTATTATTATTATTATTATTATTATTATTTCAAGCTATTTTTAAAATGATTTCTTGTGATTAAATTATGGTAAACATTATTCTTAATCGTTTACAAGATCAAACAATTTAATTTTGAAATAATAAATAATAAAAATCTATACATATAAAATATTGTTATGTTTCATTTAATAATAGGCATACGTTATTAATAATATTGTTTTAAGGTTTTTACACGTTACATGTGTAATTAACAGAGTTAAAGGTTGTCATAAGTTGTGTTGCAGGCTTTTTTTTTTTTTTTTTTTTTTGCAAATTTTGGTATATAAAATTGGTGTGAATTATCACTCTGTCATATTAAAGATGTCTTAGTCATAAACATAACTCTCAGAAATCTGCAGATACCTTTTTATAAAGTCTTAACTACTTAATTTTATTCGGGCTTCATACATATTGCATTACATTAAAATAACAAATGTGTATGCATACAATATTTTATATATATTAACATGCTTATGCTTGGTCTGCGTTTGTCTATGTTTATTAAGACCAAACACTAAACAGAAATAAATTATGTTTTATCTTAAGCATCTGTGTGGTGTGTGATGTGCTGTTCTGTGTTAATAATGGTAGATGTTGAGTGCAGTGGTGTTCAGAGGTGTGTGTATGTGTGTGAATGCACTGTCAGAGCTAATTGTCTTTGACCCGTGTTCCTGTAACAGGGCTCTGATGGACAAAGATGTCACGGTGCCACCCGAGACTTTCCGCAAGCACGTGGATGGGTGTCTGAGCCATGTCAACCGCGCGCTCAAGCAGATGAGCCGCCTCTTCCTGGTGGAGGATCTGGTGGATTCCCTCAAGGTCAGATTTATAGGAAGAACTCTGAGGATTTAGGTTATTCCAAATCTGTTATATTACAGTGTAGGTTTTTGTGTGAAAAGGAGAGGATTTCTGTTCAGTTGACTCATGTTTTCATCTGCTTTCAGCTGGCAGTTGTTATGTGGCTGCTGACGTATGTTGGTGCTGTTTTCAATGGCATCACCATCCTCATCCTCGGTAGGCTTTCACGTTTGGGTTTAAGTTAGTAAGATTGCACTTCCGAATAATAAAGAAGGATAATAATTGCCTCACACTGGGTGTTTTCTTTTTGTTTTTCAGCCGACATCCTGCTCTTCAGTGTACCGCCCATCTATGAGAAAAACAAGGTCAGATATATGTTTGTGTTTCTGAAACTCTGTGCCATTTTTTGTTCGGGTTGGGGTGAAGGGCAGATAAGAGATTGAAAATTAAATAAATAACAATTTATTATTATTGAAAATAAAAATATAAATAATTCAGGATGAAGTTTGGGGTCAGTCCGGTCAAGTTTTATTGTCATTCCTCTACATGTGGACATAAAAGTGGAATGAAATGTTGTGTCTCAGGGGACCACGGTGCTATATAAATAAACATAATCATAAATATAAGCACAACACTGGAAGAGTTATTTTTAAACCTATACATAACTAACATACCAGAGCGGTAATCTAATTATACATGTACTATACATATGCTATAAATATGAACTATTTATATACATAGATTACACATATACTGTATATATGTCAGCAGTGGCTTAGCGCAAAATGTGACTAATATGACTACTACTACAGGGTGTCCGCGGTGTCTCAATGGCTTAAATTCCCTGAAATAGTATTGTAAACGAGTCTTAATTTTCCTTTGTCCATTTAAAGCTACACAATCGTTACTATCAACAATTTATCCATTTGGTTTAATTATCTTTCTTACAAGAACATTTGTGAATGTGTTTGGAAAATATGTTTTTACATTTTAATGCAAACACATATTAAGTAAAATTTATATAATTATGTAAGTAAAAATATTTTCCACTAGCCATTAAAAAAAAAACTCTCTTTTTCTAAAATTTCATTCATAATGGACTTGAAAAGGTCTTAAATGCTTTAATTTGTCTTGGTGAAACCTGCAGAAACACTGTACTAATGGTGTTGGTGATAATACTTACTTGAAATTTGAAGTACCAAGGGATTTGCTTTTTTGTGCATATTTTTGCATACTGCTTTGTTATTTTTTATATTATTATTATTATTAATATTATTAGCTGTATTTCAACTAAGTAGTATTAGTTGTCGTACTCGTAACAGTAGTGGTTGTCATAGTAATTGTCGTAATAGTAGTCGTAATAATCAGCCATAGTAGTAGTCGTTATAGTTGTAGTCATCATCGTTGTCATAGTAGTCTTCGACATTGTAGTCATAATAGTCGTAGTAGTGGTCATAGTTGTAGTAGTCATCATAGTCATAGTCATAGTAGTCATCGTAGTAGTAGTAGTAGTAGTAGTAATCTTTATAGTTTTGGTCGTCGTAGTCGTAGTAGTAGTCGTCATAGTCGTAGCAGTTGTTGTCATAGTCCTAGTCATTATAGTAGTAGTCACCATAGTCGTCATACTAGTCGTCGAAGTAGTAGTTGTTATAGTCGTCGTCGTAGTAGTAGTCGTCATAATAGTAGTCAGCATAGTTGTTGTAGTAATCATCGTCACAGTCGTAGCAGTTGTCATCATAGTCCTAGTCGTCATTGTAGTAGTCGCCCTAGTCATCATAGTAGTTGTCATGGTAGTAGTTGTCATAGTAGTAGTCATAATTGTCGTAGTAGTATTCATCATAGTCCTAGTCGTCATAGTAGTAGTTGTCGTAGTAGTAGTCGTTATAGTAAAAGTCGTTGTAGTAGTCGCCATAATTGTCGTAGTAGTCGTCATAGTCACCGTCATAGTAGTTGTCCAAGTCGTCGTTATAGTAGTAGTCGTCGTAGTATTAGTAATCATAATAATAAGGTTGTGCTACAAATAAACCATATACAAATTGAAAACTGAGTGAGAAGTACATTTAACTTTATTTTTTTCACCATAGTAATAGTGATATGTTTGGTATTGAAGTACGACAAGTGTATTTGTAGCCAAAGCTACATTAACGTTAAACATTACAACATGACTACATTAAAGTAATATTAAAGACATCTATAATACTGCTGCTGAAATAGACTTGTTTTTCTTGTTGTTTGTGGTCTGCTGAATGAAAATTGTTAATCCTAATAATTTGCCTTTTAATATCCAATGCTTGAACTGTGAGGAGAAAAATGCCAACTCACTGTATACAGTTTTGTTAAACACTTGACTGATTGTTTACAGTTTAACGGAAATTACTCCCATAATTCAAGCAAAGCATCATTGAGCGTAGGACAAAGCTGGATAATTGACAACACATGATGTTTGAGCGCATTGGGCCCACTCAAACTGAACCGTGATCAGTGTGTATGATTATCACACTAAAAGGCTCTTATGTAAGCCCGTGCTGAAGACTTAACAAAAGCGTCAAGAAAAGATTATGACAAGTTTTAAAGTCTTATGTAATGATGATTGTTAATGAGTGCCTGGTGCAGTCCCCCCCACCCCCGAATGAAATCTAGCACTAATGAAGATCATGTAGGGCTGTAATGATGCATTCATGATAGTGACACAAATCTCTGAACTGCCGCTTTAATTTCCGTGGTGCAGAGCTCTGAGCTGACCTCAAAACTGCAATAACCCAGTTCTAATATCCTCACACCAGGGGTGATATAGTTAGTTAAAATTAATTAAACTCGAAATTAAACCACAAAACTTGAAAAATAAGGTGTTATTTGATTTAGTTTTTTTAAATAAGTCAGATTAAATGTTAAAAAAAAATGTAATTTAGAATGTTTTAGAAGCCAAGGATATGCTAAATAAGTATGCAGAATAAAATAAATAAATAAACTGCTAATTAAAATAAAAAGGTACAATAGCTATATAAATAAATATTATTAATAATAAAAAGGATGTAATCTATGAGATGGATGGATGGATGGATGATGGAAGGATATATAGATGAAGAGGGATGGATGGATGGATGGAGAGATGGATATAGATAGATAGATTTATAGATAGATAAATGGATTGATATATAGATAGATATAATTAGATATATAGATATAATAATAATAATACTAATAATAAATAAAGGTACAATAGCTAAGTAAATAAATATTAATAACAATAAAAAATAATGTAATATATGATGTATTGAGAGATGGATGGATGGATTGAGTATTGTAATTCAACTTCATCCTGTCATTTTTTATTTTTTATTTATATTTCAGTATTTATATATATATATATATATATTTTTTTTTTTTATATATATATATATATATTTTTATATATATATATTTTTTGTTGTTATTTTATTATTTACAAATTTTATTAATTACATTATTAATTAGATTTGACTCACAAATATCACAGTTTAAATTTCTTACTCTAATTATTTCCTGTTCTTCCACAGACCCAGATTGACCATTACATAGACATCGCACGCACTCAATTCAACACTACAGTCGCGAAGTAAGTCTGCTCACTTTCTCTGTGCACTGCTGCCAACTTATTTTCAGAGGAACTCGCTAAGGGCTGAACAATTTGTTGTTAATTGAAGCTGTGAGGTCGTTACGGGATGATGTAATTTACATAATTGCAACTCAAAGCTGAATCTTTATGTAATATGCAAAATCAATAATGAGTAAGCAAAAGCGTTATTTGGAGTGTGTTTGTTTTGATTAGTTTGATATAGTAGACTATTTAAAAAATGTAAATAACTAAAATAAGATAAATACAGGCTTCATACGGTCCTGGAAAAGTAAAAATAAATAAACCCAAAATGTTTTGGAAAAGTCATGAAAATTTGTTGAACAAATATCTGTGTACTTGAATATATTTGAGATGATAATATTGGCTACATTTCAAATACAATTGAAATATCCATCCCTTCACGTGACATTCTCTATGTGGGGCAAAAAGCAACCTGCAGTTTCAGCTTCACCTCTCTTTCACTTGCATTCATCATAGTTCAAGATACATTTGAGTGTCATGTCCAGAAACAATCTCTTAAACTACAGAGGTAAGATAATGTGGGTGCTAAAGGCTAATTTGTGCTAATTCACACAAGCCAACATTTCTAAATATTTTCACACAAGATATTATCTATACTATTTTACAGGTATAAACATAAACATAAACAACATAGATTGTCACATTTTTTGATATGCTGTAATAAATTTGAACATGCATTTTGTCTTATTTACCACATATACGTAATATTTACCTGAAAGTTTTGGAAAAGTCATGGAAAAGTCCTGGAAATTTAATTGTAAAAATGAACCCTGTGAATAAAAAGATGAATTAAACATATTTTAGTTGTAAAATATGTATCAAAAGTGTAGGGATTGAAGACCAATCTGTGAAAAAAAGTTAAGTTATCTTGTATAAGTTCTAATATAGTTATTAGGGGTGTGACGAGACGCTTACTCCATGAGATGAGACACGAGATTGGGTTGATGAGACGAGTTTTATACAAATTTTTTAAAGAAATCTACAGTTGGGAAATATATGAATAGAAATAGTCTTTTAATCAACTGAAAAATAATCACAAATTGCAAAACTATTAGGTGCTGTTTTTTAAATTAATTTGTAATGTTATTCTTCCTCTATTTTAATGAATTATGTGCAGTAAAGCACATAAAAACACTACAAAATATTTTTCTAATAGCCTTTTTAAATGAAAAATAGTCTTTTTTATGTTGTTTTAAATATTAGCAAAAATTTGCTATTATATGAATGAAAAATAGATTTATTCAACTGCAAAAAATAAATAAATAATTTACAAACAGCAAAACAAGTTAGCTGCATGTAAAAAAAATTAATAAATGATATTTTATTTCTATTTGAATTAATTCTGTGCTGTAAAGGACATGCAAATACTGTTTAATATTTAGCTATAAACGCTACTGACTGGATGTAATGTAATTTGATACCGCAAGCTGAATGGGAAAAAAAAAAAAGAAACTTCAGCTTTTCCTGGACAGCATAAACGTGTTCAGTGATGATGTGATGACTGACCAGACTTGGAAGGTGCAGAGAATAGTGTCAAACAGCCGTGTGTGTCGCAAAATGCGGCTAAAAGTCCTTCACGATATTAATAGTTTGATTCAGGTGTTTGCATGTCTGTACTGCACTTAAGTAATGCGACCGAAATAGAAATCATCCATGTCTTAATTCCATATGTGGTTATGACGATTATGACACTAAGCATAGATATATAAATAAATGCAACAATATAGGACTTAACGACTTAATAAAAAATGTACATTGTATTGCGTATATATCTTAAATGAATAAAAAAAAACACATTGCAAATAATGTTTTTGCTGAGAGGGTAATACAAACACTAAAGAAATACAAACGTTTGACCTTTATGAAAATATATTTTTATTTATAAATACAACACTGATATTGAGCAGTTCTTTTGAACAGCCACAGATTGTTTAGTCTGTTTGTTTAACTTGTGAAATTGACAATAATGACAGTACTGTATTGGAATTAATGAACAGCAATTTTACATGTTGACAACAAAGGTGTCAGCAAATTAACCGTTATGTCAAACGATTTGAGCTAGCATTTTAACTTGAATGTGATATGACGTGTCTGCTGCAAGGCATCTCTTAACCCTTGTGTGCTGTTGGGGATGTTTTCATCCACGGAAAAAATATTATTTTGACATATATTTTGAAAAGTACTGTTTCGGGACGATACATTCTGGGCAAATTTACCACCTTTCGTTATGTTAGTGGCTGTTTTTGCCCCATTGACTTCCATTATAAGGACATCTTTTGATTGTAAAACATTATTATTTATTCTTGATTTTTGGTGTTTTTCTGTTGGGAAAAAAGCTATACACTCACCGGCCACTTTATTAGGTACACCTTACTAGTACCAGGTTAGACCTCTTTTTGCCTTCAGAACTGCCTTAATCCTTTGTGGCATAGATTCAACAAGGTACTGGAAATATTTCTTAGAGATTTTGGTCCATATTGACATGATAGCATCACACATGGATGTGCAGCCGACAAATCTGCAGCAAATGATTCGAAGCTCCTGTTCCACCACATCCCAAAAATGCTCTATTGGATTGAGATTTGGTGACTGTGGAGGCCATTTGAGTACAGTGAACTCATTGTCATGTTCAAGAAGCCAGTCTGAGATGATTCACTCTTTATGACTTGGCGCGAAATCTGCCGGTACTACCCCTTAGAAGATGGGTACACTGTGGTTATAAAGGGATGGACATGGCCAGCAAGAATACGATGCTCAATTTATACTAATGGGCCCAAAGTGTGCCAAGAAAATATCCACTCACCATTACATCACCACCATCACCAGCTTGAAACATTGATATAAGATAGGATGGACCCATGCTTTCATGTTGTTGACCCCAAATTCTGACCCTACCATCCGACTGTTGCAGCAGAATTTGAGACTCATCAGACCAGCCAACGTTTTTCCAATCTTCCATTGTCCAATTTTGGTGAGCCTGTGCCAATTGTAGCCTCAGTTTCCTGTTCTTAGCTGACAGGCTGGCACCCGGTGTGGTCATCTGCTGCTGTAGCCCATCCGCCCCAAGGTTTGACATGTTGTGTGTTCAGAGATGCTCTTCTGCATACCTCTGCTGTAAAGAGGAGTTATTTGAGTTACTGTTGCCTTTCTATCAGCTCCAATCAGTCTGGCCAGTCTTGGCTGATTAGAAATTTGCATTAACGAGCAGTTGGACAGGTGTTCCTAATAAAGTGTCCAGTAAATGTATATTTTGATTGTGTAAGTGACAAAAAAAATGTCATTATAATGGAAGTCAATGGGGCAAAATTAGCCACCAACATAACAAAGGTGTAGTCAATTTGAACGATACACGGGTTAAGATCGTGGTTCTTGGCTGGTTAGCTGTGTTTGCTTTTTTTATTCACAATGTATCTTTAAAAAAAAACACTTTTTAAAGTTGCTAAAAGTAGCCAATTTAATGTTAAAATGGCTAAATATTGCTAATCTACTATAAAAAGTTGCTAAATCTAGCACAACAATTGCTAAGTTAGCAACTCTGTTTCTGTGAGCTGTTTACCTTAAAGGACTCTTAGTCGTGGCTGCCAATTAGTGAAGCTTTAATTCCACGTCCTAATAATCATCTGTCGTTTTCTTCTCCCTCAGGCTACAAGAGAAGCTCCCCGGAGCCATGAAGCGCTGTAAAGCAGAATGATCCTCAAGTCCCTCGATACCATGTTTACCATCCTTCAAAACGTTAGCCGCCTCCCTTAACTCTAAGCCCCACCTCCATTAATCTAAACCCCGCCCATTCCCTCCCCTCCCCCTTTAACCTCACACCTTAAAAGAACCATCTGCACTGAACCAGCTAGTATGTAAAATCTACAACAGCTTCTTGATATTCAATGTTAACTCTGCAGCTTATTAATAATGAGCATTAGGAAAAAGAAGCTCGGGGCTCCAGAAGCTGGTGTTTTTTTGTTTTGTTTTTCGACACAGGAAGTGATGTAACGCTACTGGACGCCCATTTTTGATGGCCAGTGTGTATGGAAGGGCTTGTGAACTAGACTGAACCTGGTTTTTGGGTGGTGCAGGAGATGTGAATAAAGACAGGTGTTTGACCACGACGCAAATGTCTGTACTTTTAAGAAGAAAAGCTTTCACTAAGGTAAAATAAATCAATATAAATAATTATTTTCACCTTCTATTTGTTATTTGACCAGAAAATGTGGACGAGTTTATCTGAAATGCACTGGATGGATGGAGACGCTGCCGGCGGGGATTTAAATTCGGTCTAGTTCACTGTCCTCCCTGTTATCGGCGCCATTTTTCATTTTGTGTATGTATATATAGTTCGATTACAACAGGCTCTTTGCTGTGAAGTAGTTAGTGTCGCTTTTTATATTTAAAAACACACACACACACACACACACACACGAATATACAGCACTTCTGTTCGTCTGTCGCACCTCTATCTCTTGCACTCGGTCAAGTTCACATGTAAATGTTCTTGTTATTACTCTTCAAATAATAGTTCATATATCTGGATTTAGGATGGCTGCGTTAAGTCCCCTGTTTGACATTGGCTTCGTAATAAATATTAATAATAACCGTAAGATTGAGTTTTATGTATAGGATCGTCAGAGCATCAGGATTTAAGAGAGGATCTTCTGGCCCCACGACTCGTTCATTATTATTGTATTTTGAGTTTAACTGGGCTAGTGCGCATTATTCATGTTTTTTAGAAAGGTAAAATCATATTTTGGGGCATCTTGGGCACTGAAGAAGGATAAATATTTCATGTTTTTCTTTATTATTTAAAGGGATAGTTCAGTCAGAATGAAAATGTATTTGTTGGTTTGAACACGAATGAAGATATTTGAAAGAACGCTGGTGTTTTATCTTATTATGAAAGTTAATGGCTATTGTTTTAATTCTTCTGTTGAATAGACAAGATTAACATCAATGACGTTATTTTTCCACTTTTAAAGTTGGTGGGTATAGCCAAATTTCTGAATATGATTCAGTTTCTTCTGTCAAACACTGAAGATATTTTGAAGAATGTTGGAATACCTACAGCAAACAGTAGCCATTGGCTTTTCTGCCTATATTTTTTTCCTGATATGGAATCAATGTCATCTGTTTCTTTTTTTCCCCCTTTTTCTTTTTATCAACATAATTGAAGATATTTTGAAGAATTTTTGTCTTTTTTTTTTTTTTAACTACTATGAAAGTCAATGACTACTCTCTGGGTATGATTTTATTTCTTCTGTTGCACACAAAAGGGTTACTTTAATAAAATGCTATTAATGTTAATAGCTATTGTAGCATTCTTTAAAATCGGTGGTTATATCCAACTTTCTGGATATAATTCCGTTTCTTCTTTCGAACACTGAAGATATTTTGAAGAATTTCTGTAAACGGACAGCAAACAGTAGCCATTGACTTTTGTGGTTGTTATTTTTTTTACTGCTATGGAATCAATAACTAAGTTTTTTATTATTATTATTGTACACGAGTGAAGATATTTTGAAGAATGTTTTTTTTTTTTTTTTTTTTTTAACTACTATGAAAGTCAATGGCTACTGTCTGGTTATGGTTTTATTTCTTCTGTTGCACACAAACGATTATACTTTACTTTAAAGACCGCTACAATAGCTATTAACATTAATAGCATTATTCCCTACTATTAAAATTGGTGGATCTAGCCAACATTCTGGATATAATTCAGTTTCTTCTGTCAAACACTGAAGGATATTTTTAAAAATGTCAGTAAACGGACAGCAAATGGTAGCCATTGGCTTTAGTGATTATTTCTTTTTCTACTTCAGAATCAATGTCATCAATTGATGTACACGATTGGCGATATTTTGAAGAATGGTGGTTGACTTCGAGTTTTTCTTTCCATTATGAAAGTCAGTGGCTGTTTTTTTTTTTTCGTTGAACACTGAAGATATTTTGAAGAATGTCAGTAAACGGGAGCCATTTTATTTTGTCCTACTACAGATTCAATTATATCTCTTTGAGTTCCTTTGATTTTATTCAACACAAATGAAAGATATTTTGAAGAATGGTGGTAAACTTTGTGTTTTTCCTAGGATGAAAGTCAATGGTTACTGTTTGCTTATGGTTTTATTTCTTCAGTTGAACACGAAAGATTGTATTTTAAGGAACGCTGGAATAGTCATTGACTTCAGTAGCACTTTTTCCTACCATGGAAGTGGATGGCTACTGCCAACTTTCTGGTTATAATTTAGTTTCTTCTGTCAAACAAAAGATATTTGGAGGAATTTTGGAAAACAGACTGCACATGGTAGCCATTGACATAGCCATAGCCATATTTTTTTCTTACTATGGAATGAATGACTTCTACTTGAGGTTCTTTGATTTTGTTGAACACAAATGAAGAGATTTTGAAGAATGCTGGTAAACCTGATGTTTTTTTTTTCCTTACTATGAAAGTTTTTATGTCCAACACAAAAGATTATATTTGAACCAACGCTGGAATAGCCATTGACTTCAATAGGATTAATCATTTTCCTGTTACAATTTAGTTTCTTCTATTGAACGCAAAAGACATTGGATGATTTTGTAATATTATATTTCCGACTATAGAATCAATGACGTGTCTAATTTATCAAACACAGAGGAAGATATTTTGTATATGATATTAATTTTTAATTTTAGATGCATCAACTGTCTGTTTGTGTTCAACAAATAAAAGAAACGTATTCGTCCTTGAAGTATTTTATATGGAAGTCAAAGGGTACCATCAACTGTCTAGATGCCAACATTCAATATTAATTATTTTGAATTGATCTGAAGAAAGAAACTCGTACAGGTTTGGACAGAGGGAATACATTTGATTGTTTGACTAAACTATCCCTTTATGCTTGATAATTACACTCATCACACGTGCTACATCTTTTCGTAAAGGGATAGTTCACACAAAAATGAGAATTGTCATCAATTGTTCAAAACCTACTTGAGTTTCGTTCTTCTGCTGAACACAAAAGGAGATATTTAGAAAAATGCTGGTAGCTGGCTCACATTGACCTCTACAGTAATTTCGATTTCCTACTATGCAAGTCAATGTGTGCCAGCAACCAACATTTTTCAAACTATCATCTTAATGTGTTGATCAGAAGATAGAAACTCATACAGGGGGTTTGAAACCACAATAAACGATGATCATTTTCATTTTGAGATGAACTATCCCTTTAAGTCCACCTCAAATGCTGTTAAAACACTACTACCAGTGTCATTTCATAGTGAATTTATTTCTGAAAAGGTTGGATACCACGGTGAAAATGGCTTCATGCTGTTTAAAAGCAGCGTCCGCGTTTGTTAAATCGTCATATAAGCTAATATCGAACACGCGCCATTTGTTGCATTCACTTCGTTGCTTTATTACTACACTGTAACTAAAGAAGTTGACCTCAGTTTTAAATTGTAAGACAACTTGCTGCAGAGCTCTTTTAGTTGATGTTTACTTGGTTGAAAAGTTTAGTCTACTCAAAAGCTTTGCAGCACATAGCCTTAAATTTTTAAGTTGAGTCAACTTATTTTTTTTAGTGTCCGGTTTTGATGCTTTTACTGCAGTGGTCATTTAACATTCCAGCTGATGCAGTTGGAAGCATGTTTAAATTGGAAAACCGTTTAACATTAACAAGGCGCATCCCCCGTTTAAATATACTTTATTTAGCGCTTTTTCATGTCTCGTCTCTCACACTCGTTTTGTGTTTTACGCATGTTTACACACATGATTAGATTCAGACGAAAGCATCTCGTCATGGTGTTGCTTAGCTAGCATGTTCTACAGGGAAGATCACATGTGCGTGTTGCTTTCAAAGAACAGCTCAAGCTCTGACAATTTATATTGCTGCATCTTTATTTTCGTTCAATTTTAGGGTAAATTATGACTATACTACTTTTATAATAGATGCAGACCTCTGTGATTAGGTTCTCCGTCTTCATTTCTGCTTCTCTTCTTAGTTTGTTTAATATTTGTTTTTTTTTCTAACTTATTCTTGTAGTTGTTTAGCATGTTTGCCGTTTTTTTTCCTGTGCTTCTCTTTGAGAAGGGTTGATGGAGATCACTGTTTTTTTTGCTTTTGACTTTCGAAGACTAGATGTGATGACTAACATCGACATTCAGTTTGTTAGGTTTGAATTAAGTTAATATGTGGGAGCTTTTGGGAGGGGAAAAAGATGCAAACAGGAAAACTTGTGGTCCCTGTAATGATGTCAAAGTGAACTTAATAAAAATGCCAAAAGCATTTAGAGTGCTTGAGCTTGTGTTTTTTTTCTCCTCATTAGCAGATTTGACATTTTATCACACATACAGTTAAAATCAGAATTATAAGCCCCCCTGTATTATAAACCCCGTTTATTTTTTTTTCAATAATTTCTGTTTAACGGACAGAGAATTTTATTACACATTTCTGAATACAATAGTTTTAATAACTCATTTTAAATAACTGATTTTTTTTATTTTTGCCATGATGACAGTAAATAATATTTTACTAGATGTTTTTCAAGACACTCCTTATCAGCTTAAAGTGACATTTAAAGGCTTAACTAAATTAGTTAGGCTAACTAGGCAGGTTAGGGTAATTAGGCAAGTTATTGTATAATAATGGTTTGTTCTGTAGACTATTAAAAAAAAGCTTAAAGGGGCTAATAATATTGACCTTAAAATGGCTTTTAAAAAATTAATAACTGCTTTTAGTCTAGCCGAAATAAAACAAAAGACTTTTTCCAGAAGAAAAAATATTATTAGACATACTGTGAAAATTTCATTGCTCTGTTAAACATCATTTGGGAAATATTTAACAAACAAAAAAAATCAAAGGGGGCTAATAATTCTGACTTCAACTGTACATACAGTAGTGATTTATATGCTCTACTGTCAAAAGGGTTTGGGGTATTTATTAATTTTTTAATTTCATAACGCATTTAAAATCACTGTACCAATTTCACATTCTGAGTAAATGTAAACTTTCAACTTAAGGTAAGGCTACAGCTTTTATTAATGGGCGAATATATTACAGAGAATTGTAGATCACACATGGCTCATATAAAAATGATGCATGTCTAATGTGTATGTATTTATAAATATGTGTAGATACTGTAGATTTATATATTACAATTATGACATTTATTTATCATTTTATTACTTAAGAGATTATATT